AGCTGTAAAAAGGGCATATGGGATACGAGGCTTTATAAATAGGGACATAGAGTACAAGAGTCAGGAGGTTATGATTAACCTATATAAAACACTGGTTAGGCCTCAGTTAGAATACTGCGCCCAGTTCTGGGCACCACACTAGAAAGGATGTTAAGGCATTAGAAAGGGTGCAGAGGAGATTTACGAGGATGGTACCAGGAATGAGGGACCTTGATTATGAGGAAAGGGTAGAGAGGCCGGGATTATTCTCATTGGAGCAGAGAAGGTTACGAGGAGACCTAATAGAGGTCTTCAAAATAATGAGGGGATTTGATAGGTTAGAAAGGGAAAACTGTTTCCACTGGTGGGTGTGTCGGTGACTCGAGGTCACAGATTCAAAATAGTCTCTAAAAGGAGCAGAGGGGAGGTGAGAAGAAATTTTTTCACGCAGCGAATTGTTCGGATCTGGAAGGCCGATTCGATAACTACTTTTAAAAACATGTTGGATGGGTATTTGAGGAGGACGGGTTTGCAGGGTTATGGGGAAAGGGCTGGGGAGTGGGATTGACATTAATTGCTCTATTCAAAGAGCCGGTACAAACTTGATGGGCCGAATGGCCTCTTTTTGTGCTGTAGATTCTATGATCCCTTAATCCCTTTATCCACAAGAAATCTATCAACCTCAGTCTTGAATATGAATATAATATCTACAGCCCTTTGGGGTAGGGAATTCCATAAATTCACTACCCTCTAAGTGAAGAAGATTTTCCTCAACTCAGTGCGAAAGGGCTTAACCCTAATTTTAAGACTGTGACTCCTGGTTATAGTTTCCCCAACCAGGGGAAAAAGTCTCCCACTATCTATTCGTGGAGTCCTGTGGCTCAGTGGTTAGAGCACTCGCTTTGCAAGTGAGAGACCTGAGTTCAATTCCAGGCAGAGGGTGAAACCTTGGGCAAGTTTCCTTACTCCACACAGAGCCTAATAATAATCCCTCCAAAAAACTAAAAACAATAATAAATTGGTCATTTTCAATCTACGACTGTTTGTGGGACATTGCTGTGCGCAATTGGCTGCCGCGTTTGCCCACAAATATACAGTCAATTCACTTTACAGTCTATTCTGTGAAGCGCTTTGGGACGTCCTCCCGACGTGAAAAGCGCTATATCAAATGCAAGGATTATTATTATTATTATTATAAATAGAATATTAGAAAGTATAGATGAGAACTAAAAAAGGAAATAAGAGGGGCAAAGAGATTGTATGAGAAAAGATTAGTGGGTAATATAAAGGTAATTCTAAGGTATTTTATAAGCATATAAAGAATAAAAGGTTAGTCAAAGGCAGGTTGGGTCCAATTAAGAACCAAAGAGGTCATCTTCTTGTGGAGGCAGAGGGCATGCCTGACGTACTGAATAAGTACTGTGCATCCGTCTTCAGAAAAAAAAGAGGATGCAGCCAATGCCACAGTATCGGAGGAGAGGGTAGAGAAATTGGATGAGATAAGAATAAACCAAGAGGAGGTACTAAAAAGGTTGACTTAGAAAAATGAGTTAATAAAGGACAGCCAATATCGGTTTGTTGAAGGCAAATTGGATAGTGCAGTTGATGTAGTTTATATGGATTTTCAAAAGGTGTTTGATAAAGTACCATATAAGAGACTTGTAAGCAAAATAGGGCACTTTAATATTCCTACAAGGTCAAATGAGCTTCCTCAGCCCCTAGGCATGGCCACAATGCTGTAATAAATAAGATATAAGTGAGAAATGAAACTTTATAGACTGTATGCATATATTGATCCTTCTTGATTTTTTGGGACAATTGTTGGCATTTGTACATTTTAGAATACTAAAATACATTTACCTACAAACTTTAAATCATGTGAAGCGCTTTGACTCACCCAACATTTCACATGTGCAATGGACTTATATCAAATGTAGATTCTTCTTATTATAGTATTATGTGAGCCTCATTGCGTTCTTTCAAGAACAATCCTCCAGTTCTGAAGATTCATCCAAGTTCAGTTCCATGGAGACCAGTTGTCCTTTAGCAATATACCAAATAGTTGTTCTTGAAGTGTGAGTATAGAGACTGAATGTTGACCTCAAAATCCTCGCTCAATGTCAATGGCAGATGTTGTTGATACCATGGCTGATTATTCCTCCATTGTCTACAGGCACTGAAACAAATTGTAACATCCCTATAAAATTATTTAAGGTCTATAGATAAACAGATGGATTCACCAGAATCCTTGTCATGGGGAGTTTCCGTACAGTTAACAGCTCACAGAAGGGGATGGGGGGAGAGATTTGAGCCCATCATCGTGATGGTTCTATGACAAGAAGCAATTATTTTATTTCATTAGCCTTATAAAAGCAGCTGTCATCATTCTGGTTTTCAAACAAGGCTGGTCTGCAAACTCATTAAATTTAACTCTGTTGACTTAAGCACTTGACATTGAAGCAATGCAATTTAAATCATCTACATTCAGAGCAGAGCACAACTGAAACCTCACGATGGGTTGGAAGACCTTTCCAGATACATCATACACTACATTGCAAAGAGGCAATCATGCACATACACGCACCAGCCCAGTCTCTGGCTGATTGCCTGCTCCCACATTCATTGACACCAAAGCATTTGCTGTGCTGAACACAGCAAAGTTTTTAAACAAAATTAATGGGTGACATTTGGCATTTCAACTTAGCACAAGGCTGATAAATAGCCAGTTGTGCTTCTTAATATTCCCTAGGATGGGACAAACTGAAAAGCTGATAGACTTGCAATAAAGAGCTCTCATTGTATCATAGCAATTTACAGCGCAGAATGACACTATTTGCGCTCTGGGGCACTACCCCATATGAAGGGCGCTATAGAAATGCCAGTTTTGTTTGACCCATTGATCTCGCAAAACACCAGATTGTTTTCTTTTAATTTTCCCTCTTTTTCTATATTTCATTGTCAACAAGGTGACTTGTGTTGGCATCAGAGAATGAAACACTTCTCATTATTGGATTCAATGTTTACATCAAACCAATTCAGGTCTAACACAGGTTAGATTCAGGGTAAATCTCTTCACATCGTTGCAATTCAAATTCAGAAGAGGAACCACATTTGATTTCATATTGTATTTTTGCAATGCTGTACAAGAGATGATGTCTGTACAATCCAGTTATAATTTATCCCTTCTCCAACAGATTGAAACTTCAATGGAATCATAAGTCCCAAATGTTAAGGAGGCAAAAGTAGTGAGATTAGCTTTGTTGGCCCCCGGGTTTGTTCAATAAAAGATCGTGCAGTACTCAAAAGGCTAAATTCAAAATTTACTTTCATTTCCACAATGAACAGTGCAATATTTTGAAGGTTAAGAAGTATGTGTGGTCACTGTTCTGAAAATACGGTGTAAAGAAAGCTTTAGTCTCCTTGGGTTTAGTTTACATCACAAATAATGGGAACTCAACTTACAGGGTGTCCACCAAATCCTTACTCCCTTGTTACAAAACAGCGATAGGAGACTGGAGGGGCTGAAACAAGGCGTCAGAGATGCATTTTGTCTAGTCATTCATCCACATTATGAAAGATGTTGCCCCGAACCATGACTGGATCATTATCTGCCCTGAAAATAATGGAGCTCACACACACTGATCCTTTGGACGGCTGAATACAAGTTAGTGCCATATTTCTAAATACAATTATCAGCATTCTTACACGTTTCAGTTTTGGGGGGACTGTAGAAAAAAAAACATGAGGGTAACAGGACTTTTTGGATACCCTGTAGGTCATTGTGAAAGAAAATCTGATATTAAACTGATGCACACTACCTTCCACATAGCAGAAGTTGGGTGAGTTGTTTGCGAGGGCATTTGGCTGAGGTGCCAGTAGGATTGGCTCAATTCAGCTGTCGGCGTGAAGAGAGGGCAATTTTCCGTTCAGTTGCAGTCGATGTAAAAAAAATGTGCGTTGAACTTATCATTGAACCATATCCTCGTAATTCATTCCAGTGAAAACGAGCAACTCCAGCACTCTGTTGCAGTGTGACATCTTTTAACACACATTTCCAGCCAATGACTTTCAACTTTGAAGGATCTTGTGAATATTGTTTTTGCAAGTGAAATATGGGTTTTGAACCAGGTACCTTTTGATGATTTAGTGATCTTCCAATCCACCTTTCCCTCCAATTTACTCTCCTGCATCCGGTGTCATGGCAGAGTTATGTTTCTCATGAGAAGGGTGTCGTCATACAAAAGCACGAACAGCTCACCCTGATCTTCTCTGGAAATGTCCACATACTTTCCAGCAGGAAGCATTATTTACGAATCAATAGAGGGAACCCTGGCTGATTTTTATTCACGCTAGCTCAGGAACACAAGGGTAAATTGTAAAAACAAATTGGGGGTGGGGGTGGCAGACAACATTATTACCTGTTGAGTCAGCATTGAAAGATCACAGTTAATCTATCCACGATCTTCTGAGTTAATTGCTCGTCCGGCCATGTATGGAGTGTTCCACAGGTTTGAGAAACTCTTCTTGTTTAGCTCTTCCAAGTCAAACGTTGACTCTCCCATAAACAATCAGCTTGGAAAAATCAGAATAAAACTTGCACAAATTCAAAAGCATGTTGTTAGAAGTATACACAGATTTACAGATTTCAATTCACGCTATACAAGGGGAGTGGGAAGTGTACTGTAACATTACATGGCAATGTTAAACCAGTATAATCCAAGATTCTGCCCCATATATACATTAAAAAAACATTTAATAGCTTTCGGGCTTTTTTTAAACACAACACTCGAACAACACTTTTAAAACTATCCAATTAACTCTTTTAGTTTACAAAATGAATACGAGAAATGGAAGTGGCGGGAACGGGACAACAAAGACCTGGAATGAGAAGAACAAGAAACAAAACAGTTTTATTTTATCTGTCGCTAGTTTGACTTTAATATATTACAAGTTTTTCAAATTTCTCTCTCTTGCTTTTCTGCCTGGCGGAAAATGTAAGCAATAATACACACTGCTTCTTCTTTTGTTTTGTGTTTGTCGTTTTTAATGACATAAAATGCAACGGAAGAGAAGAGAGAAGTTAACATTACTGACACGAGAATAATCAAATTTTGTATGTTATACATGTACAGCAACTAACTGCTTTACAAAAAGCAAAATAATACAATATATCGTCACATGTATTTACAGTGTAGTAAATATACCTTTGTCAAATTTTACACAAAAACTATTTACAGATGAATGTACTGCATTTTTAAAAAAAATTGTGGCCAACACAGCTGGGACTTCTTTCAGTAAGGTCTGTTGCATAACATTGACTGAGAGAAACACCTTTGTTTTTTTGTATATGTGCATGTGACCTAGAAACTAAATCCAAGAGAGTAACTTTAGCTTCTGATCAATGCTCATAGCTTCAGCATTTGGCTGTGAACGATGTTGTTTCCAGGGAACCTTCCGTAAGACCACACTCAACTCTTTAGTTAATTGCACAAGATTTTGTCGCTTTCTTTTAAAAACTAATTTGTGACGTAATGGCAGCTACATAATTTGTCCCTAAGCACGTCACATTCGCTGAATACCACGACTTTAATACTAAGTTGTGTTTGTAGTAACTTTCTTATTTTGGCAAAGTTCTTGCATATCATTTTAATTCATAGTTTTTCCAGGACTGTAAACAAATGTAAAAAAAAACATAATTAAAGTCTTTGTTATCTTCGGAATCAGTAAAATAAATGTAATTATGTACATTTTTTAATGATTGCTGCAATGGACCTTTGAATTGTTAAATGTGCTTTAAACATGGTGGTTGATTATTGTACCTACAGCTTAGTCTGCTCCCTCCCCCACCCCCCCACCACCCGATAACACAGGGAGTTCTCAAAATAAAGATCACATACAAACATGATTATTTCCTACCATTAAGCCACTTTTGTTGATCGCTGAAAAGTGCACAAACAGTAAGACACTTTAAACACTTTTCATCATCATCAAAGGCAAATAAGGTAGCATAATGTTTCCTCAATAAATGGCTTCCATATTTTGACAACTGTTACAGTGTTAAGAAATTCAGTGCCTTTTCTTCCCCCTTCCCTTCCCTCCCAAATTAAGATTTGAGAAACAACTAAATAAAAAAGAAACTGCTTTGTTTTGGAACTTGAGTTGTTGTGGATTGGAACCTTCTTCTTGCTCTGTTCAGAAAATACTGGCTTATAGAAAAATAAGTGATTGCGGGGTGTTCTTCAGTTGTTGATCGTCAAGTTTGTCTATAAACGCGACGGGAACAAAAAATTAAGTGCAGCATCATGACTGGTGGGGGTCGGTGGTGAGAAGCCCAGTACCACTGGAAGGGTCGGTAACAAACACTTCACACAATCTTTTTAATGCTGTGCCGCTTGAAGCTCCCAGTGCTGCGCTGTTTCTGCACTTGGCTTGCGGAACCGTGTCGGATTCGCCCACTGTTTGTGTGTCCTGATGTTGGCGAGAGCTCCACGTTCTCTTTGTCTATTCCTAGAAATCACAATTAACTTTTGTTAGAAAAAAATATTCACAGTAAAGAAATTCACTTTTGTTTTGTATAAAAAAGGCAGGCTGCCGGGCATCAGAGTATGAGTTTGCTAACTGCATTCTGCAAACTTGTACTAATGGCAGTTGACTTCATTAGCCAATTTGTGAGTCCAGTTGACTCCAATGACATATATCATTGATGTTTCCATTTCTCCATCCAAACACACAAACAGAAGAATACTGCGACATGTAATTGAGCAATACAAACTTTCTGTAAGTTTAAGAAACTTTCTGCTTAGAAACACAGATCATTACAGTGGAACACTCGTTATCCTCGTGTCAATTATCTACATGCTCATTTATTTATCTGCAATGGGCTTCAGGCAGAAGTTGTCCTCAGGTGAACGAGGTTGCTAGGGACTCAATTAATTCACTCTGACAAGATGAATGGTGTTCCCAGCTACCTCATGCATCACAGGATTTTTTTCCCCAGTCGTGCGAATGCACGTTTTTATATCTTTATACAGTGGTGGGCTCAGGGTCAGAAAGAGAGGGACAGTGAGAGATAGGGAAAGTTATAGACACTCAGAGGGAAAGGCAGAGATAGGGAAAAAAGATGAGTGTGAAGAAAAAAGCACAAAAAAAACATTCAGTGAACTGCTTCACTACATATACAGCTTCACTACATATAGTTTTACAAATAATAAACTGTGTCGGACAACGTGTAAGTGATTGGAGGGGGGCGGGGGCAGAATGAACAAGTGGCTATGTCAGCCATAAGCAAAGGCCCGAAACGCAACTATCTTTTACTATAAACGCGACAAGAACAAAAAATTATTTTAACGTATCCATTGTTCTCAGAGTCACCTAAAAGTAACCAGCTGTGAACACATACCGCATTGGAAGTGTTTGAGCTAAACCCTAAAACCACCCTGTAGTTTGTAGCAACTCCAGTCACAGCAAGACACGAGCCTGGAAATATGTAACACGCACCCGTTCAAATTACTTTCCATTATGAAGTCTATTTCCGTAAAAAAAAAGGCATTAAGATGATATACTACAGGGCATTTGTGAAGGTATTTCTCTCAATTCTGCTGTCAGAACCAACAGCTTGTCAGCACTCGCTGCAGGTTAACATGGGTGATTGGAAAGATCAGCTTCTCAAATTTACAGAGTTTCATGCCTTTTATTGAACATGGGCTGAGTGAGGTAGCAATGCATTAGAAAGGCCTTCCTCGTAAACCCAAGGCAGGGCGAAGGAAGATACTGATTTTCATTGAAGTCTAAGACAAAGCCTACACTCTCAGACTGTGCTATTAACATCGTACTCTACCTTCAGACATCTGGGATATGCTTGGCTGAGAATTATTTTACGCTCACAGCACTAAATTACAGCCCTGATCTAAATTATGGAAATAAATACTAATATTTAAATTCTATTGAACAGTGAGATTGTTCTTGGAAGAAAAAAACAATCCTCCCTTTGGATCCTCAACCTCACTTGCAGCTCCTGAATAATAATCCTTGCAGTTTGGTTGTAGCGGCCTTGCAGGTTAGGAGGATGTAATCCTCAAAGCAGCAGTCTCAATCATAGGTTTCATGGCAGAAAAGTCTTCCAATCCAATGCAAGATCATTGTGAGTCATTTACAGGCCGTGTGTGAAAGGTAAATATGAATCATCTTTAATTCTCCAATCTTATTTCATCACAGGTGTTGAAAGGTGCAGTGACCAAACTTGTTCTACTAATGGATTAGCTGGAAGGGTTTCCCCATAAGGGGCTGCTGATCTGAAACAGCCTTTCTTCTGCTGGGGGTTTCTTGGTGCTGGTGGGATAATCTACACTGCTTGAACACACCTCCTGGTGTCAGAGCCAAACTGGTACATATCTGGGAACAAATGACCTTTGTTTACTTTATCCCAATGTGGTTGAGTGAGGGTCCCTCGATGGGAAGCAATGCGTGTCCAGCCTTGGGCAGGAAGGTCGTGACAATACTCTCGAGCGTATCATGCTGAGCTGTGTTGCCCATCAGGAAGCTCGAGGGAGTTCATGGTACTTACCATCCACCTAATGAGGGCTCAATCCCATGCTTGTTGGACATCAAACTAGTGACTATCCCTGGGGGATAAGGGGGAGTCTATTTAAACAGGAATATTTAGAGGAGAAAAAAATTAAGTCCACTACAAAATACGCAGTCACTACATTTTAAAATAAATCCTGTAAAGTGTTTTGAGATGTCCTCCTGATGTCAAAAGTGCTTTATCAAATGAAAAGATTATTATTATTAAGTAAAGTTCATGTGAGAAAATGTTTGCTGGAGTTATCACAATTTCTTGCAACAGATTTTGAAAGCAATACCGATAGCGGACTGGAAGCTTTGGGTTAGTTTATTTTACATGGGATATGACCTCCTGTGAAAGCAGCTTCAAATCTCGACAGGAAAGAGAACAAGCTTAAGTGGAGTTAAGGGGTCAGTCCACATTGAATTGGCACAGTGGAAAATCAAACGCACATAAAAGCAGTATTATCCTTTATGGTGAACGAGATTACAAAACGGCAACATGTCATAAAGAATGAAAAAATAAGAGTACCTTTGTGACAGAGTCTGCATGAAAACTGCTGATTTAGAGCAAGGCAGAGAAGCTTCACAGAAACGAAATAAAAGAGAAACACAAGCGAATGAGGATGAGAATGAACGAACGTGACAAACATTTTAAATGTTGCATTTTTTTCCCCACTGCTGGCAAAAGGACCACGCATCTTGTACACACTGTTAACTCTTTATTAATTTCTTCTATCACACCCCGCCCCTCCATGAATATTCTCCCTTCTCTCTTGAAAGCACCTCGATTCCTTTTGTCCTTTTATTTGGGACTCGGTTTCACAAGCATTAAGCATCTTCTGGAGCCCTAAAAACCCAAGTCCATTATTTATGCACAAGTCAGACTTGTGTCATAAATAATGTTGGCAAGTTTTTTGACTGAAGAGGTCTCAATTCTGAGCCCAATCCTGTTTTTATCTGACGTCCACACACACTCACGTCTAGCAGGGGTTGCTGGGCAGCGATTAGCAGTGGGCATCCTGGAGCGATGAGGCTAGTTGTTACGCTTCACCTCTCACACCAACTGAAATAAGGTAACTCACGCAAAGGCCAGTGATTGAACCTGGAACCTTCTGAACAGCTCAGATATTCATTGGCTTAAGCTTGTCTCATTTTCCAGAAGTCTATGACTAGGGAAAGTCTGGCAATGAATTTGCACAATATTTGTTATATTAAGTGTTACAGAGGAAATGGAATGGATGTACACAAAATAGCCTTAGTCATTTTAGAGGTGGAATTAATGCTGTTTGCGGATTTCACTAGTTGAATGTTTTGTGAGTTAGAGTTTCAATATGGACTAACCTGACAAGATTTTAGAACATAAACTTCTGAGCAAAATATCCTCATAAATTCATGCTTTTGTAGGGATGAGGGCTGCTCTTCATATTTAAATATAAATACAGAATTGGCTCTATGAAGTGTTTATATGATTTACTGCAGCGGTAAGCAGCGTCGTAATGAAGAAGCAAGGCTGATCCATAACCTGAACAAGTTCCTCCAACAATGTGAACAACAGTTCAACCCCAATCAACATGGTTTTATATCCAAGTTTATACTCGGCTTATCCAATCATTAAACTGAAACCAAAATAAGCACTTGATGATTCACTGGTTGAAGAAATCGCACTGTGGTGTACATGGTACTTGAGTGAAGACTGGTTACAGTTCCTAGATTAATGCTCAGCTCACAGCTATTAGTGATCATTTTAAAGAATGTTATTTTGCTAGGAGCAGCATTACAGTGAGAAAAATCTGGTATGGTTTTTGGTGAATTGCAATATATAAGGAGCTAGAGTGAGATGACCAGTCAGATAACCTGAACCAGCCCAGGCAATCCAAAGTAGCTGACAAAACAGACATTGATAAAATAAGTTGGATCAAGTCCAACCTCAGGACGGAAGCACTGTGAACAACTAGTAAAAGGTTTTTGTCCATTAAAAGAGAACACACACAGGAGTGCGCATCTACAATATTACTCTGCAGCACAATTACAGACACACACATCACAATAAACTACCTTCTAACTCTACCTAAACACTAAATAGAAACTATAGGCCTATCAGGGGGTTCCTGATTGCCAGCACTATAGTTTACATCTGTACCAGGCATTTTCTGAACATCAGCAGATGGCTTCCAGTAGGGCAATGTCGGAGACCGTCTACACACTAGACAGTAACAAATACCCCAAAAAAAATAGGGGAGGGAGATACAGGAAGCAAAACAAAAGAAAACTTCAGTGCATGCATAATGACAAGAGGACAGGTGGTTAAGCTGAACATTAAATATAAATAGAAATGAAAGCATTGTATATCAGAAGCTTAACCATAAATTTTCAATAAACAAAGAGGTGAGAATGCTACTCGACCAAATTGAAATCATTGATCACATCAGCAAATATGTACTTCACTCTTTGATTCACAGACTTCATATTCACGTACAAGAGCAAAACCTTGTGTGCACAGACCAGCAAGGTAACAGTTTGATTCCTGGTGTGTGCCCAGTTAACTGAGCCAGCAGAAGGGAAGCCATGAGGATGAAGGAAGCAAGTCAGCAATGAGAGTTTGGAACTGGGTGTGGTGAACAAGCTTTCATGGCCCAAATTTTGTTGAATGCTGCAGTAAAGTGGGAACAGAGAGAGAGGTGAGGAATGCATGGATCCGGTTGGGAGTAAATTTGATGGATTATATAGAACAAATTCAGGAGGAGAAGTGACTTCACGGGATGAGATCAGAAAGTCTTTTCAACTGAAATAATTTGTCCTTACTTTTAGTGAACTTTTCAGAAGGCATGAAGGAACAACGTGTAACTAACTCAAGAGTCCGAAGAGACAGCAGAGTGGCAGCAAATAAAAGCAAAAAACAAGGTGCATTCATGAGATGCACAGCAGACAACTGCACTAACCTGGGGAATGCTGTGTCGTTGCCAGTGAGGTCATGGAATTGGAGAGGTTGAGGTTGGCAGTAATGCTAAGCTGGCTTTGGACGGGGGGAGGGTAGGGGGAGGTTGGTGTGCGCAGAGACTCCTCCGTGGATTCTTCATCAATTCCAGGCAAATATGTATCAATTAATGCATCCAGAAACTTCACAATCAGCTCAGCGTAGTCTGGGATCTGTGTTTGCTGTTCAATGGAAAACATTTTTAAAAAATAACTGAAAAAGGCCTCCTACCGTTATCTGAATTTAAAACTTTTTTTAAGAAACATCACATGCAAATTCTTAGGTTTGCCAAAGCTCCAATCTGATCAAAAAATTAAGATATTCGCAACTGAACTGGATATTACACAAAACAATTGTGATCGGGTCAGATAAGAGCTGAATGTAAACACCGATGCAGTAACATTTCCAACTTGGTCTGACGTAATGTAATTTTACTTTCTGTAAATGTTAACATTCCTTTTTAACCAATGTAGCTTAAAAACAAACAGCAATATCTTGTGAAATCTAGTATGACCGTTTAATAAAGAAGGTGCAGAATTCACTGCTGAGCCAAAACACTTCAAGAGCTTCAGTCTCACCTTAGAAAAAGGTCCCGCAAACCTCCACAACCCATTGAATCCAAAGCCTGCAATAGGGAAGAGATTGTAAGATATAGTGATTGGAACATGCTGCTTACCTAATGAAATATTTAAGAGATCCCAACAGTCCTGCCGTCTAAATGGGTTCTTTTGTCCTTGACCAAAAGCCTCTGTAGTACCTGAAGACCACTGAATGCATGAAAACATCACCCCCATTCAAGCTATTCTCAAGAGAACATTCTTCATCTGTGTAACGTACGCGCCTTGAATACACTTGTTCTAAGCATTTATAGCTGTACCAGGAAAGCTATGCCTGGTCTCTAGTTTAGTGCCCTCAATCAGGGTTTTGGTATTTAAAGCATAAGCTATCTTTTGACTCACAGAACCCTCTACAAGCTTAACCCTGGGCTCGGAGTGTTCTATCAAAATGTGAGAGGTTCCATAGCAAAGGAGATCAGGCTCGTGAGTATTCTGCAATGTCACAAGACTCCAGGGGATGGTCTTCTATGTTTCCACCCTTGCCCTCTCACAGAGAAAACTTTGAAACACTACAATGAGCTGAACTCTCCGATTCCTTGCCTTCTCCGAGTTAAATGGCTAAACAATAAACAAAAGTTTCAGGCGTTGGTTTAATCTTTCCTATAAGTGCTGTCAGGGACTAATTTGGCCCTTGATGATTCCTGCCCTATTCAACAGGGAAGTCCACGGCATGTTTGTACTTGTCGAAGTGAAGAACGCCAATATGAAAAAATAGAACCCAGTTCCATTTTAAGTTTCCGTCAATTATTCCCAGGTCAGGGTACAACACAACAACTTGCACTTTATATAGCAGCCTTCACGCAGGGTAGCGTCTCTGAGAGCTTAACAGTGGTGGAGCCTGACTCAGAGCCGGGGGGTGGGTGGGGGGGGAGGAAGCTGTAAGCATGGTCGAAGAGGACAACATAGTCTGATGTAGAGTTAAATTACCTTTACTGTCTCAATTACATACGTGAGCTCAACCTTACAAGAGACAACACCTGCTGCCCAAGTGGAAGTGTTTACATTTTCCACACCAGTTATTTGTTGGCCTCTCTGAATAAAATTGCTAATCTACAGACTTACAACCACGCGAGGCTGAGCTGTGACTGCCTGCACCCATTTCAAATAGAACCGCTCAAATGGTGATGGGATAGGGAGGTCAACAACAACAACTTGCATTTATACAGCGCCCCTCACGCAAGGTAGCGACCCGGAGCGCTTGACAGTGGCGGAGCACAACTCCGAGCCGAGGGGGAGGGGGAGGTGACCGTAGATACGGTCGAATAGGAAGGTCGCGACCTGAAAATGGGAAAGGAAGGGGCAAAGTGGAGGGATAGAGGAAGAGTATTCCAGAGTTTCGGGGCATAGTGGCCGAAAGCGCGGGCACCAATGGTGGAATGGAGGGCATGGGGGACATGCAGTCGAGCGGAGGCAGCGGGTTGTGAGTTGGGGCGTAAGCAGGTCGGAGAGGCAGGGAGATGCCAGGGCATGAGGGATTTGAAAACAAGTGTGAGGATCTTTAAATCGATCCATTCGGTGATGGGGAGCCAGTGGGATGTGTTTGATCCCAGGTTACGCAGGTGAATAGGGCATTGTGTTTTTCTACTGCACCAACCAGGATCTTGGCACAGTGACAGCAGTGGGTATTAATCTTCCGAGTTCTCTCCCCCTTCCTACCTCAAAAGAAACAAAATCAAAAAGAGTATTTACTCTGTAAATATGAAGGCTGATACTGGGGTGGTGACTCTTCATGGTAGACCACACTCTGCACTATCCCATGGATTGGATTCAATAGATTAGGATCTTGGCACAGTGACAGCAGTGTATTAATCTTCGAGTCCAGTAAATTGTGCCTAGATTGTACAAAAGAAAATAAATACATGGAGCTTTTGAAGACTGATAATCGAGTATAGAAAACATAACCAACTTGAATATCACAAATGCATTTAAAAAGTTCATCCCATCAAGCTTTACTGGAGAGGTTCAACAAGTTGTTTTAATTCTACTCTCTTGGGCAAAAGGCTGGCATCATTTTGTAATGTCTTGCCTTATTGCTGTGTAGGAACACGCTGTGTAGGAACACTCCACCTCAGTTTCTCTGCTGAGGAATTATTCCAGAAGGTGGCATTTCTGATCCTTAGTGGCCCTGGTCATTTTCTTTTTAAAATTCCAAACCACTTCAAATCATGTTGCAACCTTATTGCAACACCTGACTTGGAAATGGCTGGGCCAAAGCAAACAGGTCCAGGTTGTTTTGAGCTGAAGTGCAAACAATCAAAAAAGATATTTGAGATTCATTACAATGACTTGTTTCGACTTTTTTTTTATAGCCCTTGCTTTTGAAGGTTACAAAGCAGCTAGGCTTCCCTCTCGTCTGCTAAGATTCGAAGCACTCCTCAATCGTGTTCTTCAGCAAATTAAACTATCACGGACAGAGTTGTTTCTACACTGGTAAACTTCATTGTTTGCCCTCCAGCAGTCGAGGCATTGGTTTTAGAATTTTCTTTCGATAAGAGAATAAGTCACTTCAACAGAACTCTATTGCAACCTTATATTTGTGGCTGACACCTCTAGTTTTGTTACTTTAGCAGGTTTTCTTACTGTATTCCATTCCTGGAGGTCATCCATCTCTTCTTCAAAAGTATATTTTAGTACACAATCCTCTGCTCAGTGTTTGACTCCCATTAACTTGTGTATGTGGTCGTCATTGCTGACTATTTTTATGTAGTTCAGCTCATGACTGGGAATCAATAGGGTGGACGGCTTCTCTGGATCACGCAGCAGGAAGGACGTTCTTGAAATTCACCAAAGGTCTTTAAAAAAATCCTTGCATTTAGTTTAACACTATTCACATCATAGGGATATCCCCAAGTGACAGTGTATTTGTAGGCAAACCCAGCCTCCAATTTGCAAACAGCATACATGGCTGTGAAGCGAATGATCAAATTTTGAGGGGATTGTTGGCCAGGACACTGGGAGAAACTCTCTTCTCTTTTCAAATAGTGCCATGGGATCATTAATGTTTTCCTGGACTGGCAGACGGGACCTCGGTTTAACATCTTATCGAAAACCCACATATCCAACAATGCAAAACCCCACCCAGCACTGCGTTGGGAGTGTCAGGTTAAGACTATGTGAGTTCAAGTCCCAACACGGGGCTTGAACGCACAACTTTCTGACTCTGAGGCAAGAGTGCTATCACTGAGCCAGGCTGACACACACACACATTTAGAAAGGAGATGCTGTACAATATCTACATATTGCCAATATTTTTCAAGATCCCATCACTAAGGATTTCACAATCCTCTGGGAGAACGGACGTACATTACAATGAGCAAAATAACTTACACAACTGGAAAGACTTTAGGGAAGACGACAGTCGCTTCAGCTAAATACTCGTACAAGATCCGCTGATCAAACTCATCTGTAGTGTATTTCACCAGTGTTGCCTTTAAGAAAAATATAGATTTATTAGTGAGGTTAAATGCAATGTTTAGATTTTTCCAAATGCATCAAAATCAGAAGTATTCAACACCTCAGCCCTGGAGATGGACAGAATGATGCAGTTTTACTGCATGCCACTTGGTGGAGATAAAGACAGAATGCAGAACATTCAAACTCAGTCCCAGACCTCCAGACACTATTTATTCTGTTTGAGTAACTATTTTTTTTACTCACATTCAAGCACAACAATAAATAGTTCAAGAGCAACATAATTATTTGTTCATAAGCTGCATAGAAAGAGTGCCATAAAGCACTGCGAACAAAAAGAAACGAAACAGAGAGAACACTTCTCTTGCCAAACACACTCCTCAACGTTCTCCAACTTTCTGCCATGGTAAAACTGCAAAACGTGGCTTCTAAAGGGTTCCAGCCCCTTGGGACATCCTCCCGACGTCAAAGGTGCTATACAAATGTAATTTGCTATTGTTGTTGGTGGTTCTGCTCAGAAAAGTTTCTGAAAATCCCAGTGCATATGCATATTGTAATGAGGTTTTAAAAACTTTTCGATAGATTTCTGCTATAAAATACTATCTCGGGATACAGTATGTATGTCTAGTGACTGCCATAATGGTGGAAGGAAAACGAAATGGAACGTGGTCATCTTTCGCCGAGCAAATTCTTATGTTCTTATGCACTTTATTTCTCCCTCTCCTAAATAGACTAAGTAATTTATTCTGAAATGCAAATATTATTTTGACTGATTTATAATAAACCTTATTTAAACATCAGTCACCAGAAAAAGGGCCAAACAGGCTGGATTAAAAAAAACTCACTATAAGCAACAGATGTTAAAGTGGAAGTAATACGTACAAGAACAGTCAGCAGCAGAGCCTGGATCTTCGGGTCAGTGAGGACCTCTTCATCCAGAAGCACATTTGATTCAGATACGGAGACCTTCCGCAGGTGAGGGTGCTGCTGTGAGGACATTCTCTGGTTCCCTAAAACAGTGAGGAAATTTCAAACGGAGATTGCAATGCACTGATGACAACAAAACACAGTTTTAATCAGCCAATTGCACACAGCAGTGTCCCACAAACAGTTGTGGACTGCGCGACCAAATTATTTATTTATCTATTTATTTTTGCTTGAGGAATTATTATCAGACGTGTGGAGTAAGGAAACTTGCCCAAGGTTTCACCCTGCCGGGAATCGAACCCAGGTCTCTCGCTTGTGAGGCGGGTGCTCTAACCATTGAGCTACAGGACTCCATAATCCTTGCATTTGATATAATCCCTCATCACGTCTTCGAGATGTCTCAAAGCGCTTCACAGAATATATTGTAAAGTGAATTGACTGTATATTTTGTGAGCATGAGCGTAAGCGGTTTCCATGCAACCCCAACCAGCTTCGTAAAGGAGCATTATAGCATGACCAGTGACGCCAATGTGCACTCACACAGAAAGCTGGGGGGTTCCTGCGCTAAAAAAATTGCTGGCTTCCGGATAACCAGGTCGCTGACACTTCCTGCATGCTGTATCTCATCTCAGACTAGAATTTTTATATTGCACGACAAAGGTGCCAGAGAGAAGCAAGCCACCCTTAATTCTGATAACAGTGAAACCAACGAACGAGAGTGAACCAGTTCACAAATACAAATCGAGTGATGTTGAACCGTGAGCAAGTGTTTCTACTCACGATAAGGTGACTTTTGATCGAAAGGATATGCAATAATAATAAGTAATAATTCTTGCATTTGATACAATGCCTTATCACGTCTTTGAGACGCCTCAAAACGCATCACAGAATATACTTTAAAGTGAATTGACTGTACATTTTGTGGGCGAAACGCAGCAGCCAATTGTGCACAGCAGCGTCCCACAAACAGTCGTAATAACACAAAGGATAATCTCCAGGGAACTCAGATGAGGAGAGAAGCAAACTAAAAGACCCCATGAAAGGTGGTCCAATTTACCCATTTCAAAAGGGTGCTCTGCCACTCGCCTCATCTTCGGTGGCGTTGTAATGCCAGATTCGATCTCCTGTCTCTTTGGTGCTTTGTTGTCTGGAATCAAGTGGTCAAAACTTTTCCTGGTACCTGAGACACAAAAGAGTCCATCATTCATTCATTAATTCAGTCTGAAAGAGCGCGTGTACCACTGGGTGGCAGAAGCTACCCAGTGATGTGAAATGAAGGATGTACAAAAGAAAACACATTTCCGTTAGCTCATGGTAGATCATTTCCTCAGGATTACCTTCCATTGAGGTGAAGTTTACATGAATTGGAATTAGCTAAGTTTGAGTGGCTGCTCTCCTTATTCAATTTGTATCCTGTCTTCTCCACATCCTTATATACTTCAGTCCTTTTCCAGAAGTCTTATGGCAGGGCCCCAACACCTAAAAAAGCAGCTCTGGCAGAGTAGCCAAGCTTCCGTGTACCCAGTTTAATAATATATTCATTTCTATACACTTGGGTCACCATTTTGAGCACAGGTTCTCAAACTTTAGTAGTCTGAATTTATTTTTCTGAGAAGAAAGCGACTGAGTCTAAATTTAAACCATGAGTCAAAGAGGCAGCTTGACAAAACCACAAAATCTGCATTTGATTCCACAGAACTTTATAGAGTTTCACATCTACATAAGACAAGAGACAGGAATGGGAACATGATGAAACCCTTGGTATCTTGCCGTTCATGACGAGGTGGGTGACAATAGGGAAGCTTCTGCATTTTCCCCTCCAAAGGTTTCCTGATCTCTGCTTAAGGCAATGACTCATTCTCAGAGATAAAAAAAACAGTATGTTGTCTGAGTGCTAACTTTACATTTGTGAGCTCATTCAATGAATGCTGACATAACATAACATGTAGGAGCAGGAGTAGGCCATTCGGCCCTTTGAGCCTGCCCCACCATTCAATCATGGCTGATCTTCTAATCTAACTCCAGCTAATAACCTAACCCTGCCTTAACCCCATATCCCTTAATCCCTTTTGCAATAAGAAATCTACCTATCTCAGTCTTGAATATGTTCAAGGACTGAGCATCAACAGCTCTTTAGGGTAGTGAGTTCCATACATTCACCACCTTTTGAGTAAAGAAGTTCTTCCTCAACTCAGTGCGAAAGGGCTGGCCTCTGATTTTAAGGTTGTGACCCCTGGTTTTAGTTTCTCGAACCAGGAGAAACAATCTCCCACTATCTACTCTATCATGCCCTTTGATGATCTTATAGGTTTCTATAAGATTCCCCTCTAATTCTTCTATATTCTAGAGAATATAGGCCTAAATTGGTCAGCCTATCTTCGTAACTCATCCCCTTCATCCCTGGTACTAACCTAGTAAATCTATGCTGCACCCCCTGACCATGGGATGGGAGGCATCACAGCGTAGCTCAATCCTGTCCTCATCCAGTATCTACTGTGTCAACATCATCACTGGATAGCCATTAAGAACCATTTCCTTGTTATCTCCTTGGCCTAGGGACATTTCATGCAATTTAGAAAGATAAAGCACGGATTGAAACACAACAACAGAGGCACACACTGAAGAGTGCAAATAGCCATTGTTCAAAAGAGTTTGAAGGTTTCCTCTCAAAAATAGGTGGAGGGGATAGAAATCTCCATTTTGAGCAGGTTTCTATTTGGCGGCCTTCATGAGGTTTTGCCGATGAGATGACTTGAATTGAGTTGAATCAGATTTTTTACTGCATGAGAATATCTAAACATTTAAATATATACACGCACACAGCATACTAAGTGGCAGGAAGTGGGCTGCAATGTCACAATATACTCTAGGTAAATTGGGAGTCCAAAATTATAGATAGTAGATAAGTAATTTGACAATACAGCAGTCCCAATAAATAGTATCTGTTGTGTTGGAGTTTGAAACCAATGGTCAGTGCTAAAATATAGGCAGCTGTAAATCAGTACTTTCCTTCCTCTAATCTTTGACATGAAGGAATTAGCTTGTTTCCACCCTTGTGAATAAGCCTCATTAATTTAATGCCAGACAATGGGAATGATAATGTAAAGAGAAGAACCTGAAACTGTAGTGCTACCAGATCATGGTCAGATTACCAGTGCACGATCCAGTTTTGACACAGTGTGCAATATTGACACACAATAGCTTTCCTGTAAACTCACCATCAATTCCCCACACCCACACTCCCATTGCAACAAAGAAATTGCATGTAATCCCTTCAGGGCATAAGTGCTTGAACCAACTAAATAGCCAACAATTAATCAGCCAACAATGTCAATGTATTTGAATAGGGCACACCCTGCTGATGGCATTCTTGCTCTTGAAGATTATTTGGCCCATATGTTCCTGTGAAATAAGTGCATGCCCATTGAAACAGGAGAACGGAGCTGTATCTGCAGATGTTAACATTTCCTTACCTAGCAGTTTTTTGGTGTTCGCCTGGGAAGGCTGCCCCATATCCAGGCTCATAGACTTGCGTGTCCTTGGGCTAATCTGTCCCACAGGAGGGTAATTAGCAGCTAAATGCCTGTCTGAGGCTTTGGGCGAGGCCCATGGCTGGCTTTCTCTTAGGGTTCTGTAAGGAGAATGGGTAAGTAAAAATAAAAGTCAATAAATCCCACACAGACAACCGGTTTAAGAAAATTCAATGCGCTTATTCAATCAATAAAGATCCATTTGGTAAAACCATCAAAATAATTTCATATAGGTCGGTGCAAGATGCCCAATGCAAAAAAGGGTCAAATGGCTAATTTAATACACAAGTCTAATTTTGCCCACAAAAATATACATTCACTGCACTTTACAGTATATTCTGTGAAGAGCTTTGAAACGTCTTGAAGATGTGATAAGGCGTTTCATGAAATGCAAGGATTATTATTATTATTTATTGTTGTTGTATTTACAGATCTGGAACAGATAGCGATAACTAATGGCAGACGATAAAGAGGTGCACAGACCTGGAGCTTGTATCAGCAGTGTGTACAGAATATGTGTCCATGGGCTCCATTGAAACATCAGACAGCAAAAGAGACTTTCTGTGCTTCAGACTACATCTACTCCTTACTTCCTCTGAAACAGTCAGCAAGGCTGTGCAAAAACAGAAGACATTTTTAATGCGATTGTTCAGTATTTTCAGTCGACATCCGTTAATATTATATCACTTCTTTTAATTGACGACATCAGATACGACTTAGGACATAAACAGAAAACAATCCAGGAACGGCAGTGCTATGAGTGCTTATAAGAACATAAAAGTTTGCCAAGAGAAAGAAGACCAAGGTCCATCTAGTTCGCCTTCCACCATCCTGGCAGTCGCTTGACATGTCGTGTCGGAAACTATATGCTGTATCCCGAGATATTATTTTCTAGCAGAAATGTATCTAATTTGTTCTTGAAACAAACAACACTTTCTGCTTCCACTCTCCCCAGGGAGCCTGTTCCATACGTTTACTACTCACTCACTGAAGTAGTGTTTCCATAGATTTGTTCTGAATTTACCGCCTTCAACCGCAGGCCGAATGGGAATCTTAAAGAGGAAGCTAATCTCCCTCATCCTTCCCTTCCCAAAGGGGTTGGATTCCTTTTTCCTTTCATAGTTAATCTTTGGTTCCTTCATTGGTCAATGGGGGTTCCTGAATGCCAGTTTCACCTGTCATTTTAACATGGTTTCTTGCCCCACTCTCAATCAGTGGTTTTGTTTATTCTCAGTTGTTTCACAAGATGCAATACAATAGTGAGCTCAATTTAAAGAAGTTACTAAATGCAACTATTCTCACCACATTTAGCATGACAGCATCAATTCCACAAGTAGTTGCAAACCTAAATAAATACGACTGCTTCTTACCAGCGAGATAAGCCACACTTTGCGTGTTAACTTCAAATTTATCACAGTTTCTGTGCTTGCCCACCAAAGCAAGTAAGGTGTGCAAAATTCTCACTGTTCTGGCCACTGTGGTAGGAGATGGATGTCTGTACCCTAAAAGGGAAAATAGAGTTTTAATAGATGATTAATAACTAACTTTTCAGTATTTAATTTCAAAACTTTCAAGTCCAAAACTGGTTACATTACAGATTTCCTTCTGAAGTAAACCTTATTGACAAATAGAATCTTAATCTTTAATGAAGATTACTTTAACCTGTAGTCTTTCTGAATTTAATAAACGTTCCTAAAACCATCAGGTCGTGTAGTAAATCTGAGATGTGCTACAGTTTAGAAATGCATTGCAACCTGTGTTACTCTAAACCATGCTGTCAGAACCAGATTGTGGGGTGGTAGTACATTTTCAACAAGTTTCCTTTTGGATCTGTTCCCTCCCCCTTCACATAAAATAATAATCCTTGCATTTGATATAGCGTCTTATCACGTCTCTGAGACGTCTCAAAGTGCTTCACAGAATATACTGTAAAATGAATTGACTGTATATTATGTGGGCGAAACACGGCAGCAAATTGCGCACAGCAGTGTCCCAAAAACAGTAATGATTGAAGTGACCAATTTTTTTTAAGGAATTATTACCCCCAGAAAAGGGATCGGCCAATCAACTAGCAACCGGGTCCCTACTTACTGCTAGAGGCGTGTGGAGTAAGGAAACTTGCCCAACCTTTTGCCCTGGCCGGGAATTGAACCCATGTCTCTCGCTTGCGAGGCGAGTGTTCTAACCTCTGAGCTACAAGACTCGTCACAAGATTGATTTGAATGAAGAATACTCTTTGGCCTGTTTGATCTCATCCTTGCAGAACACCCACCCTACTGTCTTCCCATCAGAGCTTTGAGGTGTTCTTTAAATGAGTGCATTGTCTTGGCCTCAACCACCTTTCCTGGTAATCTGTTCAGATAGTTAATTACCCTCGGAGTAAAGAAATATTTCCTGGTGTGTATTCTGAAATTGCCCTTTGTAATTCTCAAAACATTGCTTGCACACAAGAGAAATTAGAATGACCACCTCTTCAGATCTGCTTCTGTATAATGACCTTGGGACCCTCAGGTTTACTCCCAATACAGAGTAAATACTTGCTTATAGAGAGGACACAATCCCTTGAGTCTTGTCAGAGGTGACTCTCTCTTACATATGTTTCAATGCGAGATTCACTTTCTCTTAACAAGTTGATCGGTAGTGGGGCCTTGTACTTGATCTGGGCACACAAGGTTTCCCCTCCTCCAATTTGTACCAGGAACTGCAATTTTCACTCAGTTAGCTGGTGTCAGCTCCAACTCCAGGACGACTAGTGTCCTGACCGACTACCTGTCCAACATCAAGCCCTGGACGAGGGACAACTTTCTCCAACTTAACGTCAGCAAGACTGAGGCCCTCCTGATTGGCTCACGCCAGCGCCTCCGCACTTTGGGCGCTGGCAGCATCAGCCTCCATGGCTGCACACTCAACCTCACTAAGCCAGTCAGGAACCTGGGTGTCTTGTTTGACCCCGAACTGTCCTTTCTCCCCCACATCCGCGCCATAACTGGCATTGCCTACCACCACCTCCGCAACATTGCCAGACTCTGCCACTGCCTCACCCCTCAGGCTGCTGAAACCCTCACCCATGCATTAGTCACCTCAAGGCTTGATTACGGGAACTCCCTCCTCATTGGCCTTCCCAACTCTTCGCTTCACAAGCTGCAGCTTCGTTCAGCGGGCTCTGGCCTGCTCCACGTCTCCTGCCCGAACCGCCCTACCATTGGTGGCCGAGCTTTCAGCCTCTCTGTCACCACACTCTGGAACTCCATCCCACAGTCCCTTCGCCTCGCTTCCTCCCTTGCCTTCTTCAAGGCTGGTCTCAAGACCCTCCTCTTCAATCGTGCCTTTGGTTGCCCTCCCAGTTCTCTGCCTCACCCCTACCCCATGCTCAGGTCCTGACCCCTGAATGTCCAGTGCCTTGGGATATCCTCCCAACATGAAGGGCGCTCTATAAATGTAATTTTGTTGCTGTTGTTGTCATGTTTGTTCAAAGAGCGAAGGCTCAACAAAAAATGGAAGTGACTCATTTCCTTGGACACTTAAGACTTCTTCAACAAATCAATAGTCCATGGCTGCAATTATATTGTGCAATTCATAACATGTAAGTAAATAATTTCAACACTTTTTATTCCAAGTAAGCAAACCTCAAGTTGAACCCAATTGCTTAAAGAAGTTTGTATTGACAGGTTGAGAAGGTTCCTAATATCTTGCATCCTTCTCAACAGAATGCAGCTGGGAGGGGTGATTACAAATGATGATGGGTTGTCTTTAAAGAGTAGTATACTGTATTATTATTAATATTAATAATGAAGGGGCCAATGCTGAATCTGTACAGTGAAACTTATCACTGCAGTAGATGAGGGCAACAAGCCAAAAAATAAGGGAGAGCAAGCAGCAGAGATGCTGAAACTGCAGCAGCTGAAATGTACCTGACTTTCAGATCTGGAACTAAATCTGCTTGTTCAGATGAACTTTAAATATATCATGACACCATTTGAAAAGCAAAGGGACTTTCTTCCAACGAACTGGCCAGCAATCTTCCAGCTAAATTGGACGTTGTGGCATCTTGCTATGTACAAAATGGTTGTCTTACAATTGACTTAATTACTTTCAGCAATGTTTTGGTGTCATAAGGTGCTATCAAATAATAGTTTCTTCTTGTGCACATTGTGATTTTCTTTTAAAGAACACAAATTAATTCTACCTTAAATGGAATACAAAAGGATTGCAGAATGAAGAGTCACAAAAGAAACACACATTTTGCAGGAAATATTAATGTGTAAAATGACACTGTTCTTCCATTTCTCTCAGCAAAGTCAATCATTGTTCAACAATGGCGAGAGGGTCAGTAACCCGAGGACAAAGATTTAAGATAGTTGCCAAAAGAACCAGAGGGTGGCAAGGAGAATTTTTTCCACACAGCAAGTTGTTCAGATCTGGAATGCATTGCCTGACAAGGTGGTGGAAGCCGATTCAATAACAACCTTCAAGAGAGAAGTAGATAGATATTTGGGGAGGACAAGTTTGTAGGTCTATGGGGAGAGCGCGGGGAGTGGGATTGAATTGGATAGCTCTTTTAAAGAGACGGCATGAACACCATGGGCCGAATTGCCTTCTTCTGTGCTGTATAATTCTATGAGAATTGTTCAACAAACTTAACAATTGTTCACTACTCACCTTTCAGCAAGTGTCCGACTAGTGCAAAGTTGAAGTTGGAGTTGAAATTGAGACCGACAAAGTGATCCATTTGCTTACAGTGCCACTCCAGAGGCTTCCGAATCTCCATAAATACCTCCTCTGGACTCTGAAAAGAGCAAGAAAAATACCACAATGAATCTTCACATAGAGCTGAGCTGTTAGGGTCTGGGGAAAAGGCAGAGCAGTGTGACAATTGTCTCGCTTACAGAGTACAGACATGATGGACTGAATGTCTTGTAAAATGATTGCTACTGAATAGCAATGTTTAACAATACATTTTTGGTAATCAAACAATTCAGTGCGAAACGGGCAACCTTTCTAAAAATTAAGATTTAATATTCTTTTGATTTGATTGGCTTTGAAACTTGAAAACTGCATTGTTTCTTCTTTTTGCTTTGGAAGTCAGTTCAGACTAAAAGTTTCTGTAAAGAAATTTGACTTTCATATTAATTTAATTTCTGTTTCCTGCTGCCATTGCGGTGAGGGAAACAGGAAGTGAAAGAGTTGATATATCAACTGGCCAGATTTTACTCTGCGACTGCTTTATGTTTTATGTCAAAAGTCGATTTCCCAGAAAAAAACAAAAAAGACTGAAATAATTTGATCACTAATGAAACTGACGGGAGGTTTGAGCTGAATAAAAATTGAACCAATCAAATAAAGTGATGAGAGAGAAGTTTCACTTATGCTAATGACTGGGAGTATACATCACCTGCACTAACAGTAGCATTTACAGGTGAACATAATGAAATTGACCACACTTCTCAGTAAGCAAATAGCTAGGGTTAAGAGCAGTTTTATTTGTAGTCGAGCACTATGGTGACATTCGTCACCCACTGGCAGCAGAATGAGAGACACAGACATCCTACACTAAACTCGTGATTGCAGTTTGTGCTGTTTTTAGTCATCTTTTCCCCTTCCCCCACTCTTTAGCTTCCTCCCACAGCAGTTTGGGTGCCCAAACAGTGTTGTGAAGCACTTTGAGACTTCTTCCTAACATGATAGGCACTGTGTAAATATATACTATAATAATGTTTTACATTCAAGATGGCAAAAAAAAACAACAATGTACTTGAAACATTTGCATTCAATCTTTGGCTTGGCCTTTGTAAAAGTCTGCTGCTCAGAGCACTGCAAGAAAAGTTTTATAAAGTCTTTGACTGATTAAATTTCAGGTATTTGGATTGCCTCACCTTGTCATTAAAGACCTTAAGGCTGTCCAACGTATGTAGGTTCTGCTCCAGCAGTGCTGTACCAGCAGAGTACAGATTGACTTCATCCAACTGCAATACTGCAACTGCCACCCAAAAGAGGGCCTTGTGCATGTTGGAGTCCTAGTAAAGAGATAACTTAGTCAGCGAGGCAAACCAGGGTATTAAACTTGCAGGATAAATAAACCAAATGTCTTCATTCGACAAAGTCCGAGCTGAAATCAAAGCAAGCTGATTACTTTCCATACCAAATATGTGTTTACCTTGTTGAGCAGTGGTTGGAGCTTGGTCAGCGCTATGACAGTGGCTTCTATCAAAACCTGGCTGTTGTGGTTGTCTGGGCCTTTTAGACAACTCTCCAGACCCTGTCCAGTGAAAAGAATGGCCAAAATAGTTAATTAACTTCATTTTTAAGATAAGTTTTAATGTAGATGTACAGGAAATGCTCAGCCAAGAGAAGAGCAACAACGGCGCTTAAGGGAATTTAAAGAACATTTGCTTACACAGCAAGCATCCCGGGCCAAATATAGTATGGGCAAGTTACTGTGTAAATGTTCATTGTACTGCACATCTTATGCAGTCTCAATTTGAGGTAGTTTAATGCTGTGTACTTGGAACTATGCTAACACTACCTCATCCAATTGTTACATTAAGCTCTTAGCACAAGTACAGCTTGCATTTAAAGAGCGCCTAATTCAAGCAAAGTAACGTCTTAGAGCGCTTTAGTAACAGAAAGAAGACAGAAAACCTTTGTCTCATTGGGCCTAGTCAGAGTGGAATAATGTGCTACATAGTCACTAGACAGTTTTCTTTTTCTCTTTACCCCTCTACTCAGGTGGCTCAAAAATAATGAGTCATCGAGCAAATACTAAGTGCAATGATTAAAAATATCGAATTGCTAGCTACAAATTCAGGCTTTAGGCTACACATGACGACAAGCCTATTTATATTGCAGCATCACAACCACAGCTCTTCTTCTAACACTACCAACAGCAGCTCTGCTGATGAATGCAATGCTGCAAAATACATAGCAGCACTGTTACCTCCAGAGGCAGTTGCCACTATAACCTGAAATGGGTTTTCCTACCATCTCCATAACTAACTGGACCCAGAATACTGGGGTAAATGGTCCCTCAAACTAGTTCCAAATACTCTGCCTGCCATTTCTTCTGGCTAACGGCAAAAAGCTGTATAGATTAGTGAATGCAACTGGTCAGACATAAGTATGGTATCTACTCTGTTCTCAGTGAGAGGGGAGCTTCTCAAGTCAAAATATCCATATATTTGAATTTTTAAATGCACCCATTACATATTGGATGCCTAAATCTGAACTTTACACATAGCCGTTATTTAACTGATAAAATGTACAAATATTTTCCTCCTCAATCAACAGACACAACCCTGGAAATGTAGAACAATATTTACAAGTCAATCAGGACACAAACAGGAAAGTTCAGCTCTTTAAGCCTCTCCTCATAAGTCTCTGGATCATCTTTATCAACTTTGTCTGAACCCACTCCAATGTTTATCTGCCCCTTTAAAGATAAGGTACCCAAAATTGCCCACATTATTCCAATCTATACAACAACTTATTTCAACGTGTAGCCAATTACAATATCACACTGGATGAATGGTCACTTTCAGTTAATTGAATTGTACTCTTATCAGTACAATTTAGCAGTTAGCTTAGGATGAAACAGACTCCAGGATTCATCATTAACCTTTGGTATTAGACAAAGTGAATAATCAATCCCAATTACGCAGTTTACCACCAATATGGTTCCTTGGTTAATTATCTGCAATTCTCCTGTATTCTCTCTACTCATTTGTTTACACATGGTGCGAATACACGATTTACACCTGACGCATAATAGTTTGCACAAGACTTAATACACATGGAGCTTAATAAATCCCAATCTACTGATGAAGGAGAAAAATGTCAGCAAATATATAGAGCCTTTTTTTAAACTTTAAAAGGACTGCAAGGCTGAGTAACTGAGCTCTTTGACTCGTACTGAAATCTATCACTTCGCAGCATGGTTAATTGCGTATATATTTAGTAACTGTGTTACAGTTGGCGGTTCTGTAAATAAATTCACTATTTTGGACTGTACATTGCTAGTCTATGTTGTAAATTCTGCTTTTAAAACACTTGGTAGCATGCAGAAAGTACACGCACCTCCAATACAGATATTATTTCTTGCCCAGAGACTCCAAAAGCAGAGTGCAAACAGGTAACAGTATTTCAGTTCACACTGAATGAGAAAGTCCCTTTATAGGATGAGCTGTGAGACTGCTACAGGAGAAACAATATTCTACAAATCTCTAAATATAAAAAGACACATTTCAAAATAATACTGATGCAACAGCAATAATTTGCGTTTATATAGCATCCTCCATTGCAGCTAGCAACTTGGAGTGCTTTTCGAATGACAGGGTTGGTTACTGGGCAAGGGAGAAGGGAAAGGGGGAGGTGACCATAGGCATTGTCGAAGAGATAAGTTTTAAGGCAGGACTTGAAGACATATCCACCCGTCTGATAATAATCCCTCAAAAAAAACAATAATAAATTGGTCATTTCAATCCACGACTGTTTGTGGGACGCTGCTGTGCGCAATTGGCTGCTGCGTTTCGCCCCCAAATATACAGTCAATTCACTTTACAGTCTATTCTGTGAGCACTTTGAGACGTCTAGAAGACGTGAAAAGCGTTATATCAAATACAAGGATTATTATTATTATTATATAGAAAGAGGGTGAGATGAGGGAGAGGAGAGAGTTCCAGATGTGAAGAGGTATAGAATCTGAACAATTCGTCACTGATGCTGACGTGGAGAGGGACATACAGCAAGTCTGAATTAGCCATGTGGAGCAGGCAGGTAGATGAGCAGGGTAGGAGATGCTACAACAACTTGCATTAATATAGTGCCCCTCATGCAGGGTAGCGTCCTAGAGTGCTTAGGGCGAGGACCATGAAATCGATTGCTGGAACACCAGAATGGAGCCTGGAAAGAGCCTGCTAACCTCTTATCAATCTGTCCGCTCTCTCCACTCAGCACACTCTGGCCTACTCCATTTCCCCACCCGGCTCACCACACTATCAGCAGTTGGGCTTTCAGCCTCTCTGCCTACACCCTCTCGAACTCCATCCCACATTTCCTTCGCCTCGCTCCCTCCCTTTCCTCCTTCAAGGCACATCTCAAGACCCTCCTCTTCGACCGTTCCTTCGGCCACCCTCCTATGCTCCCTGCCCCCCCCCCCGATCCCGACCCCCAGTTCAGGTCCGTAACACTGACCGTCCAGCGCCTTGGGACATCCTCCTGACGTGAAAGACGTTATACAAATATAATTTTGTCGTTGTGTATATCAACCGTGTCTTATTATGCTTGGCATTTAATTGAATTGATTTAACTAGCTACCAATTTCTGGCTCAGCAAATACCCTGAATCATTTTTTTTCTACTCTGCTGTCGTAAGCGCTCACCATGTTAGTAAAAAGAGAAAACAGACCAAAAAAGAGATTTTGATTTGTAATCTTGAGTGAATTTTTCGAACAGACAATGACACAAGATTCCAATAATAACCCATGTATAACCCGGGTTATTTTAAACACAACTAAAATATTTTAATTTTGATACTTTTCCAAAACCAGTCTCGAAAATAAAACCAGGAAGTATGTGTTCGTCTAACTGAGTGTGTGTAGTTGATCCCTTTACATCGATGAACTGACCTGATGGAAAATGGTACAAGCTGCTGAACTGGGAGAGGAAGAGCATGTGAAGGTGGAAATGAGTCTGCTAAACAATCCATTGGCCAAAATGAAAGGAAATAGACTTCATCATTTAGAAGAGGCATGATACAATGAGACGAGCATCGAGCATGTAAGGGGTGACCAAAAAAGTTGTGATACCATTACAATGTCTGATAAAGAAATAGTGATATTTTGAGGCTTTTTTTTTAGATGATAGGGTAGATACCACAATTTTTTGGTCACCACATGCTTCGGGGTTAGCTGGTTGTCTGACACATGTGGGAACACATCTACCGTGTCTGGAATGAAATGTGAACTCTCTCCCTGGAGGATAGCACCCCTCTCACCCAATTCAGTAGAGCATTAAGTGGAGGTAAGCAACAGCCAAGGCTTCAGGACCCCAGAGGGTGCGTTGGGATATTACCAGAGTTTAACCACCACCACCACCAACAAATTACATTTGTATAACCCTTTCATGTCAGGGGGACGTCCCAAGGCGCTGGACAGTCAGGGATTTAGACCTGAGCAGGGCGTTGGGATCAAGAGAGTTGGAGGGAAGAGAGGGTAAGAGTAGGAGGGTGCCCGAAGGAGCGATGGAAGAGGAGAGTCTTGAGATGTGCTTTGTGGGAAGGGAGGGAGAGAGGCGAAGGGACTGTGGGATGGAGTTCCAAAGGGTGGGGGCAGAGAGGCTGAAGCCCCAACCACTGATGGTTGGGTTGGCCGAGTGGGGAATAGGCAGGAGCTTGCTGAACAAAGGGAGTGAACAGATCGAGATGGCGTTAGCAGGTCACAGAGGTTTGAAGGAGCAAGGCAATGGAGGGCTTTGAAAGCGAGGACAAAGATTTTGAACTCTATCCTCTGGGGGATGGGGACCAGTGGAGCTGGGCGAGGATGGGGGTGATAGGGTCACGGAGCCCTGGTGCGGCAGAGAACACGAGATGCAGAGTTATGAATGATCTGCAGCTTATCAAGGGAAGAGTTGGGAAGGCCGACAAGCAGGGAGTTGGCATATTCGAGCCTAGATGAGGGCTTCGGCGGCTTGAGAGGGGAGGCAGTAGCGGAGCCGGGCAATGTTGCGGAGGTAGGGGAAGGCAGAACGGAGCATGGCACAGATGTGGGGTAGAAAGGACAACTGAGGGTCAAATAAGACGCCAAGGATCCAGATTGACTCAGTGAAGTGGAGTGTGCATTCATGGATGATGATGCTGCCAGTGCCTGAGGTGTGGAGGTGCTGACTGGAACCAATCAAAAGAGCCTCGGTCTTGTTGACTGTAGAAAGTTAGCTCTCATTCAGGACTTGATGGCTGACAGACATCTGTCAGGATAGCAGTGTTTCCTGGAGTCGAGGGTGGAGGGTGTCATCCGCATAGACGTGGAAGTTGACCCCATGTCTGCAGATGATTTCAACGAGAGGGAGCATATAGATGTTGAAGAGGAGAGGATCAAGGATAGAACCATGAGGAACTCTGCACAAGATCGAGCGGGTACTGGAGGAGAAGCCGTTCAAGGAGACAAAGTGGAGACGGTGCAACAGGTAGAATTTGAACCAGACAAGGACAGGACCAAGAAGGTTGGGGTGAGAGGAGAGGCGGCACAGGATAGACTGGTCGACAGGTAAAACTAGCTAAAACTGCCCAAAGCTTGCCATTGATAGCACTGTCTGGTGTAAACTGCCTGCTATTTATCTAGGTAGGACCACAATTGGGGCTTTGGCATGCAGGGTTAAAAGGAGCCAAGTGGGAAGAATTCCTGAACTCAGTTGCCGTCCAAGAACCATCTTAAGACTGTCAGGGCCCCCGACAGTACAGTCAGATAGAGAGCACAAACCATTGATCGAATTTCTTAGCAAACCCTATAATGTGCAGTGATCTACAGCAATATAACAATTTGGAAACAGTCTATACATTCCCATGGTGTAGCTGAGGAAGTAACAGATAAAGCAAGAGATATTCTTGGTTTTCTCCCCTGCAGCTCAGCTTGTTCCACAACGATGATAAACCCTCCCACACACTCAAGGTTTGGTAAAAACTTCAGAACACAGCAAATCTAGCATCTGACAAAACCTACTGCTACACTGTGGAAAACTTCCCCCAAAACATTCACTGTTATGTCAGTAGTATCAAAACTGAAAATGCTTGTGCTGTATTTAACACATATAGAAGTGTATTGAGGCAGGTAGGTAGAGAATTCCAGCACAAGATGCTCCTGTATGAAAAACGTGAGTAGCACTAAATGCTGGAATTGGATAGCATTCATCGGCCCATCAAATCAGGGGCACTCCCCATCACACCAGGGTGTTGCTAATACTCTTCATCGATCAGATCAGTGTTTACTTCAAGAGCTTACTAATGTATAAACCACAGAGATAATGACTGGAAGGTGGATGCACATGGAAGAAAATTTGTTCAGGCCCCAAAGTAATAATAATAATAATCCTTGCATTTGATATAGCGCTTTTCATCTCGGAAGGACGTCCCAAAGCGCTTCACAGAACACACTGTAAAGTGAATTGACTGTATATTTGTGGGTGAACGCGGCAGCCAATTGCGCACAGCAGTGTCTCACAAACAGTCGTAGATTGAAAATGACCAATTTTATTATTGTTTTTGGTTTTGGAGGGATTATTATTAGGCTCTGTGTGGAGTAAGGAAACTTGCCCAAGGTTTCGCCCTCTGCCTGGAATTGAACTCAGGTCTCTCACTTGCAAAGCGAGTGCTCTAACCACTGAGCTACAGGACTCCTGTAATAGTGGACTCGCTCGTGAATGCTACTGCTGGTACTTATTCAGGAGTGAACAAATACTATCTCTGCACTGAAGTAAATACACAAGATTTTTTTACATTTTTTTTTGCTGTGAATAATGACTAATAATGACAAAGAGGAAACAGCCTCACCTTTGCAATACTCATTTGATGTCAAGAAACATGATTTAATGATCAATGATCATGAACTAATCACAGGATTGATGATCTTGTGCAGAGATAAGTTTCACAGTCTGTTTATAGAGCAAATACATGAGCAAATAAAATCTCTGTGATCAAAGAGGAAACAGCCCAGCTATCCTGAACGCTCACCTTTGCAATTTCTGTAACACAACATGCTAGACAATAAGTGGGTAAAACCTAAATACAACACACTTCAGGTTATTAATCAATTCTGTCCTGACGCTATCATTTAAAAACTTTTAACACTTCCACCATTCACTGTTCACAGAGCACATTTTTTTCTTGACTTTTCTTAAAAAAAATCTTTGTTAAGTTAAAATAACTTCACAGACCTGAATTAAGAACGGCGGTACAAGTGAAAAGCCTCTGATAAGCACGGTAATCTTGTCACTCACCTTACTGAGGATCCGAATGATTTGTTTAATTTGCCCGTGGGTCACTCGTTTACTGATGCAACCGAATACAACAAGTGCTCGTGGTTGGAGAGAAGGGTTGTACTGGAATGCAAATCTACGTGGAGAAAAAGACAATAGTAAATAACCAGAAAAGCTAGAGGGAATCCCATCCACAGGCAACGTGCTGTAAGGGCATCAAACCTGCAGTGGAACACCCTCAGTGTGTTAGAAAAAATTAAAAACATTTTTAACAGCATTACAGCTGTTAAAACATTATACTATTTTTTTAAAAAAATAAAACTATACATGGCAAAATGGGACCCAAATGACCCAAACACTGTACCAGTAAAATACCGAAAATACTTTTATTCCTCCCATTATGCAAGCCAACATACAAATCTGAGACCGTTGTTGTCAACTGCAAAAAAAAGGAATTGATAATTCATCTTTCGTGCAATTCGTAGATAAGCCAAACGTACTTTTGTGCTAATTCAGTCCACTGGTCGAGCCACTTGCAGGTGGGTATATCCCTCATGCAGGCCTGAAACAAAGTCATAACAGTCGGATTACAATCCATTATTAAATACAATGAGTCTCGCCGAATGTGTTACTGCGTTAGCAACGAAGAGAAACACTTCTTCAAAATATAATGGATTAGAAATGAAGTGAACGTTGTTGTAATAACAAATATGACAGCAAATTTGCCCTAGCAATGTCCCATAATTAATGAGGTGAGAAGCCAGTTTGTTTGAACTTGGATTAGGATGAATTAGGTCGGGAATACATGTTGGGAGATTATAGGAGAAGGACCCCAGATATCTTTGAGAGAACGGCAGCAGTGTGGTCCACCTTTACATCACAAGGGAGATAGAATTTAAAATTAATAATAAAGACTGAGATTATTAATGAGATGGGAGGTAATGATTTGGAAATAAATAATAAAATTGTAGACAATATAGAACAATGTTATGTTAAGAAATGTGACAGCAACATCCTACAAAGAAGTGAAACTACAGTTGTGGAAGGACATCAAGAAAAAAAATGTAAAGAGAAGAAAAAAAGCTTCAAAGTTTTGATGTTATTCATCTCGGTTTACTCAATGTACTCAATATAAAATAGGATATCATGTATTTTAAATCAAACCATCAAAAACATTTCACGTAAAATTCATTACATTGTGTCAGACTGGCTCAGTTGGTAGCACTCTCACCTCGGAGTCAGAACTGTGAGTTCAAGCCCTTAGTTGGGTCTTTGATCTCACAAGTCTAGGCTGACACTCCAATGCAGTACTGGGGGTAAGCTGCATTGTTGGAGGTGACGTCCTACGGATGAGACATCAAACCAAGGTGCCATCTGCCTGTTCAGGTGGATGTTGAAGATCCCATGGCACAAGTCAAAAAGAGAAGGGAATTTTCCTGCTGTCCTGGTCAACAATCCCACAAATAAAATTAGTTACTCACTTTATGGGACAATGCTGTGTGCGTTCACCTACAAAATATACTGTCACTACACTTTACAATATATCCAGCCGGAGTATAAAAAGCTAACCAACTGCGATTTTAACTGCCTCACACACTTCTCAAGCATTCCTTCTTACCTCCATTATTTCCAGCAAGGCTTCAGTGACAGTTTCCAATGACGTCAGGGCAAACGTCTCCCGCTCGTAGGATCCAGGCGAGAACGAGCGATCCCGGTAACTAGATCGGAACGCGATCACAGCAGCTGATTTGACTTTACTGATTCCAAACAGCAGGTAAAACTTGGGCAATGAAAACTCAGTCAGACTCAGCCTCAGCACTTGTTTTGTTTCCTCTGTTAGGAAAAGACGGGAAGAGAAGTTAGTTTTAAATACAGTTTTACGGGCATATTTCTCTAACTGAACACATTTCAAAAATTACATGTAAATCAGCATTGTGCAGGTATGTTCAAGCAGCAATAAGTCACATACATACGAGTGTTACCCAGTTGGCTTCCGATAGGAAAAGCCATCAACATCACTTTCTGTGCAGGATGCCTGACATCATCTAGTGACGCAAGTGACATCACGGAGGCTCTTTTTGGGTATGGCTCACATGCGTGTGCACAGGAAATGACAACCTGGAAGTTAACCATTTTGTGCTTTGTTTATATAACGTGGTCTCCGAGCACTTGGCCCCCAAGGACTCTGTTTTAACCAGGAGCCCCTGCATTTGTAATACTTGCTAAATCATTCCACTTGATTTCTTTTTGCCAATTTTGAGCTTTAAGTTTCCGGTCCTCCTCACTGCAGCTGTCCCAAATGCTTCTACATATGGTGACCTGACCCACAGTTCGTTAGTGTGATAACCTGTCTTCAGGGCTGTGGCATGAGCTGGGCTAAAGTTCCTCGGTGATGGCAGTACACTATCATTTTACTCAAGTAGCCATTCTTCATTTATAAACTTTGAAAAGAAGTGGAATGGGCTGTTTGATCACAGGGACATTGCAACATAGCGTGATATTGTTCACACAGAGCGTTTTGGAAATTGCGGACAGACATTCTGAAATCAACTCTTACAAATTACCCAGCCCTTCCTCAAATCTCTTTCCGATTTCCCCTCACTCGAATGCTGAAAATGTTTGGTTTTTATCATTGCTAAATCATCACAAATTAGAATAAGTCAGCACCAATTAAAGGAAATTATGCTGCCCTGTTGTGAAATTTTGAGAGCCCAGGAAACAAGCATTGACCCTGTATCCCAGGAATGCTCTTCAAAGGCTAGTGCAATGGTGTGTGACCTCGATATTGCTTCACACTTGCAAGTGCACGTTCCCATCAACGTAGATGAAAATAAACACACAATTTGGCAGCTCACTGCAGGCACATAGCAGCAGTGAGTCACGGTTGATGATTCTATAAACTAAAGGCTTCCCAATTGAAAGGATGTCTGTTGAAAAGTTCCAGGAGAGGATGACACTGAAGGAACAACACTGAGCCTCTTTTCGTTTTGCTCTCCCCCTCATCCCATCCCATCCCATCCCTAACCCCAGCAGGCTAACACACTGGTCTTCAAAACTAAATAGCAGCAAAACATTGATGTAAGTTACGAATCTTAATTGTCTTTTTATCTTGTTGAAATGCACAATGGAGAAACTGATAATAACTGAGCTTACCACTGAAATTCAGCTGGGAACACGTGCAAAGTGAATGAATGATGTTGATGACCAGACCATGAGTGGAAGCTCGAAGGGACAGAGGCCCAGTGGCCACCAATAAAGTGACTACATGGAAGAGGTAGGGGAGATGTGCAGCCACATCAAGTGAATTGTTGAATGACAGCATCAACATGTAACGGGCAAGGATAGCGATGTCATCCCACATCAGGTGCTGTTCCAGTGTTGGGGTCGGAGAGAGACAGGTCTTATCTATTATTTTACACATTCGTCCAATCACCTGGAAAGATCAACAACGGTTACACACAGCACATGAAATACAGCAGTTCAGTTTGTGTAGTGTTCTGATTAGTACAACACTTTGCACATCAAAAGCCAATAATAATAAATCTTGCATTTGACATAGTGCCTTATCACATCTTCGAGACGTCACAAAGTGCTTCGCAGAACATACTGTAAAGTGAAATGACTGTATATTTTGTGGACGAAAAGCGACAGCCAATTGCGCACAGTAGCGTCCCACAAACAGTGGTGGATTGAGTGACTAATTTATTATTATTATTATTTTTTGGAAGGAATTGTTACCTCCAGAAGAGCGGGGATAACTAGGAGGAATTATCAGACAACACAACAAATACAATTCATTCCACAGATACCAAGGACAGAGTTGCAACATTCACGCCTGATCTGAATCCCCAAATTTTTCATTTTTTCAAATGATGACAAATTCAATAAAATCCCTGCAACTTTACTTGGCCTTAGAACTGGAATAAACCTCAAAATGAAGTTGGTTCACCGTAATAGAGCGGAATGTTGCAAACTTTAAAGGCAAGGGTGTGCCTTTAGACTGCATGGTGTAGGAAGGAAGGAAAAAGAATTCTAATCTTTCACACCACAACTTATTGTTGCTAAGAAAGAAAATTGCATAATGAAGCTAGCGGAGTCTCCTTCAATGTACAGGGTGACCAAAAAGTCATGATTCCATTACAATAAGTGTAAAATAATTTTTTTTTAGAAAGTAGGGTAGTATCACGACTTTTTGGTCACCCTTTATTATCCAAACACCCTGGTTTAGTGCTGCACATAAGAGCTATTGTCATGGTCAACATCTCAGCTTGTGTGAGTGTGGCATGATGACCTTTCATTATTGATATTCCATTTTAACCTTGGGACTGAAAGAGAACACTGAGATACTGCTGTAGGGTAACTGTGTTGTCTTCGGCATACAAAAATAAGGAGAATACACAGATCGATATTCTTATTACAAATGGTTCGTACCTTGCTCGAAACAAGCTTCACATTCCCTGATGCCAGGGCGACTGCAGTGTCTGCCATGACCTCAGCTTTGATGGAGCCCAAACCACCTGTAGCACTCGTCTTGATGAAACTGTCCAGTACCACATCAAGCAGATCCGTAATCTGCAAAAGAAATATCAGAGGTTGAAGCACTAATAATAACAATAATCCTTGCATTTGATATAGTGTCTTATCACTTCTTTGAGACGTCTTAAAAACGCTTCACAGAATATATTGTAAAGTGAATTGACCGTATATTTTGTGGGTGAAATGCGGCAGCCAATTGCAAAAACAGCAGTGTCCCACGGACAGTCGTGGACTGGACCAATTTATTATTAAATTAGATGGGTATTGGAACAAATATAACATAATTGACAATATTGGGCAGCCTGCAGTATTCGCTGCACTGGGGTATTGTGCCTTGAAGCAACAGGACGCAGGTTAGGATCTGCAATTCCCCCAACAGATACCTCCTGCTTGAAACCAAACCATCAGTTTTCTCACCGGCCATGTAGGAACATTAGATGCTGATTCAGCCCTGGATGTGTACCTCTTCATAGCAATCAATTAATACAATGCTGACAGGGAGATAAGACCATGCCCATCCAAGCCTGGCATGTTTTCAGGGAAAAGAGGAAAAATACTAAAATATGCTTTCATATCACAAGTTATAGTTTTTCAGAACCAAATTGTATCAGTAGGAGAGCAGAGCATTCCTTGAACACATGATCCAAACACTCTGGCCTAGTTGTGCATGCAAGGAGCTATTGTGATGGGCAATATTACAGCTTGTGAGAGTGCAGGGTTTACTTGAGAACCCTTTCCTTACTGATATACCACGCTACTTTTTTGACTGATGGTGAACATTGAGGTACAGCTATAGAGTAGGTGTGGTGTTTTAGGCTCACCAAAATAACAGGATACATAGCTGATCGATAAATATCTAACAGAGAAACCTAGATTAACATCTTAGATGTGACTCTACACCAAAACTGAACGAAGGGTCACACCCAAAACTTTAACCATTTTTTTTTCTCCCCCACACACTGATCAATCTGCTGTAGATTTTGTTTCCAGATTTTCACATTTGCACTTTTATCTCTCCGCGGTTTAAATTAGTTGAACCATCGCTAAGCTGTTTTTCTATTCTGCTCCTTGACTGTAAGCAAAATATTTTAACATACTAGAAAAAAAAGTGTGTGAGATGGGAAAGACCAGAGGTTTCTCTGCAGCTTCCCAAACAGACTGAATAATAATATCTACATTTGATATAGCACAGATAATGTCAAAAAGTCCCAAAGAGCTATATTCTGCAGGTCAAAACAATTTGTTAACCTTTGTTATCTTTAAAGAATAGTAAAAGTTATGAACCATTTTACCCTGGCATTATATTACCTTCACGTCCTCCCGACATGAAAGGCATTTTACAAATGTAATTTTGTAATTATTGCAAATTGAGAAACAATCGTAGTATTTCAAGAGCAGCGATTAAACTGGTAACTGGTACCTGGCCAAGGCTGCCCCAGATCTTTGCCTGGATGGAAGGGTACATCTGCTTCTCATTGATGGTCATCGTAATTAGCTTATCCAAAATGGCAGTAACCCGTTGACGTTTTGCGTCGTCATTGTGCTTGCAAAAGCGGACCAAGTTCAACAACCAGGGAGTCATGTATTCCAGACAGAGATGTTTGAGTTCAATACCTGCAACACAAGGACTCAACCATTATATCTAGAAAATATTACCACCTTTCGCTCATTTACTTTAATTCACAAACCCATTTAGTGTGAGGGAAAACATTTCTTCATTCCATTGCTAGTCGACATATCACAGCAATATGCTTAAGTTCACATCAATTACTGGCTGTTTTTAATTTTATATATTTTCCCACAAAAACATTACATTCGTTGCCTGGGTTATCTATTCCTTCACCTTGCAAAGAATCATCACGACTCTGACTCCACAGAGATATCAACAGACACCATTAATGCCCCTCAATTAACCAGGTTGAAATTTCCTCTCAAGCAAGTTTTCTTCTCCACTCACGAATGACTTGGCACAGACTAGAAGCCTCACTTTCTATGGAAGTTAAATGTAAAGTGCCGTCAAGAATGAATTGAAACACAAGTTTCTTTGGGTGGTACTATATTGTAGTAATGTAGTGATTGGTTTGCCACAGAGAGAAATGTTTCTGCTCGAAAGCACAGCCTCCATGTCAATTTATAATTGGGGCTGATCTGTCATGAGAGATGACAAGTGAAGACTAAATGCTCAAACCCCAGACCATTCATGATATACCACTTTGCAGGAGAATCAGAAAAGTACCGTGGGACCCTCTCAGTTCTTTTAGAATATCAAGAGTGCAGTGAGAGACAAGAACTGAGGTGTGTGTGTGTATGTGGGGTGGGCGGGGAATGGGAGTTGTAACTGTTGGGCAAATATCCTCAATAAAACAATTTTGGAAGTACAGCTAATAGAATAAAAAGTTCGTTAGATAATGCATGATAAAGGGTACATAATACATCATATCTCAAGCTTCGATATCTCTGCATCTCCGAATAATTCTACAAATTTCAAAATCACAAAATCTAGTACTCACTGGATTTGCTGAATCCTGAGATACACTCCTCAAGGAACTCTAGTGTCAGGTGGGGCTCATTTGCTGCCAGCGTTTTACTAATAGAGACAATAAATAGAGTGTTGTTTGCAGGGATGCACAGTCCAGATGTCTCCAGCAACTGACCTTCGATTTTCAGATTGAAGGTACATGTTAAGGCACACAAGAGATTATAGGCAGCAGATCTGGAAAAACAAATGATCCATTAATGCAATAAAACAATTATAGAAAATGGTCATCTCACATGACATAAAAACAGACAATGTTTAAAATGCCAAGAATACTTATTCTACAAAACAGGAGATTCATTCATTTTACACAGCTACCGGCACCATTTACAATGACAGGTAAACAACTGAAATGTGATTATGGCTAAGTGAAATGGACCCAAAGCTGAATTTGAGAGCAGCATTTGCCCTCGTCAGAGAGCAGCAATCTGCCCTCTTGAAGGCACATCAGCAGGTAACCAGAGTGAGAGGAGGGTACACGCTATAACCGAGGCTTCAGATCGAGAGGAGCAGCAGGTGAGAGCAGGAAACACTCAAGCAGGGGAGAACTCCAAAGATCAGAGGATCCCCTGGGCTGACACGACCGCCATGGTACACAGCAGATTTACTTGTGGGTGACCTCCTTTACTTGAGTTACCTCCTTCACACATTGGTTTGTGTACTAGACTGAGCAGTCCACAAAATAATTTGAAGGTTTGTGACAATGTTGGTGGAAAACACTTATCATTAAAAGCTGGATGTGCATCACTTCTTCGGTATTTGATTTGCACTATTCACAATTCAAAACATTTTCCCAGGAGAGCGATCATGTCTTAAGTCAGATGGGAGAGGCAGAATATCTCCCATGTCAGATAATAGACAAAAACAAATAGCATTTGATTTAGTGGCTTTCATTGTCAGGAGGATGACTCAAAGTGTTCTCTGTAAACTATAGTTCAGGAATGATTCTCTGTAAAGTAGTGACTGTATTTTGACGCCAACAAAGGGATGATTTCCCAAGTTGGTCTCAATGGTAAAACTTCAACAACTTGCACCACAACTGGTAAATGGGCTGATTTCTACAGCAATTGTATGCAAATTCTTCTGTGGTACTTCTTTACACCAAGGGTGGTGAGAATGTGGAGCTAGTCATTTTCTAAAAGAATGCATTTCTTCAGCAGTCATAGAAAGGACCAAGATCACAGTGTCCGAAGGCCAAAAAGCAGCAGTTACACAATCCAAAGGAAGAGAGACTTCAATTGATGTCAATTTCAACCAAACAAGATGTGAATATAGAGAGACAAAGAAAAGGAAAGCGAAAAAAAAGACAGATTTACAAGTTGCTTCTGTTCATCATTTAATTTTCAATATCAGTCCAACAATTGTGAACAAGCAGAATGGCCAAACGTTCCAGGTCTGACTTACTGGCCCGACGGTGTTAAGCCAGGACTCAGCTTCATGATTGAATTCTTAGTGAGCTCATCCATCATTGAGCATGTTTTATCTATTCTGTGTTGAAATTCATGAATTACCATACAGATTACCCACATTAAAAATTAATTGAAAGACTAAATTAATGACTTTGAGCAGGAACTACACTGGGCTGACGTCAAGGCACAAAGTAGGTGGTTTATTCTGTGGTGATCAAGAGCATCCTTAGATATTTTGTATGTTCTTCTGAGGGACCATTTACTCAGCCTCAGATAGGTAGCATGGAGTCAGCAAGAGAAAATACATAAAACTGTGGCTCGAGTAAGAAATCTGTCATACAATACAGGAAAACCACCAAAATATTGACATTATCATTTTGTTCAATGTACCACATTCTGTAAAGTCCTACTTCTTTTGTTTTCAAAATAAATTACATCCACATGAAAATACTACTAAAAAAAACTAGACAACACTTAATGATGCTTAAACAATTGTCAAATAATCATATTGTGTTTGTTTGTATAATATAGGAAATAAAACAGTTAATAGTTTCAGGTAGGAGTAAACCATTTTTCAAGTAACCAAACTATTCAACTTCTCAAAGGATTCTTTCAACAAATTTATCTCATAATCTGGGTACATATATGTATTTTGCTGTATGAATTTTATGACAATTTAAAGTGCCACCTCCTGCTGTACATATAACTAAAGTAACAAATAACAAATACACTAACTGTGAATCATGGTGTTGGATCTTGTAATGTAGCTCAAAGATTTACTCAATACAACAAAATTATTAAAAGATTTCAATTTCCCTGAAAGTTTTTAACTGGCCCAAAGGATCACACTTAACCTTTTCAACAGCACGTGAGATATGGTCCCATCTAAAGCTGGCCTTTAAATACACTGCAAAAATAACCCAGCACAAAGAAAGTGAAGGTAATAAGCCTACCGTAAGCTTGGATCTGAGCTCCCAAGGTTGAGAAGTGCTATATTCAGCAGTGTTCCTGGAACATCCTTTGGTCGTATTTTAGTGTGCTGTGGGATAGAGTCTGGCTGCGACAATTCCCATCGTGTCCTTATGTGGATAATAGATTGCACGATTGCCTCGCATTCCTGGTGCATGAATGTTAGTGGTGTGCCTTGATTGGCAATGGTTAGTGTGAACTGGTTTTCATCCACCAGGCAGATCTCCTCGATTTCTGAAGCGTAGTAAATGTCATTCAGAAACACCGACTGGCCGAGGACTCTTGTCCGCTCTGCTGAAGTCACCTGAACAGCTGTGGATCCCACCTGGTTCAACAAAATGACGAAAAATCAATCAGAAAACCTATGCTGAGCAAAACTGATAGGATTTATGAAATATAATAATAATCCTTGCATTTGATATCACGTCTTCGACGTCTCAAAGGCTTCACAGGATATGCTGTAAAGTAAATTGACTGTATATTTGTGGGCGTAAAGCGGCAGCCAATTGTGCGCAGCAGTGTCCCACAAACAGTCGTGGATTGAAAATGACCAATTTCTTATTGTTTTGTTTTTTTGGAGGGATTATTATTAGGCGTGTGGAGTAAGGAAACTTGCCCAAGGTTTCGCTCTGCCTGGAATTGAACCCAAGTGTCTCGCTTGCAAGGCAAGTGCTCTAACCACTGAGCTACAGGACTCCACGCAAATCATTGCTACTAAATATATAATATATAAATATATATAGTATATCTAATACATTGCTACTGGGAGCAGATCACCCCCATTATTGCCCATCCTGGTTGGTTGCCCATCTCCCCAGACGATCAAGTTCAAGATCTTCGTCCTCCCCTTTAAAGCTCTCTGTGGTCTTGCTCCTCTGCGACCTACTAAAACCATACCTACCTGTCCACTCCCTCAGCTGGGCCTGCTCCAACTTGCCCACCCCAACATCAGTGGTCAGGCTTTCTGCCCCCATTCTCTGGACCTCCATCCCGGAGCCTCTTCGCCTTACCAACAACAACAACTTGGATTTATATAGCGCACTGCTCACCAGAGCGCCTTACAGTAATGGATCTCGGCGCCGAGCCAAGTGGAGGGGAGGAAGGTGACCGAAGGCCCGGTCGAAAAGAAAGGTCTTCGGCAGAGACCTGAAAATGGGAGGGGAGGGAGCGAGGCGAAGGAAGTGCGGGAGTTCCAGCGCCTCGAGGTATAGTAGCTGAAGGCACGGCCGCTGAGGGTGGAGCGGAGGACTTGGGGGACGAGGAGTAGGCCAGACCCGGAGGAACGAAGACAATGGGTACTGTTTTGAGGAGAGGTCAGAGAGGTAGGGGGATGCAGAGGAGTGCAGGGACTTGAATAGAAGGGTGAGGATCTTGAAATCAACTTCCTTGCCTCCCTCAAAGTTTTTATCAAGTCCTTTCTCTTTGACTGTGCCTTCGGTCATTGTCTGTCCCACCCACACCACCTCCTCCTCCCCTCTTGATTCTAACCTCAAGCTCAGGAGCAAACGCTTGACTGGCCTGGGCCTTGCGACATCTTCCCAACGTGAAAGGAGCGTATAAATTAATTTGTTTTGTTCTATTTCCAAAACATGTCCCTGTTATCTATTACAACAGCTGTTGGCTTCTGAAGTCCCAATGATTTTATCGTAAGTGACAATGAAGAAATGAAAGATTTTGAAAGAAAGGACCTCCTACCTTAATAGAGACTTTAGTGTCCTTGTGGGCCAGTTTTAGAGCATTATGAAATACTTTCAAATCCTCCTCTAGAGCCAGCGTGGCAGCAGGAAGTTTCTGATGATCTGGCTCAATGTGTTCCACAAGCTTTCCCGGTGAGTCAATGAATATCAGCTTTTTGCTGCCCTTGAGTCCTGTTAAAAGCCGTTCATGATATTTTGTGTATTCTCTGACCCAAGAGTTACAGTTATAGATGTACACGGCAGCCACATTCTCATAGGCTACACCAGGAAAAACCACAAACCATTTGGAGAGGAAGTCTGTTTTAAAACGATTGCTGGGCCCTGCATGGGTGAGGTCCACAACAATCTCATATGGCTTGGCATAATATGGCTTCAGAGTTAGGAGGACGTGGTAAATAAGGAGATCGCCGTTTATCTGCCCAGTCTTGAATCTGCAAGAGGAAAACAAAAGGCTGCAGCAATCTTACTACAAAGAATTCAACTTGATAACCAATCATCTATTTAAAAAAAAACTTGCATTTGAAAAAGCATCTTTCACATCGGAAGGACGTTTCAAGGTGTTTTGCGGTAAAGCGATGCGACTGTGTATTTTGTAGGCAAATTCAGCAGCCAATTTACTCACAGCAATGTACCACAAACAGCTATGAAATGAGTGGCCTATTTTATTTTCCCAATGTTGAAAAATGAACAATAAATACAAATTCTTGCATTTGATATATACTTTTTGCTTTAAGAGGATTTCTCAAAGCACTTCACAGGATCCACTGTAAAGTGTAGCGAGTGTGTATTTTATTGGTAAACAATAAACAAAGACTGAAATACAATTGCTTTTCAGAGTTTAATACCCAACTAAATGCAGTTTAATACAAAACCACTGAAAACAATACAACTGGTTTCACTCTTGATTACTGAACACAATGAAATGCTATTGGTTTGAAAGAGAATTTCACTTACACCACTAATGTATATATGAACTTTATAAAAGCAAGTTTATTTTACATATAATTTAATACAAGATTTCTTTCCTCCTAAAGAAGGAAATGAAATTTCAAGCAGCCTGAAATCAACCACAGATATCACTTTACTGAGTTTATTATTCAAAATTTGGAGATGATGGTAGATCATAGTTGATTACAGAAGAGTTTTATTATAAACAAATCAACATTTTTCCAAGAAGAGGTTTTCCTTTTATCAATTTTAATATTCAGTTTCTTCCCATACTTACAGAAGAAAAATATTCATTGGCAGCTCATGTGCAGGGGATATTTACAGTGGTTTGAAAACACTCCAAGTATCCTATTATAGATATTACTTTGCAGTTGTCTGTTATAAGGAAATGTGTCAGCCCTTTGTGGTTCACAAACGTCATCGGATTGCAGCTACTGGTGCAACTTGCAGTTAGATGACGGAGATCTTCTGACAATAATTCATTTATCCAACAGACTTTCAAAACCAGTACCGAGGTTAGTGGCAATAAGACAAAACTCCGGAGTGCATCTGAGCTTTATTGACTGAAAAAGAGATTGGATCAACCAGTTGTTGAAGGTAAGTTGCAGGTTGTCTCACTGCGCTATGTGGGTTCATTCCAATAACCTCTTCCTCAAACCAGCAGAAACATATCATACAGCAACTTTATTTTGATAAACAAAATGTTTTTTTACTTCTGTTTTTTTATGCAATGATTTTCCTTCAGTTATGCAATTACGGGGCTTGCTGTAGCCCCCTGGCAAACTCTGCCCGGTTTGTGGCACAGATCATCTGGTGTCTTCTGTGGACAACAGACTCCACTGAGTTGTATCTGAGAAACAGGGAATTTGTAAGTATTATGATTCTTTCATTTCCCTTTGGAAATTATTTTAAAGTATTTCCTTCTGAATTCCTTTCCTCCCTGGCTATGAGTGTAGACTTTCTCCACATAAGCCCCAATCAATTCTCCTCTGAATCTGACCCCACAAGGTGTGTGAAAGCAGTCTCTGGGGGGACAACACTTCCTCCAATATTTTCCCTCTCTCTAAAACATGACTTCTGCTTGCACTTTATCACTGCTGAACCAAGAAGACGAGAAAGCAGAATGAAAAGGAAAGCAAATGTCCCTTTCCGAAGCTGAATTGTGCACTGAACAAAAAAAGTCACAAACTTTCATCCTGTATTTCACCCCTTTTATATTGCAACCTGGTGATCAGCGTTTTGTCCTTAAAACAGCAGAGTTTCTGGCAAGATTAAACTCCAGATTAAACAGTTGATCAGTCTCCGAATGACTTGGCAGATGCAGCGTTTGTGATCTGAACATTCCTCTGGAATTAACTTGCACTGATTTAGTGGCTTTCACATCAGGAACACTTCCCTCAAAATACTTCTCACAGCTTACTGGGAGCACAAGGTTTTTTGAGGGGTGGAGAGGGAATCTTGGACGCTGGGATGGAGTTCCACAGAGCTAGGCAGAATGGGGAAAGCTCCCCTACCAATTGGACGAGGAGTAGGATTGCAAGAGGTTGGAGAGATTTGAAAGCAAGGATGGTGATCTTGAATTCTATTTACTGCATGATGGAGGCCACTAACATAAAACTGTAATATATTCAATATTTCTAGCTGTTTGTGGTGTATCCTTTCTTCCCACATTAGACTCCCCGAGTCTATCATCCTCATCTTGCTCCACATCCCCCAAAGGGTCGTCTTGTGCTCACTTTTAAATTGCTCCGTGGTCTTGCCCCACCCTATCTCTGTCACCTTCAAAAACCCGAGCAACCCAACCCGCATCCTCCGTTCAGCAGGCACTAACCTGCTTCACTTACCCTGCCCCGCCTGCCCCACCATCAGCGGTCAGGCTTTCTGCTTTCATACCCCCACTTTCTGGAACTCCATCCCGGAGTTTCTTTGCTTCACCCTTTCCCTCACCTCCCTCAAGGTCGACCTCAAGACCTTCCTCTTTGATATATTTGGTCATATTTCCTTCCCCACCACAGCCCCCGAATGCAACCCCCACCTCGGGTGCAAACCCTTGATTGTCCAGCGGCTTTGGATAGCCGCCCAATGTGAAAGACGCTATATAAATGCAATTTGTTGTTGCTGTTTTTCCATAGAAAATTAACTTTGCATTTGATATCGCGGGTATAATGTTAACATTTCTCAAAGCGCTCCTTCACAGGTAATAGTGGTCAAGTGTATGTTGCAGCTCAAGGCAAGCTCAGTAGTCAATTTGAGCCCAGTAAGGTGCCACAAACAGCCACAAAGTGATGATCAATTCAACTGAAATATGGTTGTCCAGGATAAAAAAAATTATTTGGCAATGGTATTCCTTCTACAAATTATCATAATATGCTTATGCTCCTCCTGTGGTGATATCATCCGCAGACATGGGGTTAACTTCCACATGTATGCGGATGACACCCAACTCTACCTTTCCTCCTCTACCCTCAACTCCACGACCCCCGATGTCCTGACAGCTGTCTGTCCGACATCGAGTCCTGGACGAGAGACCAACTTTCTTCAGCTCAACGTGCGTAAAACTGAGGCCCTCCTGATTGGCTCACGTCAGCGCCTCCGCACCTCAGGCGCTGACAGCATCAGCATCCAAGGCTGCACTCTCCACCTCTCAAAGCCTTCGCTTCCTCCCTTTCCTCCTGCAAGGCCGGTCTCAAGACCTTTCTCTTTGACCGAGCTTTCAGCTCTCCTCTCGACTCTCTACCCCCTCCTCGCTCCCTCCCTTCCCTGCCCTCACCCTGACCATTTCCCCCCTGCTCGGGTCCTGACCCAACTGTACAGCGCCTTGGGACATCCTCCCGACGTGAAAGGCGCTCTATAAATGGAATCTTGTTGTTGTTGTTGTATAACAGCATCACCTTTATTTACAATTATTTGGGCCAAGCAATTAACATTTATATAGCACCTTCTACATCGGAAGGATGTCTCAAAATGCTTCAAAATGAATCTGGGTTAATGACTATCTCTGATATTATTAATTCTGCCCTAACGCCTCGGGCTATGTAAAGTCTCCAAAATTGTACCAAAGAACCAGGTGTAGTTCAATACATTCCGCACACATTTGAGAAAGAGTAAAGTACAACCCATTTTGTTAATGCAGATCGCCAATAATAAAGTTGAAGGGAAGAGTGCAAAGGGTGCAAACTCCTTCCTTTAAGAAGAATGAAGTATACTGAAAGATTTGCAGCATTTCCTTCATGTTTTTTCTCATGTTGTTCAATTCAAAGTCCNTTTTTTGCAATGGTTGTTTGAACCTCTTTAGTGGAACAGATTTGGAGGTATTACACAGCCAACAGCTCAGCTGAATTAATACATTAGAGACAGTCATTAACTCAGAATAGTTCAGAGATGTCGCCAATCAGACATGCAGGTTAATTCAACTCATCTGCAATATTAAAATCAGTAACTCCGCAAATAGTAGCTCAGGTATAAAAATAACCACAAATTAATGACAGCGACAAGCAGTAGCAATTATACCAAAGACAGAATATAGGGCTATCCTCATGGCACACTTGAGTTTATCCAGTGAGGAGCTGAGTGACGGACAAGGAAAGATTTGATCCTCTGCCTGTGCTCAGTGAGCTGATTTCAGGTGGGGAGGCAGTCAGGGAAACTACAATTTACATAATTGTTTGCATAAACAAAATGGATTGGGCTTTGCACTTTTCTCAAACGTGTGTGCAATGAATTTAAACACATCGGGGAGCTTGGTAAAGATCTGGAGACATTATATAACCTCACGCTGTTTGGGAGCAGAATTAATGCAATGGGAGAAGGTCATGAATCCACAATCACTTGGTGACACTATAACTACTTACACATAACAATAATACTTGCATTTGATGTGGAGCCTTATCATGTCTTCGAGACGACTTAAAACGCTTCACAGAATATATTGTAAAGTGAATTGACTGTATATTTTGTGGGCGAAACGCGCCAGCCAAATGTACACAGCAGTGTCCCACAGTTGTAGATTAAGCAAAAATTATTTTTTTTTAAGATTAAGGGATTATTCCCCCGGAAAAGCGATCCGCCGATCAACAAACAACCGGGTTCCTACTTGGTAAACAGAGGCGTGTAGAGTAAGGAAACTTGCCTAATTTTTCTACACAAGTATCAAACGACAAATCACTAAATTAATGAAGAAGGCCGTTTGGCCCATCTGATCTCATTCTTCCAGAATACAGTTAGGCAAATTTCCTTACTTCACACGTCTCCGTTCCCTACCAGTAAGCAGAAACCTGTTTGTTAGTTGATTGTCAGATTGTTTTTCTGGGATATAATATCTGGTCCCAGTGGTTTATTATCTTTCAGTGCCTTAGTCCATCAGTAGCTTCTTATTTTTTAATGCTCTTAGTTCCCTGTGTCAGTGCTTCCTATTTATTTAACTTTTCTTCATACTGTCCAAATTGTCAAACTCCTTGATATTTATACAGTACAGCCCCTGTTGCACTAATCTATTCAAAGTTGTTCAATATGTCCAATCTACCCTGGTGTACTCATTCTCTTCTATGATTCCTTAGTGATTGGAGTCCTGTAGCTTAGTGGTTAGGGCACTCTCCTCGCAAGCGAGAGGACCTGGGTAGGTTGAATGAAATGTTGAGCAAGTTCCCTTACTCCACATGCCTCTGTTTACTTAGCAGTAAGTAGGAACCCAGATGTTAGTCGATTGGCGGATCGCTTTTCCGAGGGTAATAATATAAAAAATAATAATTTGGCCACTCAATAATTTGGTCACTTAATAGCGAGACCTGGGTTCAATTCCTGGCAAGGTAAAACCTTGGGCAAGTTTCCTTACTCCACACGCCTAATAATAATCGCACAAGAAAAAAACACAATAAGAAATTGGTCACTTCAAATCCACGACTGTTTGTGGGACGCTGCTGTGGCAATTGGCTGCCGCGTTTCACCCACAAATATAGTCAATTCACTTTTAAGTATATCCTGTGAAGTGCTTTGAGACGTCTGAAAGACGTGAAAAGCGCTATATCAAATGCAAGGATTATTATTATTATCTGCACAGTTAATGAACTCTATTTCAAATGATCAATTGACAGGTGCTGTACCAGGGACCATGGATCACTCTAAACAAAGCCTTTTCTTGCTGGGAGTCATCACCTTTGCTACACTATGGGCACCAATCAAGACTCAAATAATCACTGAATTGACGACACCTGAGTACGACTACAATACTGAAGCTGAAGAGCAAATGGACATTGTTTCAATAGTTGATACAAAAGTTACTACAGCAATCCCAAGTGTTATTGCACAACCATCTCAAGAAACAAGTGAGAAGACCACGGTAGGCACAGAGCAAGTGAGAAGCGCCATGACCCAAGAAACAAGTGAGAAGACCACGGTAGGCTCAGAGCAAGTAAGAAGCGCCATGACCCAAGAAACAAGTGAGAAGACGTCTGCAAATATAGAGCAAATGGGAAGCCCCACAATCAGAATGATCGCAGCTCATATGGACTCAGCAAAAACTACAAGCAAGGCAGAACACCCCACAGTGTCGATTGCTAAAGATCAGAATGGATCATTTTTTGATAATGCTGCAAATCCACAGAGTACAAAAAGTAAACAAGAAACTTTTATTTGTTTGATCATCATTGGTGCGCTTACAATCATCTGCACCCTTCTGTTAGTGACAACAACTGTCTTGTGCCATCGGGTGCACATTCTCACGAAGAACCAGAAAAAGCCTCAAACCAGGAGCAATGGCGACTTCATGAAATCATCCAAGCTGTGGTCAACTGGGCCCCATGCCCTGGTGGCTATGCCAATGGAGGAAGGAGGAACCAGTGCAACATCGGAGGAAGTCACACCGCTGAAGAATGTGGAAGAAGGGGAGAAAAATGAAACTTCGGGCAACACGGCAAAAGTAGAAAATGGGACCGATTAAAGTAAACTCTAGTCATTGATTACCTCTTTGGGCTATTGGGGACTCTGGAGTCCTAAAGCCCTGGCTCTGGCCAACCTGTGTCTAATAGCCTCTGAATATTAGGCTTCCATTTCATACATGGGCAAATTTTAATTTGTAGGTGGTATACCTACGTGGAACTCAGTCTGGTTGGAATACTGTTAAGAATGGTGATGGGTTTCTGCACATGTCAGACTGACCAAAACAAAATACAAAAGAAATGCAATGATGGCACAAAGCCAGGAGTTTTAACTTTCTAGGAAGGTTTTCAGAGCTACTGATCTGTCACACCTCAAGTTCCTAGCAGAGTGACAGTGCAATATCATTTTCCATAACACAATGTTTGATCTTTCAGATAAATCGTTGTACAATATTGCAAAATACAGTTAAGATGCACAATGCTTAAACAGAAATCTCTAACTTAGTTATATTTATCAAGCTAAAGCTAATCATCCTCACATACCAACAAAAAAAATTCCTTATAACTCTCTTCGTTTTCATTCCTTTTATTCCTCAAACTTAATATTTAATCAAATATAATCTTTGAAGGTTACACAATTAAATTGAGATTGGGTTAAGGCACCAGGAAACTGGTTACAGAAATGGTCTTCTTAGTAAATCAACTTTATTGCAGGAAAAAACAATATTCAGATTAACAATTTGTATACTTTCCCAGTGTTTCTCTTGTCAAGTATTACTTGATCATTAGGCTTTAAGTACCAGGAAACTGGATACAGAAATAGTCTTCTTGGTAAATCAACTTTATTGCAGGAAAAAAAAAATTCAAATTAACAATTTTTATACTTCCCACTGCTAACCTGACCATTGCGCTGGTTGGCAAAAAGGTTTGTTTTTATATGACTGAAGTCAAATTAATAAATGACAAAGTTCCTTCAAACATTGTTATGTACACTGAATTTTAGTGGTGTCTGTTGTATCGTTTTATGTTACTCCAAATTTGTTTACAAAAGCTGAGCTACATTTTGTTTCTGAGCAGAAATCAGGCAAGTTTTTGACAAGACAACAACAACTTGCATTTATATAGCGCCCTTCACACGGGGTAGTCTCCTAGAACACTTGACAACGTCTGACAACGGGCCAGGGAGAGACGTGAGGATGTATATAAGGGAAAGAGGGGGGGGGCCAGGATGGAGCGTTGGGAATCCCGCAGGTGACCGGGTGTGGGTGGGAGGAAAGGACGGAATCCTATTGCTCCACTTGCTGAGATCAGCAAAATTAGCACAGACTGGGGAGCAGTCTGGATCTGCACGGCTCAGCTTTACACAATGCCCATTTGGTTACTTCACTTTCGGGAGAAACCACTGCATATTTATAATTATGATTTTCTTTAAGCAAAAAAAAACCCGATGCACTCAACGTGCCCATCCATCGATGAATTACCACGGTGCCATTCAAACTTCTGGTCATTGTTTCACGCACTTTTGAAGAACTCAAGCAATCAGCTTACATTTACTGGAGCAAACAGACAGGATTGAAAGGCAGACTGATGGGTTCCTGCACTGAATAGCCAACTGGTGTGTTGTACCAATTACACACACATTTCAAATCAGCATAAAAATGGCATCAGATTTCATGTTGCGTCAAAGTGGTGGGTCATCATTTCAAACCTGACATTCAGGGTAGAAACCCCACCCCTCTTGCCCCCCACCCCCTTCTCAAAACTAATCATCTTATATGTAAATCAAAAAGTACAAGTCACCAAAGCTCAATTTCTGTACATGTCCCAGTGCGTAGGTTACAGAATGGCATTTGAAATGCAGGAGTCAATCATCCATCTTCCCTCTTGATGGGAGAAGGTCACATAAGCTCGGGGGAAGATTGAAAGGGGAACGAAAATTGCGAAATAAAAAATAAAAGTTGCAAAATTGTGCAGCTCCTACTGAGTATATAACGTTGCAGCTGTTACGATTGTTTTAGATATGCAACCAATTCTTTCTGAGATATGTAAACTTTAGAACCTCCACCTCATGGCTATGATTAAGGAGGCATAAAAACAGACGTTGATAGGAAGTCGCACCGAACAATTGGGAGAGTGAATGAACCCACAGCTTCTAAGATGAACAGACAATTTCTACAACGGTTCTCATGTAAAGGCATAGCAGTGGCAGGTGTGGCTGAGCCACACTGCCACCCCAAATCTATTTCTGCACATGACTTTAAGGGGAGCTGGGAGGGGAACGGCCTGAGGACCACAGCCCCATCCCTCTTGCCCCTCAACTCGTCATCTTACAGTCTGACGGTTGTCACCGATTGGCTGATGGACCTGTTAGTCAAGCCAATCTGTCTTAACATAACATAACCTGTAGGAGCAGGAGGAGGCCATTCAATCATGGCTGATCTTCTAATCTAACTCCAGCTAATAACCTAACTCTGCCTTAACCCCATATCCCTTAATCCCTTTTGCAATAAGAAATCTATCTACCTCAGTCTTGAATATGTTCAAGGACTGAGCGTCAACAGCCCTTTGGGGTAGTGAGTTCCATACATTCACTACCCTTTGAGTGAAGAAGTTCTTCCTCAACTCAGTGCGAAAGGGCTGCCTCTGATTTTAAGGTTGTGACCCCTGGTTTTAGTTTCTCCAACCAGGGGAAACAATCTCCCACTATCTACTCTATCATGCCCTTTGATGATCTTATAGGTTTCTATAAGATCCCCTCTAATTCTTCTATATTCTAGAGAATATAGGCCCAAATTGGTCAGCCTATCCTCGTAACTCATCCCCTTCATCCCTGGTACTAACCTAGTAAATCTACGCTGCACCCCCTCCAAGGCAAGTACATCCTTCCTTAAATAAGGAGACCAAAACTGCACACAGTATTCCAGGTGTGGTCTCACCAGGGCCCTATACAGTTGCAGCAAGACTTCCCTACTCTTATACTCTAATCCTTTCATAATGAATGCTAACATACCGTTCGCCTTCCTAATTGCTGCTGCACCTGCAGACTAACTTTCTGTGATTGGTGTACAAGGACACCCAAGTCCCTCTGGACGCTAACACATTCCAATCTCTCCCCTTCTAAAAAATAACGCGTTGTACTGATTTTGCTACCTAGGTGGATGACTTCGCACTTCCCTACATTATACTTCATCTGCCACCTACCTGCCCAATCACCTAACCTATCTATGTCTCTCTGCATTTTTTTAATGTCGTCCTCTGTGTTGACACTTCCTCCTAGTTTTGTGTCATCCGCGAATTTAGATATATTAACTTTGATGTCCTCATCTAGATCGTTGATGTAGATGGTAAATAGCTGAGGCCCAAGGACTGATCCTTGTGGCACTCCACTAGTCACATCCCGCCAATCTGAAAAGGACCCGTTTATCCCTACTCTTTGTTTCCTACCCGTTAACCATTCCCCAATCCACGTTAATATGCTCCCCCCAATTCCATGGGCCCTTATCTTTTGGACTAACCTTTTATGCGGCACCTTATCGAATGCCTTCTGGAAGTCCAAATAGACCACATCCACTGATTCACCCTTATCTAGTTTACTGGAAATATCCTCAAAAAACTCTATGAGATTTGTCAAACATGACTTCCCTTTTGTAAAGCCATGTTGACTTGGCCTAATTATATTGTGCTCCCCTAAATACCACACTACCACATCCTTAATCAATGATTCTAAAATTTTTCCTATCACTGATGTGAGACTAACTGGCCTATAGTTCCCCATCTTTTCCTTTCCACCTTTTTTAAATAGTGTTGTGACATTTGCGATCTTCCAATCCATGGGGACTGTTCCAGAATCCAAGGAATTTTGGAAGATCAGACATAAGGCCTCCACTATCTCATAAGCTCCTCTTTTAAAACCCTGGGATGCAAGCCATCCGGACCAGGGGATTTGTCACTTTTTAGTGCTAACAGTTTCCCAGCACCAATTCTCTACTAATGAAAATTTCCCTAAGTTGCTCCCTGTCCTTATCCCCTTGGTGCATCTCTATTGTTGGCAGACTTGTTGTGTCTTCTAGGGTGAAGACAGATGCAAAGTACCCATTTAGGGACTCTGCCATGTCCTTATCCATTACAACTTCTCCCGTCTCTGACTGAAGTGGACCTACATTTACCCTCACCAGCCTATTCCTCTTAACATATTTGTAAAAACTTTTACAATCAGACTTAATGTTCCTAGCTTGCTTACCCTCATACTCCTTTTTTTTCGCTCTTAATGAGTTTTTTAATTTTATAGTTTGTTTTATTTTGCTGGTTTTTAAAGGTGAACCAACCCTGTTACTGAGTTTTACCTCCCTTCCCCCAGAATATTAACAGCTCTTCTCCATAAACCTTTCGCTGAAATTCTCCACAAATCAACTGTGGATTACTTCTCAATAGAGCTTTCACTGAATTATATTGCTGCCATTAAAATTTACATTGGAGTAAGAATATTTTCACCCTCCTGCCTCTGTGTAGAGGCATAGAAAAGTTCCAAATTAGCAACTCGATGAATCACAAAAATAAATGCACACACCAAATATAGATTGAAAAATTCTCAACCCAAGGAATGATAACACACAAAGCCCAGTACATGTGGGGGTGGGGGAAAGTGAGAGAACAGAGAAGGAAGAGAAATGCACAGCAATCTACAGATGAGTTGGAACAGAAATCGAGCATAATCCGAGTCACTGACTCAGGCTATTAATACAGACTTCTTAGCAAGTTGAACACTAGCTTCACAACTTTTTCTGTGAGTTTTCTAGTTGTGCAAAGAATCAAAGCAACTAGTGGGATATGAAAAAAACCCTCAATCCTCATCTCCTCAGACAGCATCTACGGAAAGGAAAGTGAGTCAACGTTTCGGGTCCACGACCCTTTGTGTTTGTGGGACTTCTGTTTTTATTTTTAGATTTCCAGCATCTGCAGTATTTTGTTTTTTGTTCAATCCTCATCTCTTTTGATAACCTTTTTTCCAAAATTGACCCAAGGAAATGATCACAACACAAAGCACAGTGCATGTGGGGGGAGGAGGAAAGTTGAGAGAACAGAGAAGGAAGAGTAATGCATTTGGTGTTTACAAATTTCTTTTTTTAATACACATTGGTTCACAGCCGACTGTCTTTACTTCCTTTTTTTAAAACCTCAGAATGATGGCATGACAACTTAAAACGCACAGATGTGTTCCGAGTCATCAATTGTGCTAAGAGACCAAATCGCCTTCCATCGTGAGAACAGTTGCAACTGGTGCAAGAGTAGAAGCATAACCTATACTCCAATCTTAAAATCCAAGCAGAAAACAACCAGCCTACAGTGTTTACTTGAGAAGTGGTAAGTACCTGCAAGTAGGTGCATTTGCGGAGGGGAAATGGAAAGTATTTTATTATTTGTAAGAAAAATCAGCTTCTCCTTTTGGCTTCCGATGCCAAAAAGACTAAAAGCTTTCCCTCTTGCTCAACGATAAGTTGAACAACATTTTTGAGAAAGTATGTGCACTTTTGTTTTTTACTTAAAAGGTTTAGATATCGTAGCAAGGCATGAAGACATTAGAATCCTCAAAATAACAAGGTTTTTAATTATCTTTATTTATTTACTTGCCAAATATCTGTCTCCTCCCCAGCTGTTCTTGAAAGCTTTTTTAAAAAAACTCCTTTCTCTGTGCTGAGATATGATTCCTCACACGTTGACTGCTCTCTTGTAATTTTCCCATTCCAAGTGCGAGCCTCGACCGTGAGTGCCAAACCTGATTCTGTCTCCATTTGATGTCCAGATGCATGCAAATGCAGGTCAGCCTGGCTCATTTGGTAGCACTCTCACCTCTGAAATGTCGGTTGTGGGTTCAATTCGTATGTTGGGACTTGGAACTCAAGTCCTTTGAATGAGATGTTAAACCAAGGTCCCGTCTACATGTTCAAATGAATGTTAAAAGATCATACGGCACGATTTCACTAGAGAAGGGACTTTCCTCTGATGTCGTGGACCAAATCCCTCAAATAAAATTGGTCATTCATTTCAATTGGGACATTGCTGTTCTGCTGCATATATTCTAGACAAGTTACAACACTTTACAGTGAATTGTGTGAGACTTCCTATATCAAATGTAAGGCTTATTATATCCAGCACAAGTGAGATTATTTTTCTTCCGTTGTTAACCAGTAGTGTTCTGGTCGATTTTAACCATACTGCTAGCCTGGCTCAGTTGAACGAACAAACTCGGAACAGAATGGGGTTCAACTTGGGACCTACGTGCCTAAGCTCAGACTGAGTAAACTGGCTTAAACGTCAGAACAACTGTTGATAAATTTATAACTTTGCACCTGCACTGCTATTTTGTTTTCCTCACGTGTAGTCAGTTAGTGTGAGTTAACATTATATATGCTTGTTTTTCTCGGGGTAGTATTTGTAACAACAGTCACCAGCTCCAATGCGCCCAGTTACTATCACAAAATATTCCAATGAAGATATCTCTTCAGGCCATTTGACCTTAATATGCAATGTAAATTTTAATGACAGCAATATAATTCAGTGAAAGCTTTATTGAGAAGTAATCCACAGTTGATTTGTGGGGAATTTCAGCGAAAGGCTTATGGAGAAGAGCTGGTATTGTGTGATCAATATTCAACTGTCTGGCAGCTTTTGCTGGTGACGATATCAGTACCTCTGCCTGTATAAATAACAATGTCAGTGTAAATGCATTCATCTTTGAGTGTTGCACAGGCTATCACACTCTGAACTGATTGCATGCTCACGCACGTTTGCCACAATAATAGATATTTCTATTGCACCTTTCGTGTCAGAAGGACAACTAAGCACATCACACAACTGAATGGGAGTTCGAGCTGGGGGGGTGGGGAGAACTGAATGCGCAAGTAAAAGGATAGGTCTTAGGTATGAAGGCAAGCTTTAAAGATTGGGAAGAAGACGGACATGAGGCAGGCCAATGTTTGCTGAGGGGAGGGAGCAGCCCCGATGGTAGGGTTGCAGGAGTTTGCAGAGGTAGGTTGGGGCGAAGTTGTGGACTGATTCGAGCATGAAAGCGAGGATCTTGAATTTGATCAGCTGAAGGAAGGGGAAATCACAGGTGCTGTGTTAATATGGGGGTCATGTGCTCACAGAGCCTGGTGCAGGAGAGGCTGCAGAGATCTATGGTCGGAAGCTTATATAGGAAGGAGTTGGGGAGTCCGTCAAGCAGAATGTTAGAATAAGCGAGCTGAAGGTGTGGACAATGTTCTTGCAACTTGTGGTTGGAGGCGGATGATGCTGTGAAGATTAGAGAAAGCCCATGAGAGCCATAGGGCTTGAAGGACAGTCATGGTGGTGGGGGGACGAGACATCAACTCCAACCACGCAACAAATATTCAGAACTGCTAAAGGGAAATGACAGAATACATTAGAATATACAGCACAGAAACAGGCCATTCGGCCCAACTGGTCTATGCCGGTGTTTATGCTCTACATGAGCCTCCTCCTGCCCTTCCTCAACTAAGCCTTCAAGCATAGCCTTCTATTCCTTTCTCCCTCATGTACCTATCTAGCTTCCCCTTAAATACATCTATGTCATTTGCCTCAACAACTCCTTGTGGTAACACGTTCCACATTCCCACTACTCTGCGTGAAGAAATTTCTTCTAACTTCCCTATTTGACCTGTTTGTGACTATTTTATATTGATGGCCCCCGGTTTTGGTCTCCCCCACAAGAGGAAACATCTTCCCTATGTCTATCCTTTCAAAACCTTTCATAATTTTTAAGACCTCTATCAGGTCACCCCTTACCCTCCCCGTTTCAAGAGAAAAGAGTCCAAGTATGTTCAGCCTTTCCTGATAGGTATAACCTCTCAGTACTGGGATCATCCTTGTGAATCTCCTTTGCACCCTCTCCAGGGCCTCTACATCCCTTCTATAATATGGGGACCAGAACTGCACCCAGTATTCTAAGTGTGGTCTAACCAAGGTTCTATAGAAGTTTACCATAATCTTCCCTGCTTTTTATTTCTATCCCTCTAGAAATGAACCCCAATGCCTGGTTTCCCTTTTTTATGGCCTTATTAACCTGCGTTGCTACTTCTAGTGAATTGTGTATGTATACCTCTAGGTCCCTTTGCTCCTCTATCCCATTTAGGTTTTTATTTTCCAGAAGTGAAGAGAATGTCAGACGTCAATCAGAATTACAGCGGTTTTCAGCTCCAACAAGGCCATAAGTTTCTCTTAGAATTCCCATTCTGTTGACAGCAGGCTGCTGATAACCTCTTCTAAAGGGGAAGAATAATCTACCCTGTTTACCCAAACCTTAAGTGCTTTGACATCTGTACACAATAACAACAACAAGCATTTATATAACGTACTTCATATGGGGGTAATATGAAGGGGTAGCGATACAAATCAAGCAATTTCAGTTATTCCTAGATTGTCTGGTTTCATACTTCAAAACTACTGCTAAGAGGTAGCCTGGGAGGCTTCTGGTTAGACATCATTAAGTTCCGCTCCATGACCATTATGAACGAGGAGCACTGTCCCGGCATGAAAGGCGCTACACAAATTGTAATCTTGTTGTTGTTGTGTTCTACAGCAGGCAACAATATCTCCAAGTGTTGCAGAACTTTTTGACCTGATAGCTTAGGCTGGCACTCCAATGTATGGTGGGGGAGCCCTGCATTGACTGAGGGGCTTGCTTGCGGGTGGATTCGTAAAGAAAGAGACGATTAGTAGCTACAGAATGAGAGTTGAAGCTGCCATGTGATGTCCACTATATCAGTGGCACAGGGGGATAGAATAATCTTCTCAAGTTGATGGTATCTCGGCCTCTTTTGGAGCTCACTGGACAGCCTTGAGGAGTCAGGGTGAAATTCTCTGGACTAGGAGACACAATTCAGAACTTCACATTTTTGCTTAAACCTGCCATACACACCTGCCATAAAGGTTGTTCTCTCCTTTGATGTAAAGCAATTTTTAAGAAAGGCTTCACAGTCCTAACCATCCACTGCACTACAAACATTGTTTTTCTTTCAATTTTACAGGAATTTAAGCAATCTTCTCCAGAAGTCTGGGAATGAAAGCCTGGTTCTTTCAGTTAACAAAGATGGGAGAAATCCAGGTGATAATACTGGCATTGTTGCTGTCCAGTCAGTTAATCAACAGCCAGAACACCACCAGCAGTGCATCAAATACCCCAGAGAAAATGACAATTGGGATGACTTTTGCTTCCTTGGGAACTCAAAAGACAAATTCAAATGTTACCAGCGATAATTCCAACTCAACCAGTTTATTGTCAGTCATTCCAACATTCCAATCTTCAACTACAGTGGATTCAAGTTTGGCACCCCAGCTAATGAGCACTTTCAGTTCAATGGCAACTAAAACAGGCACTGTTGAGAGGACGACTCCTGAGAAAAAACCCACCAAGAGCTCCACCACCAAGAGCTCCACCACCAAGAGCCCAAAAAATACAAAGATACTTCTGGCTTGCAGTATTATCGGAATATTTCTAGTAATCTGTTTCTTAATTATACTGATTGTACTGTGCAAAAGGTGCTTTACAAAGCCATCTGCACAAGACACATGGGTTGTTTCTCATTCAGGCCCCACCATGAATGATCTTGAGAATTCTCCCGACGACAAAGCGGACAATATACCACTAAGACGCCAATCGCTCTCAACCTTTGTGTCTAATAAACTGAAGCGTAAATCCTTACTGGATCAGTGTGATATGGAGGTACAAGAATCGGATGGAATTCTCAATGTTTCAACAAACATTGAAAAACACACATCGCCCTCTGAGGTCAAAATGGAAGATGAAATGGAAAAAGAAATCAAGGCTGAAGATGCAATAGAAAGTCCAGAAATGTTACCACCTCCACCTGAGGCACAAAATCCAACCGACAACAATGACCCCAAGCTTCTTACAGAGGCTCCACCCCCACCTGCATCACCACAAATTCTTGTTGAGCCTAAGGAGAACACCCCTCCGCCTCCATCAACAAATTTGCTATCTTTTGTAGACGATCTACCACCCCCTCCATCTGAGTTCCAAGTCTAAACGACTGCCATTTTCTTTGTTCATGTGACTGTGAAGTTTGTGTGCAGAGACTGTAGAGATCGCACTGCCAAGGTACAGAAGGAGGCAATTTCCAGTCTACATGGACCATATAGCGCAATCTTTCAGTGCAAGCAAGCAATGTAGACACAGCATTTAAAGTAGAGCGCAAGTTATATGTGAATTGCAACAGCTTTCCTTCTTCCAAAGACAGACATTGATAGAAATGGTTTGAATGAATTTCATACTTGTACGGAAAGACATTATGAGCTGCAAAGCTGTACTGATGTGCTTATTATTTTAACAGCAGTAGAACAGACCGTTTTGGTCACATTTTGCTTTGCCAAATATCCATTGTGAATTCTCATCCCAAGGATGGAAATGACTAGAAGTCCAGCATTGCTTTGCACATCAGTCACTCTCTCCTCTGAAAGATAAATATATATAATATATATTTATCTTTCAGAGGAGAGTGACTGATGTGCAAATGCAAGGATTATATAATATATATATATATAATCAATCCTTGCATTTGAAACTCCTCTAGCAGTCAGCCTATACAGTTTCACTTACTTTTCTGAAAATGTAAGGGATCAATCATACAACAGAAAATGCTTTTTCTTGCTTGATATTTCAAATAAAATTGAATACATATGAAACAACCATTTCTCTGCGACTTCATTTATTTTTTAAAAAATATATATATTTCTGCTTTCATGCATTGACCATCTCCTGTTATCTGTTGAAAATCATCCACAGTTACAGAGTTTGATTGCTGGCAACAGCAACTTACGCTGGAGGTGCAGTACGCAGACCACAGGATCCACCTTAGCTGCGATTTCCTCACCTCCTCCTCCATCTGCAATTGAGCCACCTGTCAAAACTCACTGCCAAGGCTAATACTGTACCTAAACTAGAAGAAGGACAGCAACCAGGGCCCTTAGAAGTGCATCATATAGAAGGAAAAATTGAGTCACAAAACAAAAAGTGGAGAGGGAAAACTGAGATCCTGAACAAATCCCATTGCTTTCTTTTGCGATGGGTTGATTAGTTAGAATTAAGGTGGTTAGTTTTTAAACCAACTTTGACTGAAAGAGTAAGGGGTTTAAAATCATTGAGACTTCCAGCCTGCCCCCCCTCCCCACCAGTCCACCACGCATTTCCTATACAAACGTACAATTACCTAAAATCTCATATCGAAATGTCAAGATTCAGTGCAGTTGCACCTCAGACAGCTGTATGCCAAAGCTGGGTCTGGCGGGATTGACGGTTTCCTCTACAGAACATCCTCAGATGTGCAAGTCCCACAAATCGGTGACCTTCAGCCAAGACTATGGTAAGCTGTTTTGGAGCCACCCATTGGTACTTGTGCATGATTAAGGATGGGGTGATTAAAGTGCCAGATCTGTGCCCCTTAGAGATGAGGAGAGCAGCTTATCTCAATTGGCTGCCACGTTTCACCCACAAAATACACAGTCCATCCACTTTACAGTATATTCTGTGAAGTGCTTTGACACGTGCCAAGGATGTGATAAGGCGCTATATCAAATGCAAGGATTATTATTATTATTATCTGGACTCTTTTCACTAAATGTTGAAAATCTTTCAGTGCAAGTGTTAAGTTTTCAGTTGAAGAATTCCACATGCACCTTTAATTTTAAATACATTTTTATTGGAGAAATCTTCTAAAGTAGCTTGTCAAAACTGGCCTGAAAATAATCACCTCGTTTCCCCTTGGTTTGTGTTTCGTGCACATTCAAGCCTCTTGAAAGGGCTGAATTTACACGCACCACCACCCACTCCCCACACACAAGCTTCTGCTGCATGAGGAAAACATGGGTATATCTGGTACAGTTTCAAGTACCAAAATGCATCATCGCTGCTCTACGTTTATATTATAGTTATAGCTGTGCAAGTCCCACAAATCTGCCCTACAATTGGAGACAGCAAGCAGATTTCTAAATGATTCTCGTCTGATACCTTGGATCCAAGTAATAAAACTACATTCCTGAAGGATTGTGGCTTTTAAAGAAAAGCTTAATTTCCTCAGAATAATACGCAGATTCAGAATTGACTGCAATTCAACTAAATACTGACGAAGGAGAAGAAGGCGGCCATTTGGCTCCATGCTGCAGACTCATTGCTCAATAGCTTCTATTTTGCTCAAGCTATTGCTTCACACTATTCAAGCCAAACTCAGCTGCTGATAATTTGTTGCAAGCAACACTGCAAATAAGGTTCTCGCTCCTCTCACCTCTGAAAAATATATATAATCCTTGCATTTGAGATAGCACCTTATCATGTCATCGAGACATCTCAAAGCGCTTTACAGGATTTTATGGTGAAATATAGTCGCTGAATCTGTAAGTAAATTACGGCAGCTAAATCATGGAGAGGAATGTCGCACAAACAGCCACAAAGTGATTTGCCAAATTTATTTTACAGGTTACAACCACGCATATTTTGCGTCATTGACTCGTTTGTCTTTCAAATGGACAAGGCTGTTTTTATTTTTGATCCAGAAGTTTGATCTAACTTAACATCCTGGGCAGTGGGAAATTTTGGGCAAATTTCCTTACTCCACACACCTCTGTTTACCTAGCAGTAAGTAGTAACCCGGTTGTTAGTTGATTGGCAGATCACTTTTTCAGGGATAATAACTCCTTTTTTTAAAAAAAAATTTGAATCCACGACTGTGTGGGACACTGTTGTGCGCAATTGGTTGACATGTTTCGCCCACAAAATATACAAGTCAATTCACTTTACAGTGCAACTGTAAAGTGCTTTGAGACATCTTGAAGACGTGACAAGGCACTACATCAAATCCAAGGATTATTACTATTATAACATCTCATATAATGATCTGAGAACATAAGAAAAGCTGAAGATGAGAAAAGACAATTCAGTCCACTGGAGCTCATCCTTCTAGTACCTTACATAATACAATAAAGCATCCAATTTCATTTTGAACATCCCCATTGTTTGAGACACACTGCCTGGCATTCAGAATAGGAGAGGAACAAACATTTATTTCTCTTCCCACACTTTAAATATTATTTTTTATTGGGCGAAAAATTTCAAAAGCAGCATGTTTTTTCCTCCTTCGTCAGTATTTAGTTAAACAAAGGTGGGTTTCAATACGTTACTGCCAAATAACACCTGAGTCAAATCTGGCCCTAAAACAAGTGTGAATTTAAAATTGGGTTTGCTTAATATGTAACTCAGATAACATCATAACAAAAATTCTGTCGAACTGTAGAGTTCCCCAAGCTACCAACACTGATGAGCACAACATCTTTTAGCAAACTGTATATTTGTCTGAGGCTCTAGTACCACAACTGATAAATATTCAATACCACAAACTCCTGAACAAACCCTGCAGAACTGTCGCACTGCAATGGCATGAATCCAGCAACTGCTTCTTCGTGACTGACAGTATTTCCCTAAAAACTGATCCAGAGCTCAAGATTTCATATTTCCAAACAGAAGTTTTTAGTAAATTCATTTAAAGGTGTTTCTTCCCTCACCTTCACACCTCCCCTTCTGCTGCACATACTATTCTTTAAGCCCATAGCCCAGACCAGGGTGGCTGCTGAGGGCTGGAAGTCCTATGTTGAGAAATGTCCGTGGGCTGCTTAAGCAATATTTTTGTGTTTATCCTTCCAGAAACATAAAATAACATTTACGGCTTATGGAGGGAGTGGGTAGGCCAAATGAAATGGAGGGAGGGAGCCGGGTGAAATCAGCCTATGGGCCGCCAGTTGGGACCACCCTGGTCGACACTGATGTTCCCATGCAGTGTTGGAGGAGCATGCATTATCAAACACGTTAAACTGCTGGTTGAGATATTAAAGCAAGTCCCTGTGATGTTCAGACGGACGTTGAAGCTGCCTATTCGGCACTAACCTAAAATAGATGGAAATTCATTCTTGTGTTGCGACCGATAATCCCCCAGATAAAATTGATCATTCATGGCTGTTTCTGTAACATTGCAGTGCACAAACTGGTTGCAACGATCTCCTAGAAAATATAGTGACTGTTTACAGTAAAATTCCATGAAGTGCTTTGAGACAAAGTAATAAGGCATTATGTCAAATGCAAGGACAATTATTCACCAGCTACAACATGGCAGAAAGTGTTGCAATCATGTTGATGTCGACAATCTCAACAACTGAGTTTAAAAGCTTTCGAATGAACAAGATATTTGCAAGGAATAAGACTTGCACGTCATTATACAAAAGCCGCGTATATGCAAACCATGGCTCTTTAGCCCTAAAAAGACACCATACATTCAAGATGCTAAAACAGGACAGTAAACTATATTTTCAGGATCACAAAGGTATCAGTAACAATAGGTCACAAGTTCAAGGTTGTAAAGAGCAATAAAGGGAAGTATTTCTTACACAATCAAAAATTGGAAGGGGTTACTACACCACAAAAAGTGATCTACAACTGCAGATCTGGACTCATTTAACAAACAGTTTGATGCTGAAATGAGAAGATGATGGGTTGATATTTCAGAAGAGCGCCTCTGTTTACCTGTCAGTAAATAGGAACCCAGGTGTTAGTCGATTGGCAATCGCTTTCCGGGGGTAATAATCCCTTTAAAAAAATTGGTCACTCAATCCACGACTGTTGGTGGGACACTGCTGTGCACAATTGGTTGCCGCGTTTTGCCTACAAAATATAAAGTCAATCCCCAATATATTCCAATATATTCTGTGAAGCGCTTTGAGACGCCTCAACGACATGATGTCAAATGCAAGGAATATTATTAGATCAAAAGTTATTTCATCCAGACCTCTCATCATCATTTATTTTGAGTGTGTGTGCCCTGATTCCATTTTCATTTATTTAAACAGGATTAAGTTTTTTATAATAATAATAATCCTTGCATTTGATATAGCGCTTTTTACATCATCTGGACGTCTAAGGAACTTCACAGAACATAGTGTAAGGTGAATAGACTGTATTTGTGGGCAAAACGCGTCAACCAATTGTGCACAGTAGTGTCCCACAAACAGTTGTGGATTGAAGTGACCAATTTCTTATTGTTTTTTCTTGAGGGATTATTATTAGGTGTGTGGAGTAAGGAAACTTGCCCAAGGTTTCGCCCTGCCGGGGATCAAACCCAAGTCTGTCACTTGTGAGGTGAGTGCTCTAACCACTGAGCTACAGGACACCTGCCACGCTCATTCCACACTGTTGTGGCCACACTAACTAAATTAAATTAAAAGCAATTAGTGATATCTTTTCATTTGAGAGTCTCCCTCTTCTCTTCTCCCTTCCCAAACCCCATTACAGGGACCAACTAAACCCTGTAAATTTATTTAAATAAGCCCCAACTTGTCCACTGATGCAGCATTATGTAACATCCTGATGCAGGGATCGAATGTTGCCTTTCTTTGAGGAATACACCATTCTTGAGCTGTTGGCAGTTTGCCACTCCTTAGCTACTGCTGCTGAAATTATACATTAAAATATCTCTATGCTACGCTTAAGAGGTGTTGCAAAAAACGAGTCATGTGGTCAATAACATGCAATTTAGATTACATTCTGAACAGAGCAGAATGCTTACACTAAAAAAAATCTCTGCTTCACTCCGAGTGGCTATAAATAGTGCCTCTGTAAGCAGTGGACTAATTTTGACACCCTCACCTAAGGAATCTCCAGTAGCAAGAATTCTCCTGTACAAAGATGCTCTGGTAAGTCCACAACTATTCCTTACTGTTTTATTCTTGTATTTATGATACCTTTTGCTAAACTACTCAGTAAACAGAGAACTCAGTTACAGAAAACAGCTCTAATGCATTCCGTGCAGATTTGGGAATAATATAAGCACACTCTGGACAGCACCTGCAATTCCACTAACCTTCGTTATATTAAAATAAGCCTTCAGTGCATTTTTAATACACAGCTTCATGCCATGCTGCATCAGGGTTTTAAATATAATTTAGTAGAATGAAGGAATGTCACACAAATGCGATTTGTAAATTCAAAGGAGCAAGAGCAAATTGGTGCATAGTAAATATTTTATATTGGGTTGATTACAAATAACCTTCCTTGGGCATTACGAATGTCAGAGAGACTTATTTGATAATACTGATGAGTGTGACTATTGTCTTTTTATTGTTATGGAATTAATTCTGGCAATCAAATGTGTGGAAAATGTTTTTAAAAAATTGTAGCTTCTATTAAACAGTGTTATCCTATTTTATAACTATTAAGAAAAAGCATGAAAACATCAGCGTCCTGATTTGATGCAGTTCTTTCGCAGAAATATTTTCTATTAATCCTCATAGCCCAGGAATATTTCAGTACTCCTTTTTCCATTATCAGCACTGGCTGCATTTGCTTTCTGAAATGCAGTTAGATTTGAGGCAGTGCAGGGATTCAATACACTGAAGGTTGGGCAGCACAATCTCCAGACTTCAGTTGTGTCGTTGGGGTGGGGGGTTTGGGAAGAGGAGAAAAGAAAGCAGTGTGCGGAACACAGTGTGCGGAACACCATTCAATTAGAAAAACAGGAGTCGTCCAGTCTTCATCTTTCGTCCTGACGTGGGAGATGAGGACTGGCAAAGATTTGGAACCAATTATTAATATCATCCTCTCAATCATTACGTGGGGGAGAAAACAAAAGGATTTAGCCTTTGTTTTATATTAGCCCTTTGCGACATCCTCCAGACGTGAAAAGTGCTAAACAAGTGTAATTTGTTGTTGTTGTTGTATTAGCAAAAGCAGATTTTGATGACTTGAAAAAGTTGACATTGACAAATTAACAGAATGTAGGATTTTTAACATATAAATAAGGTTAAATGTGCTGCAACATTAACTTGTCTCCTTCGACTCGTCTTTAGCAGCATGGCCATGGGATCGCTGAAGTTGGTTGGCTGTCTCTTGGCGATTTCACTCGCCCTGCCTCCTACCCTGGCCACCTGCCCTTGGGTATGTTTGTGCTCACACCACGACAGGGTGGTGGATTGCTCAGGAAGAAACTTGACAACGCTGCCAGAAGGCATACTGAATAACGTCACAGCCCTGAACATCTCGCACAACAGCTTCGAGAATCTCGACGACATGCTCACACATTACGTCAACGTGAGGATCCTCGACGTATCTAGCAACCTGCTCAGTCACGTTCCGGCTAAGTTACCACGGGCTCTGTGGGAAATCCATGCCGCTAATAACATCATCAAACGAATTCAAAAAGATGACACTGCCTCCCAGTGGAACCTTAAAACACTCGACGTATCCAACAACATGATTGAAAGGGCCGTCCTAATCAACAACACATTGATCAACCTCAAATATCTCAATTTCAGTGGAAATCGATTCTGGAGTGTCCCAACTAACATGCCGCACAATCTGAGCACCTTGGACTTATCAGGTAACAACTTGGTACAAATCCTCCCTGGCACGTTTCGCCAAGCCAAACTTGCAGAATTGTACCTCAACAACAATAACTTCAAGTACATTCCAAATGATGCCTTTAAGCAGCTCACTGCTTTGCAGTCAATTACACTGTACAGTAATCCTTGGGCGTGTAACCTGAACCAGAATATATCGTATTTGTTGACCTGGATAAAGACGACAACAGCAACAGTGTATGGATGCCCGTGTGCCGCAGAATACATTTGTGATCAGAACCGAGCTGCCAATTCTGATGCAAGTACTCCTATGCCGTCAAGTCAAACTCCATCAACATTATTTTACAGACGTCGACAGACCGAAAACCATACAAGCACCTCTGCCGTACAGGTACAGATGAGCTTCCTTGGATTCTCAATTAGAACCACAAATAGCACGATGATTGATACCACTACAGATGCTCCCCCACTGGCCACACTGGACGTTACTGCTTCTGAGCCAACCAGTGACAGCGATGTTTTAACTCAAGCCACCACAGAGCTCCCCAGCTCTAGTAGACCTCCATCCAACCAAACCAGTGCAATCACATTAAACACAACCATCCAGCCAATTCAGAGCATAAATCTGATCACGCCTGCGATTTCAACAACATTTGAGTCTGTTAACGACAACGCAACATCTCTCATCACTGAGCACAGTCACATTACTGTGGCAAAACCAGCTGGAACCATCAGGCCTACCAGCAGCAAGAATCAAAAGACAACAGTCGTAAAAACTATTTCTGTATCTGCAGCAGCGCATGTATTTCGAGGAAGCACACTCTACCTTTTACTGCTTACCATGCTATCTTTACTGGCAATTTACTATCTCACCCAACAAGAGAAGTCAACATCTTGACTGAAAATGGCCCACAACGACATCTGTCAGATCATATATTTTACGAGTTTTAAAACTTTTTTACAAAAAATTTAAAAAAAGCACACTCTCTCTTCCCTCTTCTATTATCTCTGGGGCGTGAGGGCCGTTATATAACTACAAGTTGTTATTGTTGTTGTATCTTAAAGGGCAGATGGACCGTGCACAGTGATCTACCCAGGTCAGGAAGGTCTTATGTTCACTCAATGCTCTGTGATAAGTTAAGTGATCTATCCTTTGGGAGTGCTCTGTAATTGGCCTGAGCTTGGCAATCTGTAACTAAACAGCCAGGATTCTCACTTTTAATCACTCCCCAGTGGCCCTCTTGCTGCAAAGTGCACATTGAACAATGACAGAAACAAACTTTGTAGGAAAGCCAACCCATCCATATGCTGTAATGGTTTGCTCGCACTCATTGTCTTGGCTTGCACGTTTTTAAAAAAATGGCCACTTTGGCAAAGAACTGTCAATAGTCTGAAATCATACACCACGAGTCAACACCTTCAGAAGAACTGGGACAAGGAGAAAGGAAAAAAAATTCTGCAGTCCATAAATGTAAATATCTACCTGTGCATTTTGTCCTTCACGGACACTTTTATTCAGTGTATTCTAACAAAACTCAATACTTACCCATCGATGCAGTCAAAATTTTGACTATTTCTGTATGATCTAGTTTGTGGAGGAATTGTTCAATAATTTTACAAATCACTGCAAAACCTATTTGTGCAACATACGATGAATACAGTGATGTGATTATGGTTATGTATTTCCACGTAGTGATGTTTGAGAAAATACAGCAATGCGTCTCATTTGAAATGTTCAGAGTTGAAGTAAAACCATGGAAACCTATTGAAAACTATCATTAAATGTCTTGAAGTCTTTCCGTGGTTCCACAAGATGTTTGTTTTCTCCAGGTTGCAAGAGTTCAACAAAGGCAGACTCCAATTTACAGCAGCCAATATAAAAGAGACAAAATACTTAAAAGCTGAAAAGAGCTCTGCAGAACATATTTCATTATTTGGATGGTAGACAACAGCTGGAAAGGTCCACAATGCCACAAAGTTACACGTTTGTGTAGCAGCCTAAAGAACAGAGGTTCCGTCCTTTGCATTCACGTTTACTCAAGATAAAGCTGAGGCAATGCTACTTCATTACTTGTTTTAATTTCAATATGCATAATTTCTCACTTTTAAAAAAAATCCAAAATCAGGATTGTAAAGTGGGGCAAAATTATTCAATAAATAGAACTTATTGAAAGAAATTTCAGTAACTTTTACCCTCATTTCTGAAGGTAACGATCACAATGTAGGTTCAGATGAAGAAGGTCCTTTGCCTTAGAACACCAACAATATCATCGACACATCAAGTTGTTTCTTAAGTTAAGAAACTTGGCCTTTATTATGCTTGCTGGTACCGTTTTCCAACTTGTGTAGATAATATTATCCAAGTAAAGAAATATGTCCTGCTATCTTTCAAAAAAAATGCCTTCACAACCCTGAACGTGTGTCTTGCTGCCTTGGTGTATCAGAGAGTCGACATGCGAGTCCAGAGATGTTGCTTGCAAATGAAGGGAAGAGAGGGGGCAGGAAGGGAGGAGGGGGTTCGGGCAAAGGGGGGAAGAGAGAGGAGTAGGGGGCGAGGAAAGAGAGTTGATAAGAAACCAAAATCAGGAGAGGCAATAAAAGCAAAAGTGGCAAAAGGATTTGACCACATAACACGAATAAACCAGCTTTGCAATTCAGAAGCAGGGACATGATGCCTTCCCAACAGATCCTCCTCAGGAATAGAACATCTCACTGATCCAATATATGCTATTTGAGAATCTACACCAGCAATTACAACAAATGGGAACAACAAATTTTTGCCCTGTTGATACCTTGTCTGCCTGGAAGGAACTCTTTATTTGGACAGCTCACCGAGGGCCTCCTGTGGTGAATTCTAACAAAACTACATTTTGTTGAAATTAATTCCTAAATTTTCAACATGCATAATCTATATAATATATATATAATCCTTGCATTTGATATAGCGCTTTTCACGTCTTCTAGACTTGTAGGCTTGTGAATGGAACTTACCTATGATAATGAACATCAGCAAAGTCAATGTAAAAAAGTGAACAGAGCAATTTCACTCACTGGCAGCTAATCAGTAATGTTATGCATTTTACAAATCCCATGGGAGCAATCCCATTATACTGATTATACCATCGTGATCAGTAATGTCTCTGACCTGCAGAACTGTACTCCTTACATCTCATCAGGGTTTATTCTGTGGAATTGTTATTAGCACAAGAAGGGACCACGTCAGGATGTGGTCTCCATAAAAACATTGACGTTTCATACCTTTTTGCATGCAACGTTGGTCTAAACTGAGAAGACAAATTGCACACCTTGATTAAGAGCCACTTATGTCACTCTTGAACACACAAAGGTGAAAACCCAAGCTCTGTAGAGTTAACAAATTAGTAACTCACAGCAGTTACTAATTAACCTTTTCACATGTACAAACCACACTATTTCAACAAGCTGTTTTCAAACTCGCTAATGGTTTGCAATGCTGTTTTGTGAATGAAGTGGTGGGATGGAATTACAACTTTAATTGCTTTTGTAAATTGCCAAGATTATCAGCAGCATGATTGAGCTTGGCTTTAAAGCTCCAAACCTCAGAACAGGCGGCCAAAAGACAAAGCAAAGAATAGTCAACACAGATGCTGCTAGATTTAGCAAGATCTTTACCAGAATCCTCTTTCTTTATGCAATACACTGTCTGATATTACTCTACAGGCTGTCCTGTTGTCAGAGAGTGCTGCATTGCCCCTGTGGTATAACAGATACTTTAATCTCTTCCAGGAAGCTTATGCAGTATCAACCCTCTGTCCAACACCACTCCCCCCAAAAAAGAAAGTAATACAATAGGAGCAGAATTAACCGTATGAGTTTTCCACTTGAAATCATGAAAGAGCCATTTATGTCACTCTTGAACACATGAAGGTGAAAACCCAACCAACAGGACTAATAATCAAGGCAGACAGGAACAAATTGCTTCAGTCCTAAAACACACCAGTGTATGCACATGCATGCAAACAAATGTAACGCACCACTGTACTTTTCTGTAAACCACTTGCATAGAAACAGACAGCAGGACACAATCCATTTGTGCCTGGTGCTATGAAGCCTACCTTCTGGCGATGTAGTAAAACACTGGATTCCCAGTTTTTGATGTTCCTGCCTGGTAAAAAATGTTGAGTGTTTTTAAAGCCTTGAACTCCTCCTTTTCATGTACCTGATGCCTAGAGAGAAGAAGGTTGCCCCATTACAGGAGTGTTCACAGGTAATAAGGATGAACCTATAGAGAATGGAAACCTAGATGGCCGTAGCAGTTCTACTTCCCCAATAAAACAACAAACTTGCTTTTGGATTGCTGCAGATTTCATTCAATAGGTAGGAGTGTGACAATTTTAACAAGGGATTCATGAGACAAAGTTACGATAAACTCTGCATCTCGGGCTTCAGCACAGGCTCTTTTGAAAAGAGACTGATGCGGGGGATATTTGATCACATTTGTAGAATCCATTTGAAAACAAGTACAGAGATTAACTGACCTGCGATGGACTTGTTGCAAAGTGAGATGCCATTCGTCCATACCCAAGGTCTTTTCCAGGATGGTGACCATCACCCCTCCCCCAAGCTGAAAACGGATGAGAATCAACCCCCTCTGTGGCAGGGAGAATTAGAATGACAGGCAGCCGAAGGTATCCCACCCAAAAAGAAACCCATGCACCATTGGCCAATAAACCAGTGTTTACAGTCAAGCATGGGCCCCAAAGTGCTGCCTGCCGCACACTAAATACCATCTCAAACGCTGTGTGATCCAACTGCTAAAAAGTATTTCAGACATCTTTATCTTTCTTAACATTGTGCTGAGTTCTATACAGTTGCTTACCTGGTCATGAATTCTTCAAACTTGGAACTGGTGAGGTTCAGACTGGACCAGTGCGTGTCTGCGACAGGCTTGTGTTCAGGAGGCCCAAGGTAGGCTAACAATGTAGCCATCTTGTCGAACGGTCTTCTGCCTACAGCTTTGTGATCCCTAAAAGAAAAAAAAAGATTAAAAACATCATTCTTTGATCATCGGCAGGAATAGAAATTGGCAAATGTTTTATTTGAGAGAAGAATCAGGGATTATTAATTAGATCTATAACACATCGTCTCACAAACGTACTAGAATATTGGCCATCAAGAAAAGGCCACTGCTAAAAGTATGGGGTGGACATCCATCACTGAAATTGGGATGTCCTCCTGACGCGAAAGGTGCTATACAAATGTAATTTTGTATTGTATTGAAATTAAACGTTCTGAAACAGTGCATAATACTTTAGCAGCATGCAAAACATGGAGTAGTGCCAAATTGGTTGAATGTCTTAGATCCTATAAGTTTTCAAATAAATTACCTTGTGGAAAACACCCGATTTAAGGCAAGCAAGAACTGAACTTAAAGTTGAAGGAAGCAAAAAGCAATGCATTGTATTTTCCTATAAACGTTTGCTTGTATTAACTTAGCTAATATCTATTTATACTATTATTATTATTCACTGTCCGACCGAGTCTGACTGAGTTTTCACGGGAGCGGGGAACCACACATACCTGTTACTGGAGAGGTACTGCCCTATTTTCTCCTGATTGTTCCACAGTAACCTGTGCAAAGCCAGCACATTCCCATCACTGATAAATGAAAGGCTGTGATTGACCGTGTCGCTGGCTGGGCAATCAGATGCTATGTCCAGAAAGAACCTGGGTGGGGGGGGAAGGGGAGAGAGAAAAAAATTAAAATACAACATTTCATATATTTCCTAGGTCTTCAAAATGCTTTCAACTGGGCCGCCTGTTATGCTGCACTATAATAATAATCCTTGCATTTGATATAGCGCTTTTCACGTCTTCTAGACGTCTCAAAGCGCTTCACAGAATACACTAATAGGAGGCTGAAATGTACAATGACTTCCCCGAATGTTTTCAGGAATTTCAGGGGAACACAAGCTTTGTTCTTACCTTCTTGCCGCGTCAAAGTTGTTTCTAACAAAATCGTTGAATGGCCTCATGTGTTCTTCTTTCGTAAACAGGACGTGGTTTGCAATGCTTTGCAGAATCTGGAAAAAGTTAATTTGCACACATAGACAATATAAATAAACTTATAAACAGAGACGATCATCAAACTTGCATCCGTTTATCTGGGGCTCACAACCATTTTCTTGCTAGGGATGCAGTGTAATGGGGATGGTTTGAATACACTACTTACCTTCCCTCTGTAAAAGCCTCAAAGATGCCCAAATTAAATGTAGCACAGGCATTATCCTGAAAATGCACCTTAATTTCAGCTCAAGAAGAACAGCCCTTGAAAAACACCTAATCTTTTCCCAAATGTTATTTGACTTCTTAAAAACGGGATTGTCATCTGTGCCAATGAGCGTCAAAATATGGAGCAATTCTACATGATCATCACATAGCGACTTAAGAAAAAAAACATCAGGACAGCTTCCAGTTGTATCACAGGCAGGAAAGGAAACCTTTTACACAGAGAGGGTGGCGCGTGAACAAGCCGACTACCAACGCAGCTGCAGATCCATTCACCACCACAAGATGCCACTACACATCCAATAAACGTCAGACAAATTGAGGCACCTTTCACACTCCTTGCAACAGAGCTCAGAAAAAAAACATACGCCTCGACAAAATTAATCATCCTAATGAAATCATTTATAGAAATTACAGTTGACCGCGTAATTCAAAAACAAATAAGTAACGGTAAAGCACCAGAAATACACTAATAACTCGTATTCATATGGTGTCCTTCAGGCAGGATAACTTCTCAAAGTATAGAAAACAATGGTTGCTGAAGCCGTCTGACTCCTCGATCCATTATAATTTATAATAGTCAGTTGTAATGGGTAGTACCTTGAATATATTTAATTCCAACAAAATCTTTACAAAGTTAATCTGCTTCAGACTTTCTGCAAGAAAACCAAATCTTCAAACATAAAATATAACAAGAGTCTGTATGTAACCCAAGATTTCAAGTTTTGAGATCTGGGTGGAAAAAATCGGGAACGCAAAGCTTGCAGAGTTAGTTTCAGGTTTTTCAGTTACATTATTATAACAATAATAATCCTTGCATTCAATATTGCGCCTTATCATGTCTTTGAGACGTCTCAAAACGCTTCACAGAATACACTGTAAAGTGAATTGACTGTATTTTGTGGGCGAAAGGTGGCAGCCAATTGCGCACAGCAGTGTCCCAAATTATTTTTTTATTATTATTTATTCAAAAATATTTTTCAATGGTATTATTACCCCCGGAAAAGCGATCCGCCAATCAACGAACGACCGGCTTCCTTACTTACTGCTAGGTTAACAAAGGCAACATTTCCAGTGGAACCAGCTGCAATACGTTCATAACATTTTTACCTTGGACATCAGCTTCAACCCTCGTTCAATTCTCGGCGGAGGTTTCTTGTCGAGGATTCCTGCTTCGTAGGGAGACACTATAGCAGGATTGATGAAACGTAAGAACATGGCACTTCCCACGGCACCTATACTGTTTTGAGGAAACCGCTGGCTGACAACCTGCAGGGGAAAAAAAATAGAAGAAAGCAGATTTACATTAGCTGGCATACAAAAATGTTTTTTTTAAAAATTAAAACGCCTGTTTTACACAACTGTTCAATGATGCTATAAAATCGGAGTCCATTTTGTTAGGCAGTAAAATCAGATACTGTTTATTTATAAGTCCCCACTGAAAACATCTGTACGGTCATCCTTAAGACTGGAGCATCCTGTGCTCACAACAGAGAATAGGTTGGACGTGAAATGAAACACACACCCAAAAAAAAATCAAGACTTCAAAAAAGTGCAAGTGAAGACAAGGCCATTCACAGGATAAGTACAGTTAATGTTATGCCTTGAACTCTAAGTATCACTTATGGGATTTCCCCCACACAGAACATGTGGAAAATAAAGTATGTAGGAGTCGACTTTCTCATTCCCACAGGGAGCCATTGCACAAGAAGCCATTGCACTCGGTCAGTCCACAGTAGAGGTATCCGAAGGGGAAACATTCAGTACTGGCCCTTCTACAACAAAACAGATGACTGAGATGCCTCCCAATCAACTTCCAGAGCTAACCAGATGACAATCTGCAACGGAATCACTCACTGACATCAACAGAAGGGCATCCAGATGTGTGCAGAACCCTGAAATATCACATCATCGCGAGGCAGGAAAGTCAAATTAACAAATAAATAATTCTCAGCAGCTAAGTTCCTTTCCGCACCATCTAACATGGAGGTTGGGGGACGGGGGGGGGGCGTGCACGGAAAACATACAAAACCACATTGAACATATTTTTCCTATGTGTATCTTTTTTACGGTTACATTCCAAATTCCAGGATGGATATCAATCATGATCCTTTTTGGCAAACAAAAGCTACATTAATGGGATCATTTGGACAGCTCTTTCAAAGAGTCGGCACAGATATGATGGACCAAATGGCCTCCTTCCGTGCTGTATAATTCTATGATTAAGTCAACATAAATGTGTACACTTAAGTATCTTACGCCTGGGAAAGTACACTGTGCTCTTCTGCAGAGAAAATGGTCGCAGGTTCCAGCATTACTTACAGTTCTCAGCCGAAATATGACGCTAAGATGTTAAATAGAGAAGGTCCTCCTCTGACAACTCACTCTGGACCCTTCTTGTGAACTCTCTAAGCAGCTGATAAGGATCAAAATCAGTTTCCCTGCTCTACCTTTGACTGAGATTTCATGTATTTTAAGGTGCGACAGAACTCGAAGAGGCACACACACACACAAAAAAAAATCAGGTGAAGATTTATGTGAGCAAGAACAAAGCAAGACAGTCTCTACCTTAAGAATCGACTCTCTCCCAAGTCATGCAGGACTTGAAATGCTCAACAGTGCGAATATTCAAGCTTTTTTAAAAAAATATATCAACACAATTCTTTCATTGCATATCCCATGAGCTGAACACTGCCATTAAATCTTCCAAAAACAGCCACATTATCATTATGACTACAGGATAGGAATTATCCTCCATAAAAAAAGGCTGACCTGATAACACAGGTAGGATATAAATCTTATTCTTCAAGGTTTCGTAAGAAATTATGTTTACACCTGATAGTACATTTAAAATTGTAAAGGAGTATGGTTCATAAATAGATTGAAAAGATTGATTTAGAGAGCATTCAACAGTATTTCTGATTGGTTCCACTGCAGCCAGAGGTAGTACTTTAGCTTACTAGACTAATGTTATCAGGTTTGAGTTCCGAAAATTTATAGTTTAAATAATTCTCATTGATAAAGAATTCCAGAAATCAACAGAATGTGATGTCCTCTCTCTGAAATATGATGAATATTTCTCAGAATTCACGTACGTACGTAGTATGTAAAAAGCAACATAACAAGGTAGGACCTTGAGAGATTCATTAGCTTTTTCGGCTGTGTTGGACTTTCTTTTTCAAAAAAAAATCAGAAGTAGAGATGCACCAAATATATTGGACATTACCGTGACCATGTAAATAGGAAGTCTCCAAAGTTCTCATCTCAGAACAACCTCTGCATCTCTAGCAGAGAAGCCAATGATAGCGACTTTCATCAATAGAGGAAGCAAACTGCTGGGATGACATCTTCTCTGACAGGAATTCGGGTTTGGAGCTGCATCTGGTTAAGTGGCAGCACGCAAATGATTGCCCAACACCAAACACATACATGTTACACTTAAACTTCTTGGCATAGATTGTTAACAAAGTTGACTTCAGCAGGATAGCAAGTGATGGCCTGGCAGTCTTTTTGACAAACTGTACAATACCAAGAAAGAGTGATGGGTGAGCTGGTGGAGCAACGTCGAGAGCAACTGACAAATCTAGTCAGATTGTGTGAGGATGGGTACAGTGGAAAGTCCGCAGATGTGTTGTTAGCAAGTGATCGTTAATCTAGAATATGATAGCAGGAGCTAGAAGGTACAATTCAGGAAAACTATTTTCCACTTGAAAGGAAACAATTCACCGTTTTCTTTTCTACCCACTAAACAATTTTTTTTTCTCAAAAGATCGAACAACTTGGATAACACAGTCGATGCCTGCATTTGGGCAACCTGTTGGGAATTACAACTGAAGGTATAAGAAGGAGATGACTTGTCTACCACATAATCTTTTTTTATAAGTAACATCAATCAACCCCATGCATCCACACAACACTGCTGTTATATTCATAACCCATCAAGATTTGTGTGTGAGTGTATATATATATTATAAACAAGGGAAAATAAGGCAACCATAACTACTCCCCATTACCAGGTAAAGAGAAACCCAAACACCTTGAGGAGAGGGGATGGGATGTGGAGAAAAATTGGCAAAAGAAAAAAATGCAGACAATTTATTGCTATCTACAATCTACTTCTGTTGTAGGAATTCAACTAGTAGAATATTAAGAACATAAGAATTTGCTTGGCGAAAGAAAACCAAGGTCCATCTAGCTCTCCTTCCACTATCCTGATAGTCGCTTGACATGTCGTACTAAACTATATACTGTATCGCAAGATATTATTTTCTAGCAGAAATCAATCTAATTTGTTCTTGAAACAAACACTTTCTGCTTCCGCCGTATCCCTAGTTTACTACTTGCTCGCTGAAGTATATTTCTTTTTCTTACTGAAAACATCTACAAGGTCAATTATCTACTGCAGAGTGGGTGAGACTTAAAATCACAAGCTGCTTGTAAAAACTGAACAAGTACCGTATTGGCTATATTTATAACCTGAACAATTAAAAGTACAAGATACACCTTAGCTGCAAATACACGTCCCCCTTTAAGTACTGGTGATCCAGGATCTCATCATTCTTTGCAAAAAATAGTTGCTTTAGTAATTTTCTTTTCTCTGTGAAATCCCTGTGTCGTAATCAGTCAGAGTCAATCACTCAATCACCAATAGGTCAAACGATGCATTCTTCTCTATTTCCTTCCCCTTCCTGATTTTTCTCTCTTGGGAAGATGATTTTTTAAAAAGAAGACCACGTTAATAGCACATTCGGAGGAACGCAGAATGCGATATTGAGTGAACATGCGGCTCAATGGTGAGTGCAGCACTCTGGAAACTTTTTCAGACTAAATTAGTACTCTTAATGTAGAAATGGAAAACATATTGTTTCTCTCTCTGGGCTGGACGTTTGATGCATTTGGAAGTGGATTAAATAGGATCACTTCAAGACAATTCTTATCACTGTGGTCGCCTTTTGACTAGATTTACTATTCAAATTCTATCACCACCAATCTTAAATCATCTGGATTCAGGTCAGTGAACTCCACTGTTATCAATCTACTATGGAATTTTAAATCATTGCCAATTCCTAATCAGCTTTACGTGATGTTGTATTTTACCCAAATTACTCAAACATATTTGTACATTATAAATCTTCATCTATCTCTAAATTATCCAAATTGAAGCAGAACACAATCTTTCCATATTCAAAAGATTTACAAGAACCTACAGCACAGAAATAGTCCACTCAGCCCACTTCATTCATGAGTGAGTATCCATCCATTCCTCCCTCCCATACCCTTCTAATCCCCTCTCTCAAGTGAAGGTCAAACTTCCTCTTGAATGCATCTCTAGTGTCTGATTTAACTATCGCTTTGGGTAACGAGTTCCACAATTTCACTACCCTCTGCGACAAGTAATTCCACCTAAATTCTTATCTTAAAGTTGGGTCTGTTACAAAAAGCGTTTTGCATGCTTAAAGCAGAGACATCTAACCGTGCTATGTGAACTGTTCCTATGAGCTGGACATAACGGTATTCTGTCTGCCCAAGTGAGCTTGGTTTTGTACTCTCCTGGCTAATAAGGAACTCTAAATGATTCAAACTGTAATCAAGTCCTCAGAGTGTCCATCCTCCCCCAGTGATTCATTTTTCACCTGATTTATTGATTGGCAATAAAATGAAAGGTTGTTGGCCATTTAGAGAGATCTATGATGTTCCTAGTAAGAGAAACTGCACAGAATGTGTTTTTTTTCTTGACTGGGGCCAATATATTTTGCCAAGGCTGTATCTTCAAGGTCAACTCCAGGTCCACCGATGTTCTGTTGGCTTGTCTGGCAGGGCCTGGATGAGCAAAAACTTCTTACAACTAAATGTCGACAAGACAAAAGCTGTATTCGTTAGCTCCCGTCAGTGTCCTGCAGCTCTTACCTCCTCAACCTCCCCGGCCTATCTCTCAGACTCATCAAATCAGTGCGCAACCTAGGCAATTAGGTTCAACCTACAGTAGTCCTCGCTTATCCACATCTGGTCCCTGACCAGGATTGCCTTCCTCCACCTCCGACCGTACCTTACCCCAGACGCAGCCGAAACACTCGTCCATTTGTTTGTGACCTCCTAACTGGACTTCTCAAATACCATCTTCGCTGATCTCCCCAGCTCCACGATGCACAAGTCCAGCTGATCCAAAACTCCGCCGCCGCATAGTCACCTGCACTAAACTCCATACCCCCATCACAACAGTTCTAGCCAGACTCCTTGGCTCCCTAACACCAAATGGATCAATTTGAAAATCCTTACACTTGCTTTTAAATCCCTTTATGCCCTGGCACCTCCCTACCTCTCTGACCTGCTTAACCACATCCCACAACCTGCTGCCTCCGCCAGACTGACTCCAGCCTTATGCATGTCCTGTTATTGGGGCCACTATACCCCAATACTCTGGAACACTTTTCCTCTATCTCTCCACCTTGCCCCTTGCTTCCCCATCTTCAGGTCACCCCTGAAGACCTTTCTCTTCGACCGTGCCTACGGTCATCTCCCCCTTAGCCGGGCTTGGCGTTGTGCACTACCAATGTCGAGTGCGTGAGTGGCGCCATATAAATGCAAGTTGCTGTTGTTAATGTTCAAAGCTGCGCAATGGAACTAACTAGTCAATTCTCTTTTGCGACCAGCCAACTCCAAAAAGCCCTTACTTGGACTGTTTTTGGGAACCATACAGCGAATCTTTAAAGATTATTTAAAACTTGTTGTTCAAGTATGCAGATCTAAAGAGCTTTTGATATCACAGTTAGGCAAAAGTTATACAAGCACAAAGTCCTGCAACATTGCAAGCAATTCAGTGACTGGCCAATGCCTCGATTCCCCTCCACATTCCCTCTCACCATTTTTAAGAATCCTTCTGCCAAAATCTTTAGAATAAGGAACTTTACCTAGGCTTAAACAGGGCTACCAGTAAGATGTTTTCCAAAGAGGATTGACAATACGCATAAGTATATATATATGCAATAAGTAGCATCTAAATAAATGAATGGTATGATTCAACTCAGCGATCAAATGATGTCCTAAACTGCTAAAGGTTGCCTCTTGTAGTTAAGGATATCGGAGGCCGACCTGATGTTTTGAGACGCTTGTATTTCTCGGACAACCGATCGTTATTATCCCAAGCAGTAACAGACTTCCAGCTCTCCCAAGGTTGAAGGAAAACAAAATAGCCTCTGAAAACAGTGCTCACTTCATAGACAAGCTTTTAGGATTTAGAAGCAGTTCTAGTTCTGAAGACATTAGACAGCAGGGGCAGGTCCCAGGTACCATATTTTAGTCGAGAATATCTATTTTAACCACTTCTGAAGCCAGGTTACACATAGATCTTAAAATCTAAATTAAAAAGGGGTTAATTGGAATGAAAGCTATTTTGCCAGAATTAGTAGAATGATTCCAAAGTGAAGTTCAAAAAGGCTGAAGGCAAGTGTGTTTTTTTTAAGGGGAAAAAGCACAAGGTTTTAAGAATTTGCTTTGAAAGAAAGGGTGATACAAAATTGCAAAAAAGGTCACTGAACTTACTGATTTTTTCATGTTTTCCTTTTTTTCTTTTACTGCAGATTTAGTCAGTAGAGAGTGGCAAGTAGCCTACAGGACAGAGATGAGCACAAACAAGTCACAATACCAACTTCACACAACAACAAAACACATTGTTGGGCTTGTACATGCAACTGCACAACAAAAAATATACAAAATGGATATTCAATTCTGCAATGACATTTTTTTATGCAAAAAAGTCAGTAAAATATGGGCAATTGTTTTAGTAACAATGTTATTTATATTCAGCCAAAATTCTCAAAATCTGAGAATTATTCCGAAACTTTCATTATTTTGAATGACTGTGCTTGGAATCAGTGAATTGCTCATCTTTTTCACATCAAGTAACTCTTCATAAATACAGATACAACTACTTTTGAATCAGCCTACTACTTCTGGCTTAATATGTATCAGAACATAANTTTTTTTCCTCCAAATTTGGAATTTGGACTTCTGGAAGCTTGGCAATTTCTCCTTTAAATAACGCACATTCGGATACTAATGAAACAATGAAATCTTGAGAATATAAAGCAAAGCCTGGACTTTGCCCTCTGCTGGTATTCGTGAAAGAATAGGGATATCACAATATTGCAATGGATCAATACTTGTCGTAACACTGGGGAATGGGCACGCTTTCCCTGCCTGACCGGCACAAACATGTGGATTCGAATCAAACTGAATGACTGAGGGTCATGGACCCGAAACGTTGACCTAGTTTCCTTTCTCCGAAGATGCTGCTTGACCTCCTGAGCGTTCCCAGTGATCTCTGTTTTGTTTCAGATTTCCAGCATCTGCAATACTTTGCGTTTTATAACTAAGAGAATGTCTGATTAAAATGGAAAAGGCTCAATCATCACCCAGATTTCAAACTGAATGAAAATACAGATTTATCATCCTGCAGGTTATCGTCCTACATGATGAGTACCTAGACATTCCTGAGATCCATTGTGACATCCACACCTTGTGGTTGATGTGAAAAAACAAAAGAAGATCTCCAAGAGAAAGTCCACGGACCACATGGATCAAGCATGGATCATAGCTAAATACGCACAAAACCTTCATTCTGCTGAAATACAAACAAAAACTATTCTTTCTCGCAAGATTCATTAGAAAAGTAAGATTTTTGAAGCATCATTTTGTTTCGCGAGTATTGGATGAATGGAGATCAGACTCGATTACTTTTAAGGGGTTCACTGAAATTCATCCGACATTTTAAAAGGTACCGACTACTTAATTCATTACCTTTCAAACACCAGAGACAAGGGAGGGGCTGCCATTTATTTGTTGACCCATCTTTATACCTGATACTGAGTGGGCCACAGTTTGAACTCATCCAAGATTGATGCAATGAAAAATTCCTTTCTGTTGTCTGCAAAACTTCTAAAAATTGGTCTCAATGTTCTCAATGTCAAGGACTATTCACAGTCGAGGCTGACACTCCAATACACGGTTGGAAGAGCACTACCTTGATAAAGGTGCTGTGCTTCGGATTGTTAAACTGAGACTGCCTGTTCAGGTGGACGTTAAAGATCCCATGCACTCTCCCGGTGTCCTAGTTATTCACTTCATGGCTATTTGCAGGACACTGTTGTGTTTAAATTGGCTGCTGCGTTTGCCTAAAAAAATAGTCACTACACTTTACAGCAAAATTCTGTGAAGTGCTTAGAGGCGTCCTCCTGACGTGAAAAGTACGATAGAAAACACGTGGATTATTGTTACTGCAACAAGTAACTACAAGGACAACAATAAAATGGTGAAAATAATGACCAACAACAACAAGATTTCATTTATAGAGCGCCTTTCACATCGGGAGGACGTCCCAAGGCGCTGGACAGTTGGGTCAGGACCCGAGCAGGGGGGAAATGGTCAGGGTGAGGGGAGGGAAGGGAGGGAGCGAGGAGGGGGTAGAGAGTCGAGAGGAGAGCTGAAGGCACGGTCAAAGAGAAAGGTCTTGAGACCGGCCTTGAAGGAGGAAAGGGAGGAGGCGGCGAAGGCACTGTGGGATGGAGTTCCAGAGCCTCGGGGCTGAGAGGCTGAAGGCCCGACCACCGATGGTAGGGCGGTTGGGGCGGGGGATGTGGAGCAGACCGGAGCCAGAGGACCATTACAATAAGCATATAAACCTTTAACTACTTGCATGCCCTGCTCCACTGCAAATGTTCACTGTAAAATCAGTAACAAGTGCTATTCACAAGTGCCATTTTTTATGTAAAAAAATGCAAATGCAAGTTTATAACAAATAGACATTCCTTTTCTCCATTGCACCTTTTGAACGTTCCAAAGGTACATCCTCCCGACGTGAAAGGTGCTTTACAAATGGAATTTGTTGTTGTTATTTAAATGTCGAATGCTGTGACATTGAAGGTACTGCCCCATAGCATGAGGGAATCCGGTTAACATCAGTAGCCAGTCATTGACTAATAGGATACTTCCCATTTTCTCTATGTAGATTCATTACAATCCATTACGTGGCAAATCAGAATTATTTACAACTCGTTCCAATTTTGGTTTAATAGGTGGCAATGACAATATGGTGCATTTGCCAATTCTCTGAGTTTTAATCAGGCAAAACCAACAACACATTTGCCTTTACCACTGATTCATCTGTGAAATCAATAGATGGATAAAATCCCCAACATGGCTTGTCACCTAACCCTCACCTTAAATCCCTAACCTTCTAAAAGTATTCAGGGACTTATTTAATAAAAAAATTGACAAATAATTGAAAAAGATTGAAAAGAAATCAAATCACCTGAAATTCTGACTATATTGTGAGCTTAGGTTAAATCAATTATGATCCTGGTTCGTTAACACATCATACAATTCTCAAGTGGCCTTTCCCAAATCTATCCTTTACATCAATAGGCGCATGAATTAATTTGAAGAGTGAACATTTTCTTCCCAAGAAACTCAGACTGGTGCTCGAATAATGGTGGCAAAAGTAATTCCAGGAAAAGTTCTGCATTAAAACCAACCAGAATGTTGACGATAAGTCGAGTTCAATCTGCTAAAGGTAAAGGTGAACCATTCAAACTAACATGTACTGCAGAAAGATAGAGTTGGCAACTGAATGAAGGAAAATATTCTTTTACAACAACAACAACAAGATTCCATTTATTGAGCGCCTTTCACGTCGGGAGGACGTCCCAAGGCGCTGTACAGTTGGGTCAGGACCCGAGCAGGGGGGAAATGGTCAGGGGGAGGGAAGGGAGGGAGCGAGGAGGGGGGTAGAGAGTCGAGAGGGGAGCTGAAGGCACGGTCAAATTTTACAATTTCTAGTAAAGCATTTTTGTTACAGGAAAGAATGAAATATTACTCAAGAGTATAGTCATGGATGTAGGATAGAAGAACACCTCAGTTACCAGATAAGTAACTTATTTATTAGAGGCAATGCATAAAGATGTGTATCTTATGATCAAAGTGTTAATTTTCTTGCCTGGCATTATGCAAATATACAAAGAATATGCAGATATTGGATGGTTATCATGTTTGGAAAGTTATACCAAGGTCATGGCCAAACCCTTCTCACTGAATAGTTAGAAACCCCAGCTCGGGTGCAAACCTCTGACTGTCCAGCCCCTTCGGACGGCTTGCCGACGTGAAAGGCGATATACAAATGTAATTTGCTGTTATTGAAGTAGAATAGCTTATTACATGCATGCGCTGTATCAAAATTCAGTTCACTTTTAGTAGCAAACAAGCTTGGAAAGTGGCTGAATTTTTTTCAAAATTAATGAAGCCTCAACAGCAAAGGCTTCATTCAATAGATCTCTGTTCTGTTTGCTCACTTATTTACGTTTCGCAAAGTTGAAGCTGTATCGTAACTGTGGCTTCACCCAAATTTCACAAAGTAAAACAAAATGTACTCTGTGCTAATGAACCATAGACCAGGATGGATCATGTCTGGTCATTTATTGTCAGGGAGGGGGGGAATTACTGAGCATAGGATACATTTCTCTTTCAAGATTCAGTATATGGTAGAGCTACCAAAAAAAAGCATTAATCCTATAAGTCAATGGCTAAAGAATGGAACCCACAAACTAATATCATTTGCATGTCTGTAATTCATCTCCTGACCATTTTATGAAAAATGCAAGGTCCCTTGACCCTGCCAGTGACGAATCACTCTTCTGGCTTAAAGAAAAGTTAGGTAGAGAACATCGTACCATTACTAAGTAAGCTACCCTAACAATTACAGCATGACAAAACCGATCCCATCGCTGAACATCTTTTACTTAGACAAGTTACGACATGCAAACAGGAAAAGGAGGGAGAGAAATATGGAATACGAGCAAGATCATTCTGAACAGAATCTTTACTTGACTGTTATAAACCACAGTAGGAATCCTTTGTAGAAAAACTACTAGTTTCTGCATGGTCCACATTTATGAACTTAAACTCAGATTTCCTACATGGAGAATCCTTCCCACAGTAATGCATCATTTGCTGCTCCCCAGCACATCTCCATTTCAACTGTTATCACAATAAGGCATTGAGGACTGATGTTATTGTAAATGCAACACCCACTGAGCCATCACCAAGACAATTCACCCTAACGTGCAACATTCAAAGCCCCGCAATGTCCCAGCATCAACCACCTCTAGTCAAGGACACCAGCTTTGTAAATTCCCACAGCCTCCTGCAATTCCCCATTATTACCAAGCCAGCGTACCTGATACAAACAATGGCAGACACTCCGCAACTGTGGAGGAAACTCAGATGAGGAATTAATAATTGCATGGAAAAATCTCTCTGTCATTTGCAGTAGGTTCCGTTGATTTTCTTCCAGGCTCTCGGTTGCTTCTAACCTGTGGAACAGTATTCAAATTATCATTCTTATTTGTGCGTTGTAATAAAAAAACTCAAACAAACAATGTTAAAACTAATGTATTATTTTAATTTTGCATGAATAAAATAAAATCCTTTCCTTCCATTTTGTGTCTCCCCATGTTCCACATGCCATTCTGGCAGTGCGAGAGCAAAGCATAGAACCAGATCTCAACCTCTAGAAGGTCCAGGGGTTCAGGCAAATTAAGTACAAGTCAAACAACCTCTGAGAGCAATAGCAACTTATCGCGATAAAGAAAATACTATGTATTGTCAAGTTTTGAGATAGTGCATGGATAATGGCATAAGACCAAAGCTAAAGTCATTATCAAATATCATTTGCATGTCTGTAATTCATCTCCTGACCATTTTATGAAAAATGCAAGGTCCCTTGTCCCTGCCAGTGATGAATGGCTGAAGGGAAGGTGGATACACTGCAAAATTCAAGAGGCTGCCCAATATACAATGTATTTTATTTAACCTGCAAATGGAACAGCAAAGTCGGGCATCAGGAAAATTATCTGCCAGGCCACAGCATGAGATTGGTCAGAAAATATAGCAGAAAAATACTTTGAACAGACAAACATTCCAGGTATATGTACTGCAAGATCAACTACTTTCTCCCATTACATTAGATTACAGTGCTGTCTATTTTATTTAAAAAAAGTGTTTTCTGGCAATCAATTCAATTTACAGGATATTCTGTGAAGCGCTTTGAGACGTCTCAAAGATGTGATTAGGTGCTATATCAAATGCAAGGATTATCATTATATATTAAGTTGTTCATTTCCCCTCCAAAGAGAACCATCATTTCCAGTCACTGCTTTCACCAAGTCGCACTCCAATGACCATGTTTCGGGGGTTCAGAGAATACGTTCCAGAGACAATTGAGTAAATGTGAAGTCAAGGACCATAGAAATTCACAGCACAGAAGATTGCCTTTCGGCCTATTGTGTCTGTTCTGACTATTTTAAGTCATTTCGGTCCCATTTATCTGCCTTTTCCCCCCACACCCTGTAACTTACTTATTTTTAGGTATTTATCAAGTCCCCCTTTGAAAGCTAATATGGATTCTATAGAATTAGAACCAGATTTCTGCGCAGCAGCACTCTGTTATAGTGCATTAAGCAGAAAAGGTAAAGAAAAGTACACAGATATGTGGCATTTTCTCCCATATTTAACAATTCCCCACACAATGACTTTCTGTTCTTAATAGTGCACCCATGACAAGTGAGAGTGGAGGTCAGGCACTTTGCCCAAGGCACATGGTGCAGGGGGAGGAAGAAAAATAAAATAGTTGCAGGCACATTGCCAAAACAGATCATGCTGCAGGAAGACCAAAAAGGGAAGAAAATTGTAATAACCTTTAATAACACAGCGAATCCAACCAATGACGTAAACCCAGATAAAAATATAAACAGCAGGAAAGCGAATATTACAGTTTTGACAATGCGAAATGCGATAAAGACTATAGCAACATTTCATATCTCAAAAGCAAGGATCAGTGAGAGAATGAAATTACTGCTACTAAAAATATTTTAAATCCTTCAAAAAGGGTTTTACATCACAAACTATTCATCCATTCATCTGGAATGCATTGCCTGAAAGGGTGGTGGAAGCTGATTCGATAACAACTTTTAAGAGAGTAGAAAATTATTTGGGGAGGACAAGTTTGCAGGGCTATGGGGAGAGACAGGGGAGTGGGATTGATTTGGATAGCTCTTTTTAAAGAGCCGGCCGAATGGCCTCCTTCTGTGCTGTATAATTCTATGTTTTTTTACAACTTAACTCGTATTTTAGAAGAAGAATGTTTACCATTACACCCCTTTAAAAGAACTGTACTGCTTAATTTGAATATGAAAATGTATTTTTAGAAGGTGTATAAAGTTATAAAGGGATTTGATAGGCTGAATAGTGAGCATCTGTTTCCTCTGGTGAGAGTCTTAAACACGAGACTAAATTATTTAAAAGTGAAATAAGGAAACCTTTTTTCATGAACAAGTGGTGGGAGTGTGGAATTTTCTCCCGCAGAGGGCAGTGGGGGCAGAATCAATTCAAAATTGTAAAACGTCAAATGGATTATCGAGGGATATAGAGAGAAGGTGGGAAGGTAGAATTGAGTTGCAGATTGGCCATGATCTTGGAAAAAGGTGGTACCGGCTTCATAGGCCGAATGGTCTACCCTGTTCCTAGAAGCCATTTATACTTGTGTTTTTTTTTAAGTGGTGAATTCTCATAAATTAAATTGTATGAATGAATTAATTAATAATTCTGGATTTGGTTATTTTCAGATTACTCCTTGAAATGAAATAAACAGCCCATGTGATTGATACATGACTGAAAAACACTCCTACCTGGTCGGATCTACCTCAAAACTTAAGTGTTGTTTTTCTGGGTCCTTAAGTACTGTTCTCAGCAATGGCTCAAGTAGCTTTTGCAGATACGTAGCACCATAGACCTAAAGTCAAAACAACAAATTCATATTTTATGATGCAGTTATAGTGAGAGTGTTCAAGACAAAATTGCCCAGTGATCAATCACTCATTTGTTGATGCCACAGTGAGGGTGTTAATATACTGTTAGTTAATTCATGTTAGCCACCACACAGTCAATCCACCTTACAACATATCCTGTGAAACGCTTTGAGAATTCTCCCCATCACACCAGTCATAGCCAGGCTCCACTGGCTCCCAATCTCCGAACAATACGATTTCAAGATCCTCACACTCATTTTCAAATCCCTTCGTGCCCTGGCACCTCCCTACTTCTCCGACCTGCTTAACCCTCAAACCCATTGCCTCTGCTCGACTGGCTCCGAACTTCTGCATATTTCTCGTGCCTTCCTTTTCACCATCGGTGGCCGTACTTTCAGACACACCTCGAAACTCTGGAACACTCTTCCTCTATCCCTCCGTCTTGCCCCCTTCCTTCCCCATCTTCAGGTCTCACCTTAGGACCTTGCTCTTCAACTGTGCCTACGGGCATCTCCCTCTCCCCCGTCAAGCTCACCACTGTATGAGAGGCACTATATAAATGCAAGTTATTGTTGTTGTCTCAATGACACGATAAGATCCGATGTCAAATGCAAGGATTTTTTTTATTATTATTACTGGAGGGATGAGCAACTGGCCTTCTATCTGCAATACAATAAGATCCTTATGATAAACCTGTAGCAATACTAAAATGTCCTACGGATACAATATTTTCAACATGAAACATCATTGCCGTCTGCATGAATACCAACACCAGCGGAAAAAGATGAAAAGAGTAAAACCAACAGAAAGCAATATAAAGTAATACATACACACACACACACACACATACATGTACAATAAACAGAAACAATGAAGAATTTTGTGCCTGGAATGGAATCTCTAAATTCAGATGACTTACTACTGATCCGCACTTTGGGAGTTGCCAATATATTTCTAGACAAGCAATAACCAGGCAAACCCACCCTTTGGGACTCCATCCCACATTCCCTTCCCCTCGCTCCCTTCCTTGCCTTCTTCATTGCACGCCTCCGCTTCAACCGTGCCTTCAACCACCTTCCTGTCGTCCACCCTCCCTAATCCCAAGCCCCCTGCTCAGGTCCAAATCCCTGACTGTCCAACACCTTGGGTCATCCGCCTGACGTGAAAGGCACTATACAAATGTAATTTTGTAATGTAAATCTCTGCACCTCAATATAGTGTATAGATTGGGATTCAATACTTGTGAGAACTAGATGACCCCTGCGTATGTTTGTGTGGTTCCGTTTTAGGGAAGTCTGAACGATATTAGTTCCACTTTTTTTAAAAAATAAAGGGAAAAAAAAATCGACAAGAAGTTAACAGGGTTGGATCGATAATCAATCATTGGCCGGTCGAGGAGCCTTTACTAACAAGTCTAATAAATTACTTGTTACGGTAGCTCTTACCTTCCAAAATGGACCATGAAATGGAAGAAGGTAAGAACCTGATTCAGAGTTTCAAGTTACTTTACAAGATCAGCTGAACATGCTCAATAATTACCCAACTGAACGCCCAAATTGTGTGTTAATCTTTAGAATCCCCTCCCACCCTTCACAGACTTACCTTAAAACAGAACGTCATTATTTTACTTGCAAGGCTGTTGCCTCTAAAGAGGGTCTGCATGGAATCTGCGAGCTCCACCTCTTTAGAGAACATATTCCACAGCAGTTGATAGAGAAGATGACGTGAGTCAAACAACGTCACCAGCACACGAGCAAGCTCGTCCTGTAATAAACCAAGCACATCAGTACACGTTACTGAGAACTGTGTAGATGGAATAAGCATCTGAAAGAACTTTGAAACAAAACGCCAGTAAGGAGAAGCAAAATAATTTGGTTTTGACAGGGCTCTCTGAAAAACATTTCCGGTCTGCCATTCCCCAATCCCCTCAGGTGGCTTTTATCTTTTTGCTTACTCCCACAAAGGGGAAAATAAAATTAAATTAAATTCTTCACAAAAGATTTCTAATTTACTTTTAGGCAGGCAACTTTTATGCAAATGCATTACGAAATGGAAAAGAAAATATTTGTGATACACACAAAAAGGTAGTAGAGTAATTAAAGCACTTAAAGAGAAGAATCTTGCCCTTGTTGTCAACAGAGCAACTGGCTAAGAGGAGTCAATGAACCCAACCAATAATACACCTGAAAGGCTGGTGGTATTCTCATTGGGAATGGCAAGGGTAAGAGGGAAATACTTGCAATATGAAATATTCCCATCAGAAAGGCCATTTATGGATGAGAAGTACAAAAGCTTGGTTTGGAGTGTCAGGATTAGCATCAGAAGGACAAATGGATCAGAGCAGTAAATCAATTATTTTTAGAAAACTTTGTTTTTGAGGTAAAGCACTTCAATTCTCCCCACCGCCCAATGAGGATTTTCTTTTGCATATGTAGATCAATTCAGCTCATTTACATTGATGAAGCTTCACAACTCTTCAAAGTCATTTGCTCTGATGCGGGTCATCAGCACTCAAGAGAAAAAACAAACCATTTCAGATATTAACAGAAAGGATACAAAAGCAGGATGTTAATTCCCTTCAAAAAGGGCAGCTGCAGCAAGACTCCATTTTTACAGAAGTATTTCAAACCTATCTTTCTACTTATTTCTACTGACGGGAAAGTGTTAGGTAGTCAAGGTTCAATTCTAAAGCCCAGTTAGAATGAACGCGTCTCATTTCCTTACAACCGCAATGTAGTGACATTATATTGCCGTAAGCATGTCACCGCCACAAAAGAAATGACTTATGATCTTTTTCTAAAACTATCCTCTGCCAAAGCATTGGAGAATTATTGCGATTGCTTCAAGAGTGCGTTTGGTTTGTGTGCACATTTTAAGCTTTCCTACCTGTTGGTTGAGATTTGTGACTGGCCCAATGGAAGTCTGTGGTAAAAATGAAGAATTGCATTGTTTTTGAGCTATTTCCATGCAGTAGTTCTCGAGAAATTGCTATTTTTTTTTACACATCCGTTTCAGGGCCTGTTTAGAGGCCAAGTGTAGTCCATATCCCACCCTTTCTTTCAGCATGCTAGAAGGATTTGGGTAGTTTTAATCTGCTTTTACTGTGGTCTCCGTGGTGTATCATTGAAAGTCTGGGAGTTGCAGTTGTTGGCTTTTTAAATGACATTTGCTTTGTGTGGTAACGGAGCCATGATTTATGCAACTTACAAACCATAACAGTTCGCATTTTAAAAAAAACTCTAATACACGTGTCCTTTTTGACCTTCCTTTTTCATACCCCCTCCCTCTTCCCTTGGCTCATTGTCAGACTCCGCCACTGTGAAGCGCTCCAGGACCCTACCCAGCATGAAAGGCGCTACATAAATGCAAGTTGTTGCGTCCAAAATGGAGAAGTGAGGGAGGTAGCAGGGAGCATGTGACTACTATCCGAGGCATCAGGTGGCGAGGAGAAGAGGGAGCTGGATGCACAGGGAATGGAGTAAATGAAAGATTAACAAAAATGTCTTTCCATGCCTGAAATTCCTTCCATACACATCAGACTACAGCTCGATGAACTAAAAGCTTTTTTTTAAAAAAAAAACAAGTCATCCGAACCAGAGGAGCAAAAAGAAAAAAAATCCCAATGTACTAGTTGCTTAGCGACACTGTGAATAAGTGACTGACCTCAACTTGTCACCTGAAACTCCCAGTTAGAAAACATCCAACTTTCTGGAGAGCTGGTGGGGGGGGGGGGGGGGCAGGATTAATTAATGGGGCAAACCAATATACAAACACAAATATTGTGCTGTACAGATGACAATTTTACACATTACATCACACTACAATTCTTGGAATCTGGTGTTCCTTGTGCAAAAGGTCTGTAAGAATACCACCAATACTCTACCATCACAGCCATCAAAGAATTATAAGATGTTCACTGCCACCTGCAGGAAATTTCAGATTTTACATTTCCTTCAAGGCACATTCTGGTTTGTTGGTTAGTGATTTAAAACCAGGAGATTCACAACAAACTTCAAAGATCAACCAACACTACTAGGATTCAACCTGACTAAGATAAACTATGACTGAAGAAAGTTAATACGACTTTCCCCAACAATTCACACTGTTTTGTGACATTACTTTGGTGTCAATCAATGAATTTAATGTCATCTGAGTCTGGCCTAGGACACTAAAATATGGATAATGTACTAAATTTCAGAACTAATTTGTCCTTGAATGAAGAGTTTCGATAGTCAAATAACACAAACTGGAAAAACTGAAAATTTGGAAACACATTTCTTCAGGTTTCACTATAACATACAGCACTCCCGTCATATGAACTAAATGTGCAGATGTGTGTCCTGCCACTCTGTGGCTCAGTACATTGCAGCAACAGATGGCATCACCACAGAACCATAAAAGGTCAAACACATTCTCTACTCCTCATCTCCATAAATATCAAAAACATTTTCAGTACCTGTCAAAACATTCAGAATATTACAGCACAGGAGGAGGAGGCCATTCGGCTCATCATGCCTGTGGCGGCTCTTTGGAAGAGCTACCCAATCAATCCCACTACCCCATTCTTTCCCCCATAGTCCTGCATTTTTTTCCTTTTCAAGTACTTATCAATTTCCCTTTTAGAAGTTGTTATTGAATCTGCTTCCACCACCATTTCGGTCTAGGTCCACTTACCCATTGTGAGCAAGGAACAACATGAGCTAAAGCCATTGCAATGGGCAACTCTCCTTGATCTCCCATCATGGTCACCAGTTCCACAAGCCTTTCAAATCTGTCAGCCAGCACGGTCTCTGCAAGTGTGTCAAACTCTGTTCCCTGCTGAAGAATTTTGGTTAGTACTTCCATGAACGTAGCTCTTGTCTGAAGATCTTTATGATACCCCAACCCTAAGTAAAGGAAAATAGACTCATTCATTGGTATCAAGAGGTGACAAAAACAGATCAAAAATCATGAATTATACTTCAAAATTTCATTTTTGACAATCACCGTTATTTTTAAATAAATTCTTAAATTGTACCTACAATTTAAAAATGTTTATGCCCAACTTTTTTTATTCTGTATATTCTGTGAAGTGCTTTGAGATGTCTCGAAGACGTGATAAGGCGCTATATCAAATGCAATGATTATTATAATAAAGCCAAATACATTTATCTTGTTATTCATTTCATGGCTGTTTGTGGACATTGATGTGCATAAATTAGCTGCCACATTCTCCCACAAATACAGTCATTTGACTTCACAGTAAATCCCGGGAAAAGTGAAAAGTATTATACCAAATGCAAGGGTTATTAAGGATTCCTGAAATTGTGTTCTGAGAAGCAGCTCACACAAAATTGTAAATGAAACCCGGTTAAATGGTGAACATATTTAAATGCTTTTTTTAATATAAACAAAAAAAAGTTTTGTTCACCTATAGAGTGCATAAGCCCACTGTCTACATTTGCATTAAGAAGATTAGACATGGCAAGAACCGTGCAGTGTCTTAGTGATGCCAGGCGTCGCGACATCCCTCGCTTTCGCCCCCCAGTTTGCGCAGTCTCGTCCTCCACTTCACTGCAGTCATTTAGCAAATTCATGAAGAGAGTAAAGTACCTGGAAAAGAACAGTTTATTTTAATGCCTCGATTTTCAATGAGTGTTTTTTCAAAAAAAAATACAATAAAACTCACAAAAGTCTGAAATAAAAACAGAAGTCGCTGATGACCCGCTGGAGTTCTGGCGAAAAGTCGTTGACCTGAAACATTAACTCACTTTCCTCTCTCCATAGATGCTGCCTGACCTACTGAGTGTTCCCAGCGACTTCGGTTTTATTTTAGATTTTAGATTTCCAGCATCTGCAGTAGTTTGCCTTATGTTTGGCATGGAGTCATGTTTCGCCACGTACTCGTGGAGTCCGGTAGCTCAGTGGTTAGAGCACTCGCTTTGCAAGTGAGAGACCTGAGTTCAATTCCAGGCAGAGGGCGAAACCTTGGGCAAGTTTCCTTACTCCACACAGAGCCTAATAATAATCCCTCCAAAACAAAAACAATAATAAATTGGTCATTTTTAATCTACGACTGTTTGTGGGACATTGCTGTGCGCAATTGGCTGCCGCGTTCGCCCACAAATAACAGTCAATTCACTTTACAGTGTGTTCTGTGAAGCGCTTTGGGACGTCCTCCCGACGTGAAAAGCGCTATATCAAATGCAAGGATTATTATTATTATTATTATTAAGTCTGATCTGTATCAATCGTATGATCACCTAAGCTGTACACCTGCCCCATTCAAGAGTTGATACTCTATGCAAATTTGACGTAACTCATCCTATATTACATGTATGGTCTCAACTGATACAACTTATGTGAGGTTTACTGTACATCATTTCAGCTTTGCTGGCTATCTGCAGGAGTCCAAAGCCAATCTCAGCAGCATGGCACACTTTGCTGTTCATCAGCAAGAATATCCTGCACAGTTAGCGAAGTGAACTTACTTGAGGAAGAGCTGTGATTTGGCTTCCATTAACTCCACACCATCCCCCTCTTCTGGCTGCAAAGGTAATCCAGCAAGCAATGACACAACTGCTTCCATGCTGGCCTGGTCAAGGTCCCTGCAGACAATATCCATGAGGACATTTCTTAAAAACCTTACATTTATATCCCAAGCACTGTCCAATCATTAAGTTTTTAATAAGTGTAAGTCATCACCCCGCATTGAGAGAATTTTTCTTTTATGCATGTCAAAGTCCTATTTGCAAATATTTGAGGGAAAAAAAATCAACATGTTAAATACTCCATGGTTTCACCTTGTTAAGCATTTCACATCATCATCAGCAGCCTGGTTTGATGTTCCCATAACCCAGTCAGTCAGGTATTCCACCATCTTGTTCCTGCACATCAAAAAAAAACACTTAGGTTTAACCAACCCATTTATACTTTTTCTACTCCCATTACCATTAAAGTCAAAAACCTTGCAAAAAAACCCACAGTGGGACACCAAGATGTGGAGTGGTGGGATGTGCCCTGAATCCTATTATCTCGATTCCCAATCTCACCTTAATAAAGTTTATCAAATGCTCTTCCTCGCCACGTACAATCCCAATCCCTGGGCACTACAATTCTCGGTCTTCTCTTTTATTGTTCACATCACAACATTTTTGTTACAATACGTTTACCTGAATTTCATTTCCTGACAGAAAGAAAGATCATCCCTTCTCTCCATCATGACTTCCACCAGTTGACAGAGCCTGGTTTTAATCTGGATGGCGTGAACCGTGTTTCCAAGCACTCGCACGTACCTGCAATAAAAAGCACGACAGAATGACAAGCTAAATCATACAACACTCAACTTCACTCTTTAAACCTGGAATCCCTTCTTCCAGGACTGATCAGGAAACCAAACTGCAGAATATAAGAACATAAGAATTAGGAGCAGGAGTAGGCCATTCGGCCCCTCGAGCCTGCCCTGCCATTCGATAAGATCATGGCTGATCTTCTGACCTAACTAATTACCTGCCCTATCCCCATATCCCCTAATCCCTCTATTTTTTAAAAAATCTATCAGTCTCCGCCTTGAAAAGGCATCTACAGCCTTCTGGGGTAGTGAATTCCGTAAATTCACTACCCTCTGAGTGAAGAAATGTTTTCTCAACTCTGTTCTAAAAGGCTGACCCTTAATTTTAAAACTGTGACCCCTGGTTATAGATTCTCCTACCAGGGGAAACAGACCCTCAGTGTCTACTTTGTCCAGCCCTTTAAGAATCTTACATGTTTCAATAAGATCTCCCCTAATTCTTCTACACTCTACTGGAGAATACAGCCCTAGTTTATTCAGTCTATCCTCATAGGTCAGTCCCCTCATTCCAGATAAACTAACCTAGCGAATCTACGCCGCACCCCCTCGAGGGTAAGTATGTCCTTTTTTAAATAAGGAGACCAAAACTGCACACAATACTCTAGGTGCGGTCTCACCAAGGCCCTATACAGTTGCAACAAGACTTCCCTACTCTTGTACTCTAAACTTTTTGCAATGAACGCTAATATGCCGTTCGCCTTCTTAGTTCTTGCTGCACCTGGAAACTAACTTTTTGAGACTGGTGTGTACAAGAACACCCAAATCCCTCTGAACACTAACACTACCTCTCCCACTCTAGAAAATAATCTGTTTTTCTATTTTTTCTACCCAGATGAATAACTTCACACTTCCCCACATTAAATTCCATCTGCCACCTACTCGCCCACTCCCCGAGCCTATCTATATCCCGTTGCAATTTTTTTGCATCATCCTCAGAGCTTACTCTCCTACCTAGTTTAGTGTCATCCGTGAATTTAGATACGTTACATTCAATGTCCTCGTCCAGATCATTGATGTAAATTGTAAATACCTGAGGCCCAAGCACTGATCCTTGTGGCACTCCACTAGTCACATCCTGCCAATTCGAGAATGACCCGTTATCCCTGCTCTCTGTTTTCTACCCGTTTGCCACTCTTCAATCCATGCTAATATGTTCCCATTAATCCCGTGGGCCTTAACCTTGTGCAATAGCCTTTTGTGTGGCACTTTGTCAAATACCTTCTTAAAATCTAAATGTACTACATCTACTGGTTCCCCCCTATCTAACCTGCTAGATACATCTTCAAAAAATTAGTTAAGCGTGACTTCCCTTTTGTAAAACCACGTTGACTCTGCCTAATCTTGTTATGGTCTTCCAGGAATCCCATAACAATATCCTTAATTAAGAATATGTATTTACTCTCCCATTTTTGTGGATTAATTTGTGGTGTGTCTTGTCCCATCTCATTTACCTGGATAGTTACTCCAGTTCTTGGCTCAGAACTTGGCTATGTACCCAGAGAAGTAGGGCGTTGGGAGGGGGGAAGAATGCAGCTCGTGAATAGCAGGTCTAGTTTGATGGCAGAACATTACGGTTGACCTTTCAGTTTAGTGAGTCTCTGTGTGAAATCTTGCAAGAGTTTACAATGAAATAGGGTTTTCATGCACTGTGAAGGAGGTGGATGTGAAGAGCCTTTTCGCATTCCGTTCTCTCTTATGTCCTTAAAGTTAACCACTTAAAGGAACAGCACATTTGCTAAGTGAGGAAACGCACATTCTGTCCAGTAGTAGCAAAACAAAATAAAAGATTAGCTTGATGCTTGGTATTCAATCAATAAATGTTCAGTGGAGTTCATCCAAATGAAGTGATATTCAACTATTATAACACATAATCTGGTTATTTAACAGCATGCGCATGTCCACACAATTGATAGGTTTGATTTCACGAAAAAAAAGACATAATGTTAACAGACAATGTGATTATTCATTTCTGATTTCTGGCATTGTGTCTGCGTGTCACTTGGTAGGGCAGATTAACAGGCCGTAATGGCGAGCTGCAGGAAATATCCTCATCCTCCACTTTTCCTGTGCCTGAATTCAGTTACAGGCTAAGATCAGTTGAGGTTTGATACACTGGGGCTAAGAGTCACACAGATATGCCTAGACCCAAACAGTAACGCAGACATAAAACTTGGAGGTGAACAATGAGAACAGTTCTAAATAAGAAAAAAAATCATACCTAACTAGATTGAGCATCATGGTCTCAATACTAGCTTGTCCTAGATGCTCTGAGCTTCCATCTGTGTGATTATCAAGCAGGTTCTTCATAATCGCTATTGTCTGCTCCACAAATGGTGTGTTTGTATCATTCAATAAAACCTGCATTAAACGTAGACAATTACTTATGAGGAAGATGGCTCAGTATTGTTTATAATAATTATGTACTTTTTTTAAAAAAAGAAGAAACTGCAAACAGACACTTGCTTTAAGTATCCTTCAACCAACACCTGCATTTTCACAGCTTGTGTTCGATTCGCAAATTTTTATCAAAACCTAAACTGTTATGGCTAAAAAGAAAAGCAAACTATGATATCTAAATCAATATACAAGCATTGCACGATACATGTAGCAGAAGATTAAAAGATAAATATTGTTTGATGGAGAATAAGTTGCTATATACAGTGTGTTAAGAACTGTTACCGTAGTGATAGAATTTTAACAGGTAAGTGTACAGAAATTACAAGCGATAAAGTAATTTTCACAAAGTGGTTTTCTCAGTTGGATGGTCAATGAGGAAGAAGGAAGGATGGTTGTGATCAGGCAGTTATAAATGCAAGCTTCATTTACAGCACAATGTTACTGCACCAACCACTCAAGGAAGTGAAGGCCAGTGGCTTTTAGAGATGGCTGTGCTTTAAATAGAATTTTCCCTTTCCCCTTCTCCAACCTGGCATTAAAATTCAGAGACGACAACAACAAGCATCTCAAAGACATATTTTATCGCTGTGAAATATCAATATCAAATCAGTTAATTTACTGAAGACACTCACCTGACCTTGCAAGTCAAAAAACCTGCTGATGCAATTCTTCAGCTTGTTGAAGAGCATTGGATAAAGTACAGGGCTCAATTCTAGTCCAACCAAGTCTTTTATGTTAGTCCTAATTTGAAGTCCCACTTTTTCATGATTGCATACCATCAGAGTAAGCAGGCGTTCTAGGAACTTGCTAACAGGAGTCTCTGTATTTCCTTCAGTTGAGACCATGGATATCATGGAACCTTTCCTTTCACTGACAGGCCCCATTGGAGGGCTGTACGTTGCTAAGCCTGGGTTGCTGCGATGCTGAAGACAGACACCTCCTATGGCACACAGGAAGCCAGTCATGTTAATCCACTCCTGCAGAGAATCTGTATCCGTGAGGTCTATGGAGCCACCACCACTTACATGGGACATTCGGCGCTTGACAATTGTCTTATGAAGACTTTCCGTCACCTAAATGTGGAAGGAATTTTCAGTCCATATTATAGAAGATGTAGACCAAAGAGAACCAAAGTTTCCTGCTCAAGGAATCATGAATTAGAAAAAAGTTCAGTTAACAACAGAATATACATACAATATTTGCAAATAATGGCTTAACTCAATCCAATTTGCTCTGGTTCTGAATTATCTCCTTCTCCAAGAGGGTGCTACCTTTAACAGATTGCCCATCCCTAGTTCGGGTGCAAACCCTGAACTGACCAGCGCCTTGAAACGCTCTGAGACCCTATTACGCGTGAAGGGCGTTATATGAATGCAAGCTGTTGTTGTTGTGACATCCTTCTGAAATGGAAGGCGCAATATAAATGTAAAGTTGTTGTTGCATTAATACAATGTACTTCAAAACTGCTCATTTCGTAGCAGCAACCACTTAGTTAAGTGGCCAGTGGGTGTATTAACTCAACGCGCAAAAGTAAATTGGAAATGACCGATGTGACAGTTACATTCCAGTTGTTACATAAATGCTGCAACACCAATTAGGATCATAAACTATTCAGATCCTGTGATCAATCAAAGTGTCTTTCATTCCATTATGTTTATTCAAAATGTAAACCTTCACCTGATGTAAGTTAATAGGCCTTCATCCCAGGTCTGATCACCTGGATTTCAAATGAGCAGAACGTTTCCTTTTTTTGTACATTTCAGCACGAAAGTACAATCACAAAGCAGCAAGATTTATGTAAACGTCAAAGCTTTACAGCCAATCCTTTCAGAGTTGAAGACAGAAAGAGAGAGTACCTGGGAAACATTTAAACTAAAATGTAATAAGTAACCTTTGGGACTGGTAAATTAGAAAACATGGTAGATAAAAGGCAGGCACCTAAGCCCCATCTTTAAGTCCTATGGAATACCAATGGATATACCCAACCATATTGCTATGTAGTGAGGTGATCAAGTTGGATCCTCAACTAGCAGGATCTGGGAGTAAGATCCCTGCCCAAATTTTAGCCAGAACTAGATGCAGAAAGACCAGAGAAAGGGTCAAAACGCCTGAGAGCCTTCCCCTCAACAGAAAATGTTTTCATTGTTTAAGATCAAAAGGGTGCATTATGTCTTGTGATGTCACAAGAAACATCAACAATACAGAGCTGTGTCACTGTAAGTGTAGCAAAGTTTGAGCTGAGATTTAGCTCCATGGATTTTCCATGCAAACTAGTGATATTTAAAGAATCCCAAATCCTGGAGACAGAAAACGTTTTGCCACCCAGTTTCAGCATAAATCACTCTCAGCTAAGTTATAGCTCAATCTGTACTGTTCCAACAATGCAACTAAATCTTTTGAAAAAAGATCTTGCTGTGAATATGGGTGATATCTCCATTCCCTTGCAGCCTGAAAGCAATTAAACATTAATCTGTCAATGGATGGTTGTATTGGGACTTGTGTCCACTTGCACTGTGTTCCTTGCCCTTACCTGCCCATCCTCGATTTTAGTTTTAGGATAATTCAGAATCAACTTGGTAGCTTGTTCCCACTTTGTATATGTATCTTCCCAGGCCTAAAAGCAGAGGGGGCAACATGTTTATTTTAATATGAGGCCCTAAGTAAATTCAAAATTATTATTATTAATTACAAAATGCAACAGTAAAATAAGCAAACTTTCACAGCACAGTTAATACCAACAGCAAGTTTACCACTAGTACCTCTGTTCAACAGCAATCAAACGATCTTGTCAAATATTGTCATAGATTTTAATATCTTAGATATGTCAATTTTGCAGCTGCAAACAACTGAGAAAATGAACAGTTATAAACTTACCTCTGTATTGCCTGCTGTTGGATGCTCTATTCTCCTCAGCAATGCCATCACCCTTTTCTGAAGAGCTGCTCTCCCTGCATTTCGTTAAAAAAAAACATGAGGTTATATAATATTATGTTTAGCTCAGTGTTTCAATTTAGACAAGGAAAATATGTCTTAACTGAACAGGAAAAGCATGAGCCTTTGTCATTTGCTGGTCACGGAGTGAGGCTAGCTGAGATGTCTAGACTACCTGTTCAGTAACTAAAAATGCATGGATCATCATCCCCTCAGTTTCAGCTGCTATGATCCATGCCTTTTTAGTTGCTGACACCAGACATTAATTTTTGAAGAAGCAAATGGTTTCTGATGCTTTCCAGTGATTTTCAAAAGCAACCTACAACAACAAGATTTTATTTATAGAGCGCCTTTCACGTCGGGAGGGCGTCCCAAGGCGCTGGACAGTTGGGTCAGGACCCGAGCAGGGGGGGAAATGGTCAGGGTGAGGGGAGGGAAGGGAGGGAGCGAGGAGGGGATAGAGAGTCGAGAGGGGAGCTGAAGGCACGGTTGAAGAGAAAGGTCTTGAGACCGGCCTTGAAGGAGGAAAGGGAAGAAGCAAGGCGAAGGACGGGGGGATGGAGTTCCAGAGCCGACATATATAGAGCATTTATAGAGCACCTTTCACGTTGGGAGGACGTCCCAAAGCGCTGAACAGTCAGATGTCGGGGCCCGAGCATTGGGGAGGGGGGGTGGTGTAGGGGTGAGGGAAGGCAGAGAGGTGGGAGGGAGACCAAACGCACGGTCGAAGAGAAAGGTCTCGAGTCCAACCTTGAAGGACAACAACAACTTGGATTTATATAACGCCCTCCACACCGGATGGCGTCTCAAGAGCGCTTCACAATAATGGATCCCGGGGCCTAGCTGGGGGAGGGGGAGGAGCCTGGGAGAGGGGGAAGAAGGTGACCAAAAGCGCGGTCGAAAAGAAAGGTCTTTAGCCGAGACCTGAAAGTAGGAAGAGAGGGGGCGAGGCGAAGGGAGTGAGGAAGGGAGTTCCAGAGCCTCGGGGCGTAGTGGCTGAAGGCACGGTCACCAATGGTGGAGCGGAGGAATCAGGGGACAGACCCGGTGGAGCGAAGGCAATGGTGAGGAGAGAGGAGATCAGAGAGGTAGGGAGGTGCAAAGGAGTGGAAAGATTTGAAAACAAAAGTGAGGATTTTGAAATCGATCCTCTCTGGGACAAGCGGCCAGTGAAGTCTGGCAAGGACTGGGGTAATCGGGGAGCGGCGTTTGGTCCGGGTAAAAATGCGGGCGGCAGAATTCTGAATGACCTGGATTTTATGAATGGAGTGGAGGGGACACCGACCGGCGAGGAGGGCATTTGAATAGTCCAGCCGAGAGGTGACAAAGGCAGGGATCAGGGTTTCGGCAGCTTTTGGGGTGAGATATTGGTAGAGATGGGCGATGCGTTGGAGGTGAAAGAAAACAGTGCTTTCTTATCATCATCACTTACCCGTGGACATCATGTTGCTGACTGATGCAAACTCCATGAAGGTATTGTAATTTGGCAAGATGATCTGGACAGCGACATCATCCACTCCACACCTAATATCAGCCTCCTCACAGAGGTGGCGAAAACATGACATGGCCACAAGGACTGCTTCAATGTCGGGACTCCATAGGAACATGTACAGGGCTACTTCCAGTTTTGTCTGTGCTTGACGACAGATAGGGATTCCACTGCCGAGAGTGGCGCTCTCCTACATTAAGACAGAATTAGTCCAATAACCCTTTTCTTGTAAAATTCAAACTGTAAGACTGCTTTAGGTTTTTTTTAAACCATCAAATAATTAGATATTGTGTTATACTGAAGAACGCCTTTCATCAAATAATTACAAGTCTATTTGCACGTATAGAAACTAAAGGATGCATGAATAAGTACATTTCATCCTACTGTCCTGGATTGGTTTTATAATTGAGATACACTGCAAAATAAATGATGGTACAAACAATGGCTACTTGCAGTCTGTCTTCTTAACTTGCCAATAATACAGAATACAATTATTAATGCAACTAACAATCCATTCAGACATTATATCTTCATACAATCTGCATTTCAAACTGAGCGTGAAGATCAGATAGGCTGCAGCTTTAACAACTGCTTCAAATTTTAACTCAGACTTGTTGAATTCTTAGGAGTTTCCATAGACATATGCTATCACTGTTCATTTTCTTTAATTTGTGGGCCATAATTACAACTTTTAGCAATTGTAAAATAAACTATTAGAAGTAAAATTCCCACAAAGAAATTTTGAAATTGTTTGTTACCTTGTTCTTCAGCAGAAACTTATTCCGACAAATTAGAATCTCCCGCAACCACTTGAGAATCTCTGTGCTGTTGAGCATCTGGTGAGCGATCAATTTCTTACAGATGAAAAATAGAACCTGAGAGCTGTCGGCACAGATGAAGACTTTTTAGAAATGAAATAAAACTTTCAACAATTTAGTTTTTCTGAGAATTTGCTCAAGTATAGAGTGGATGCAAAGGAGCACTTAAATCCTATGCCGAAAAGAAAAAGGTGTCTTCTCCCGGTGTCCTGGCCAAAAATCCCCAGATAAAATAGGCTACTTGGCGGCTGCTGTGCATGTTCATCCACAAAATACAACAGCATTGCACTTTAGTGGATCCTACGAAGCACTTTGAATCACCCTTCCAACAACAACTTGTACTTATATATCATCCTCCACGCAGGATAGTTAGTATCTCAGAGCGATTAGCTCATCATTGTTTCCCACTTCTTATCCAGCACCGATCACCCTTCAGTTGCATGAGTACAATTCCTTTTTTTAAAAAAAAACAAGTAGGCCATTTCACGGTGGAAAGTTTATTGCGGGCTTCAAAATAAATCTCAATTTTATTACCTATGTAATTCTATGCACCTCGATTACCCAACAGTGCCAAATAAACAGGGCATCCAACAAATAAAAAAAACACAACTTTTACTTTGCAAAAAATGGATAGGACTAATAATATATTAAACAAAAATCATGAAGTTCACAGTATATCTGTTTTCACCAAACTGATTTACCTTATATCCCAGAACGTTTCAATTGGGGCATCTGGGTTCCATAACTCTATATTTTCTGGTTGATGAAGAACCAACAAAGCCTAGAACAGAATGGACAAACTGTAACTAGATACAGGGGGATTTCAGCGCACTCAAAAACTTTGCCCAGTGCCAGGTCCAGAGGTCTCAGCACTTTCAACTATCTGTGCCAAAGTCAGGTCCACTGTATTTAATACATGCGGCCTTGGATAAATAGCGCAGCAATAAAGCTGTGAAGAATATTAAGCACTCCGTAAGCACTAAGAGCCAACAGTAATGCCTTTTATCCTTCAGCAAAGATAAGTCACTGCAGTATAGTTATGTTTGATGTCAATAACTATCGCAGCAGACAACATGCTCCCCGACTTGACGAGAGTCTCTGAGAGGTACCTGAATGTGGCCAGCTAACCAGAGATGTTCTGACCGATTGCTCCTCTCCTGCCTGATCTCTGCTCTTTACTTACTCACAGCAACAAAGCTGAGACTGAGAATTGAACCAAATGTAGGGTCCTGGCAAAGATTGAATCTGTCTCTTACGATGTGTGGCACAGCATGTTCATTAAACTAGTTATGCCACCATAAAGAATCCTCCCACACAGCCCTCTTGCATCAAGTGGGTAGGCTTCATAGCTAGCTATGCCAGCTATGCTGTGGGTGATTCACCAGCTCATTTTCCTTACTTTCTCTCTGTGGGGAGGGTGGTATAGTGTCAAGCTTCCCACTGGTATCAAAGCCTGACAGCTGTAGAATTGGAACATGCGAAGCCCTGAAGTTTCCAGTATCTTTAAACTGCTCATTTCCTGGGCGTTTCTCAGTTTCGCCCTTAGTCAGAATGAATTGTGTCTTTTTCCTCAAATAAGTATAATTAATCCGTAGGAAGGAATTGCGACTTTTAAAGCTAAGGCTGAGGGGAAGGTGATGCTGCATAGCTGTTTGCACTTGGAAACAATTACCTATGTTACATTGTCACTATCCAATATTGATATTTCTGCTCTCATTTTTAATATTGCCATCTCAAACAAAACATTTTAATAAGCTTGTTGCCAAAATGTTAGTGTCATAAACCTCCCCATGTTTTTTGGGGAGGCAATGTTAGTTGATCAATCACAAGATGACCCATCCACCCAGCTAAAATCTAGCATTGTACAAAATTACTGATTATAGGATTAAAGTTAAAGGAAACGCTAAGATGTGATCTGTGATTGTCTGGGGTAGGAAGCTAAAGCTGTAATGACAGAGCCATTGAGTTTCACTGTGTTCACGTGGCATTTAAGCTATTTTTTGGACTAAAAATACAAGTAAAAACTGAATATTAGTTTTTTTTTTAAATACATAATCTGCCTCCCAATGCAGCAAGGATGTCACATCTTTTAATAAAAATACAGAAAATAGTAACGGAACATAATTATGACATTTTCACAAACAAACCCTAGTCATGTGGTTTTAGACCAACATGTTACTTATTATTAGAATAAACATCCAAGTTATAATTATAGTTTGTGTGCTTTGTCTAATCCAAAATCTATTTTTAAACCAGGTAACCATTTTTTATATCTAGCTTGGTAAAACGTCCAAAAGAGGTGGAACAAATTTGGTGACAAGAAGGGTTACAATGGTTATAATTTATTAAAATACAGCAACAGAAACTCCTGATATTTGTGGACAGCAGACACTAGCTGTGGACACTACTTCTGAATAAGCAGCTCTGCAGAGCTTTGTGGGTGAACTTGTACTTATTTTGTTGAAATGGTACCATACACAGTAAAATGTCTTCTATCACCCAGTTGACCATACATGAAAATGCAACCACCTCCAGATGTGGATATTATGTCAGTGAAACATCAGTGCAAACCTGACCTAACAATAGCCTTTGATCCAACCCTAGCATCTCCTGGCAATTAGATTCATCAATGCATATTGGTATACTGAAACCATACATGAAACAGGTTTTCTTAAATCTGAAATGCTTCATAACAAAAAGAATATTGTCAAGCAATTGATTGGAATATGGCACCTGCATCCTTACCTCCATGGCTTCCTGCCCAATCTCAGGCATGCTGGTCTGTGGAACAAGCTGCACTAACCCAATTATCAACTCAACAGTGCTGCTCTGAATTTCATGTCCTGGCTTCCCTGGATTCTGCACATCAAAAATATTTGTTTTAAGTCAAAGAGGAAGCAAAGGAGACCAGTTTGAAAAAAAGTTGTGAAATTGTAACAATTGTAAACTCCAGTCCACAACGCAAATCTCGTTTGTTGCTAAGTATCTATTTTACAGCCTTCTCTGCATATTTCTTTATCGGAGGAAATTATTTATCCACAATATCTACTCATACGTTTATGCTGACATCCTACATCTTCTCACTCACATCACAGTGCAGAGTGCAGTATATCAACACATGATCAAATTGGTTGCACATGGTTTTGTTAGGAATGATTCAAGTTACTTGATGAATGTCTTCCTGGAAAATTGATATTTTCCACCACCAAGGAGTCCTGTGCCATTTCCACAATTTCAGTCCAAAAGTTTAAAGTTTCTTAATTGCTTGCAAACTTCTCTCTCCACTGAAGTCTTTGATAGCCGTTTTATTACAGAGAACTGCAATCACTCGACTACAAGAATAAAGACAAAAAGCACATTCAGCGCTTTCGTATTCTGGATGTGCACAGCAGAATCCTAATACATGGATTCTAATCAATCACCTCAATATATTCTCCCGAGCCAACAATCCTACCGATTACTTGTTCATTTACCTCATGATTGTTGTGGACCTTGGTGGTGCAGATAGTTACTGCATTCTACAAATACAGTCACTACACCTGACAGGAATCTCCTATGGAGTGTTCAGAGACGTTGACATAAGGCACTATAAAAGTGCAAATACCAGTGAGTGCACTGAAATTGGCAGCAATTGATAACAACAATCACACTGTTTTTTTTAATGCAAGCTATCTACTTCCAGAATGGATGATTGTCGATCTTCCAGATCTCCCTTGTGCTTTCCAGATCAACTTGACTGGACCGAGGTGATGCCGGTCAACATTTTCACTAAATTGCTCAAATATTTCCATTTGACAAAAGTGTGGACTCTTTCCAGACACTGAATCTCAACTGATGTTTTGGTGGCAGCAAATTAAGTAACCTGCATTAGGCACTCATTCGTCTCGTAGTTTCTGCAGTGCTTGAAGTACCCATCATACTTAACGCTATTTGTGCTTCGTGTTCCCATCTGGTGTGTGTGAGTAGAATCCTAACTTTCTGTCTCTCCAAAGCTTTACCAGGGCTTGATGAACCGCCTGGATGGCAATATTCCATGAGAAGGTATTTTTGAATTTAAGATTAGGTGATAAATGGACATGGTAAACGCTAAGCCTTAAACGCGCCACCCCATATGATTGAAGAAATATTAATAGTGACAGTTTAATAGAAAAGTTTTTTAAAAATTTCTCTCGTTAGGCTAATAAAAAAGCAACGCCTTTTCATACTATACTTCTTCTCACACTTACCTCTAACACTGTACTTACATGCAACATGAGCTTGGGGTCTCCATGGATTAATTTCACAATAGCCAACAACAGGTATTTGTAACTTCGGGTTTCAGAATCTGTTGGTTTTTCTTTAAATTTAAGGCTCGTCATTTTCTCCTTGAATGTAAGACTCTGAAATAGAGAAAAAAAAAGAAAATCATAAAAATAAGCCAATTTTTCTCATTGCTTCCTACCAACTACCTGAATATTTAATGAATTATTAACATATTGTTCCAGTTTTGAATGTACCGAATTTCTTCACTTCAAAACTAACAAGACACTTATTTCAATATGTAGTGCTTATTAAAACCACTATGCACATCCAATTGTTTTACATAAAGCAATGGAATAAAGTGTGAAACATTAGTAAATGCATGGCAGAAAAGGAGCTGTTTAAATGCAATCAGATCTTTTCCAACAGTTAAAGACTTTATTTGTTGAGAAGGTGGATGCATGCTACGTACTCAGACCTAGATGGGATTACATTGTGTTTACTAGCGTAACTAAGCACAGAAAAGGCTGAGGTCTAATTGCTTTTCTGTGGTAGTTACTATGAGTCATACTTACAGCAACAGAAGCCCACTGCCATGCAAAACAGTGACTGGTTGGCGTCTGATCATGTGAACGACAGCAGCCAATAAGCACAGAAAATAAAGCAGAAGACAAAGCACCACCGATCAATGTTAGAGTAGCCATGTTATACAGCTGCTACCTATCCGTACAGGTGACGCTAAATATACATTAACAAATGGGTTATGAAATGAAAGGTTTGCAACATATTATAACAGCCGAGGCACCCACAAATAATCTGATCAACACTATTGTACTTTCAGCCAATATAATCCAATTCACTCCACTTCATTTCGACTGCTTCCTAAAGATTAAGGGACAACAATGCTTCGGCCAGTCAACGGGTGTCCAACAGAAATGGTGCAATTCCTGGCCTAAATACATGAGATTAAAGATTCCAAAACAAATACTCAATAGAAAAAAAATTTAGTTCTGGATTAACTAATCCAATCCTGTTCTTTCACATCCATCTGTTTCTTAACAATCGCTTACTTCCCTTTGTAACCTTTTACGTATTCTTTTTCTACCGACTGGGGTTGGCACTTTTAAGCATTGGGAGCGTACATTACCAGCGATAGACAAATACAAAAGATTACCTGTTCCGTCGGTTCTGTAGTACCAATTCAACACCATTGTGCAAAACAGACTACAGTGTGAAACAAACAAATACACAGCAAGTGTCCAACGTGAAAAAGAGTAAACATCAAATATCCGTATAACTACTACTGCTAGAGGTAGCTATATTAAAAAAAACTTTCATTTTTTATTTGCTAGTACGTTTTCTATTCCAGTCAAGGTAACAAAGGTATTCTGTTTTTTAGTAAGACGGGTGAAGCAAACAAAATAAACCAAAACTGCTCTGAACATAAGAAGAAAACTTGCAATAACCACTTGAACGTCATTACCAAAATGCAGGTTATCAACGTTGGTGCCCAATACCAGTTCGGAAAGAAGCATTTTATTTCGCAAGCATCAACTCTGTAAGAGATTCGGACTGATAGACACCTTTAGGGAGTTGTTCTGCAGTCATTGTGTTTCTTGGCCTTGAAAAAGGAGAATGTTACAAGGTCCAGCCAAGATATCTTTTAACTCCTGCTAAACTAGTTGTTTGAGACAACCAGCCCCCATCATGCCTTATGAGATTAATTAAAAGCCTTAAAAATATTAAGCATCGCAAATATAATCTTACAAATCCAACACGGCAGAATGTGGTCCATTTAGTTAGGTTCACAGATATGAAGAATTCTCCCTCGCTGATACCCATTGGTAGTAAAAACATAACAAATTAAGTGCCAAAAAGTGAGACACTTACTGCTCTTGCTTCCTGAACTAATTGCAAGTAGCAATAGTAGGTAGTTGTGACCATCTTCACGTGGTGTAGAATTGTACGCAGTATGGGGAGATCACAAACAAGGAATTAAAACAAATATTCCAAACTAAATCAGTGGAATTTGGGCTATGGTGCTCAACAGAGTTCAAAGATGTGTACCCCAATGCTATAAACATTGTTTTCACTGTATTTACCATACAATTAAACACCTTTCAAAAGCCTTTCTATTCAAACACTACTTTTGAGGTAAGCTTCCAACTTTATGTCACAATATGGGCCATACTTAAATAATATTCCCTACATCAGTGTTTCCCAAACTGTTCTGTGCCAGCCACACTTCACCCCAAAATATTTTCACCTTTGCCCCCCTCCCCCACCCCACCTAAATGTACACTCCAATTTTACTGAAAAACATGAAAATTAAAATGGTATTAATATTTTTTCCCATTGTACAACCTTAGACAAGCATGTTTAAAAGGAGTGTTTTAATATGGTTTCTCATTTTTTTTATTAAAAAGCCAAAGAAATGGTCACATTGGAATTTATCAAATAGTTTGAGGGAGTAATTAAAAAATTATGATATTTATTTCTTCTCGTCTTAATGGAATATGGTTATTATACTGCACAAAGAGCGGATTTAAAACTTAGTGCCATTATGAATCTTAATCACAATTTAAAAGAACATTTTAAACTTTGAAATAATAATAAGAATAATCCTTGCATTTGATGTAGCGCTTTATCAAATCTTCGAGACGTCTCAAAGCGCTTCACAGAATATACTATAAAGTGAATTGACTATATTTTGTGGGTGAAACGCAGCAGCCAATTGCGCACAGCAGTGTCTCACAAGTAGATAACTCTGCATATTCACCACAGGTTCCCAATTCTTTCAGGCTTAAAGAACCACTGAAATTTGTAAATAGGGCCATTCATTCAGCTGATCATGTCTGTATTCACTCTTTGAAAGAAAAATCCATTCAGTCCCATTGACTTGCCTTTTCCATATACTCATGCAGTTTAGTACTTTTAACGGTATTAATTTTGTTTCCTCTCAAAAGCTAATATGGATTGTGCCTCAACTACCGTACAAGGCAGAAAATTCCACATCCTAACAACTCTATGTTGGTTTTTTTTTTTTAAAAATCGTACCAATCTTTCCTTTTGCTCCTTCACTGATTATCTTAAAATGATAGCTTCTTATCCACAAAAGGTAGCAACCTAAAACAACTCCATACTCTTGATACAAGCATATAAAAGGTCCTCAGCACAAACTTCATTACAGAATGGTTTTCAAAATTAAAGTAACTTCCCTAATAACAGAAAATGTTGCCTATATAATTACACACCAATCTGCTTCCAAGGACTTCCAATCCAGAGAGCTGCAGTTTCTAAAGCAGGCGGCAGACACCAATGACATGACAGCTTTCAGCTGCCCTCATCCAGCTAACTTATTCAGGACTACAACAGAGGTTTGGAATTAAGGTCCTTTGGCCCATTTCATCGGATCCTTTCAGAATAACAACTTTATTGTTTTCTTGTTTCAGCGTCAAGCATTTACTAGGAAGAGTGATGGAGGCAAGTGTCTTGGCCTCTGTCACCCTTCCAAGTAACATCAGATGTTGACAACATTGTGAGTAAAGGAATACTTATGAATGTAAATTCTAAAAATTGCCGTTTACTGAAGCAGTTCCTGTGATTTCTTAACCTGCTACCTTGACGTATCTGCAAGTATTTTTTGATACTTATCAAGTATTGTTCAAGGTTTACATTCTCTACGGGATTAAACATTTTACGTACTTCTATAAGGTCCTCTGTGAAACAACTCTTTTCAAGTCTGAGCCACAGCTTATTCAATGGGGCCAGCTTGCTCTGCCCAAATAACCATGCCACTAAACCAATTCTTTGTGGCAGTGCCACCAGTTTGGGAAACACTGCGCCAAAGCGACAAGATGCACAATTTGCAACTCCCAAGGACTGTTACAATAAGGATACGACACATCTCATTAATAGGAAATAAACACCACTTTAAGATTTGATTTGTTCAAGAGGCTAATATTAAAAAAACAAGGCTAAGAACAATCAATGTCCAGCAACTGTGTATTTGTCTATTCTGACTGAAAAAGTGCATAAAAATTCAGATTTTTATTATTTTCCTCTCAAATAGAAATTTAAAAAAAAACACCCTAACAAGTCTGATTCTATCCAAAGTGCATTTAAAATATCCACAAAAATCTGCATACAACTGCATCACAAATGTACTCTTTCTCAGACCAGTAGCTGTAAAGCTGTGTACTATTGAATAACCTAAAATAAATGGATTGTAAGAATATACCATACAACTGGAAACATAATAATGGCTTACATCCACTGGATCTGTTAATCTTGGAAGCTCTAAGATTCTTGCCAATGATCTAGCTTTTGCAAATGATTAATATTCTCAGTATCTGAGGTTGCGTGGTTCAAAAAAATTATAAATTAATATTGCATGAGAAACGATACCTCCCCAGACAAAACAGTTATGAAAAAATTGCAGGAATGGCATGATGGAAACATTCAAATAATGCAGTAAGTACAGTCAAGCAGCCATACCTGTGTCATTCGCAGGGGAGCATGTGCGCTGCAGCTTTGCATCACGCGGTTCAGAGTTTCTGTGAACATGCTTCGGAGTTCCCCTGAGTAACAGTACACAGCATCGATCTTCGGCCACCAGTCCACCGCAGACTGAAAGGGAGGCGAGGAAAAAGATAAAAGTAGAATAAACCGCTTGTTTTGACCCTTAACACACTTAGTGATACAACGTGATTCACAGAACCACATGTATAAACGATCAAGTGATCATTTTAGCCAAACATCATAACCTGGTTGGTTCATTGTGAATGTGATTTGCAATGCAACTTTTAGCATGGGGTTACAATAATAATCCTTGCATTTGATATAGCACCTTATCACATCTTCGAGATGCTGTCAAGTGCTCCACAGAACAAACTGTAAAGTGAATTGACTGTATATTTTGTGGGCGAAACATGGTAGGCAATTGCACACAGCAGAGTCCCACAAACAGTTGTGGATTGAGTGACCAAACTATTATTATTACTTTTTTAAAGGATTATTACCTCCGGAAAAGCAATCTGCCAATCGACTAACAACCGATTCCTACTCTGCTAACAGAAGCGTATGGAGTAAGGAAAGTTGCCCAACGTTTTGCCCAACGTCTGGCAATCAAACCCAGGTTCTTTCACTTGCGAGACAAGTGCTCTAACCATTGAGCTACAGGATTCCACAGTGAAGACTGAAGATTGCGTCATTCTACCCCAAGATACTGAAAATTGTGGATTAAGTTTTTTTAAATAAAGTTGTTTCTGTTGGAAATCAGAAAACACAAGTCTTCAAAATATCCTGAGGTTCTTGTGTACATCATAAAATATTGCAAAAGTGCTGTACGGAAATTCGTACTGTTTCACAACTTCAAATTGCTTCTTGGTGTTTAGGAATTAGTGCCTTTCAGGTCTCAACGCTCAAAAATGAATTCCAAATGTTGGTATGAACCACTCCATGGTTTAGGTGCAGATTATCCAGATGTACAGCACAGCTATGACTGCTCTATCCTGCCATCCGAAACACCAGACACAAGAGAATCTCCAAAACATAACAGCAAAATACTACCATTGCTGGTACCAACCTCTCAGCGGCTGCTGATTTTGCATCACCTCTTGCCGAATTATGGAAAGTTTTGCATTCGTACCTACTCCAGATGCATTTTATATTAGCACACGCAGAGCTAGAGAAGATTTAATTTATTAGTTTGAGCAGGATTCAAACGCAAGTCTCAGTAGTGCAAGGGCAACACCCCAACCAGAGAACAGCATAGCTGTTAAAATTAGTATTTTAGGCATACGTGTATAGGGAGAAATGGGGAGAATTGAGCACGTCAACTCCAAAATTGTTCGATGATGCTTCCATTTTATCTCTCCTATCATATAACAACAGCATACACAACACTAATAATTAATTCAGTATCTTACAGGAGACAAAGTCAAATGAACAGTCTGAAGGAAGATATGGAGTTAAACTATTTGTTGCTGTACATTCAGGAACATCAACAGAGAACAATGCTAACAGGCCTAACATATCCCAATCCAGAAACCACAAGGCAAATAGCAAAACAAAATAAAAATCCACAGCAAGAATTGCCACCATTTAAAACATCCCTTGAGCTATGGATAAGAAAGATGTAGTGTTGAGGATCAGGAGCATGTTGGAAGGACTAATTTAACCCAAATTCTGGAGTTATGGAACAAAAACTATTTCGCCACTGAAGCCGTTACAATAGTCACTTAGCACCAAAGCAGTTTCTGCAATAATAATGAGTCATTTAATTGCCTTTTCAAAAAGACAAATTGAGAAATCTACTCAGGTATTCAGGTAACACTGACATTCTGTGGTCCCCAGTAAAAGCAATGCAGATTCAAAAGCAGCTACAGAGTGTTGAAAGAATTGAGCAGGAATCTCATTCATCCCATAGGTTGAAATGAGGTTGATTTAGGAGATTTAGCTGAATCACCAAAAAATAATTTGAAGTATGGAAGTTATGCTGAACGAGAATTAGCCGAGATGGTCACAGTAATCTATGGCTACCTCAGGATGAGAACAAAGTGAAGCCGGGCTGCACTGTGCCCTTGTACACGGTTGGTCAGGATGCATTGGAGTATGAGGGCAGCAGAGGGCACCACACTACATTGTAGAAAGAGCTCTTCCCAACTCAACCCAATACAGTATTACTCCCTTATCTTAGGGAGGCATATCCAAAGTTTGAACAGCAGATCATCTCTAAGGTATCTCTTCACAACTGGCTCAACGGTGGGTGAGGTTCCTTTTTGTTATCATAAGTTATTTAAGTTAATAAATGTTTCAAGAGGGAATAAAGAAAGGCATCGCTAACAGTTATCTGGAGGTTTAAGGACATATTATTAAGTCCATGACGTGAGATGAAAACTTCAGCACTAAACTATTCTGATGATCATGGTAACAAATAGTTAATGTGAAAAAAAATAAAGGAGTACACATGTACTTGGCGAGTCATAAAAAGAATGGAACAAATAGAAAGCCTGAAAACATTATTTTATCATTAAAACAAAGCTTTCAGCTGGAGGAAAATATGTAGAGTGGTTTTCCTTCACAATATCTGTAATAGTATGGTTGGCTTTACTGCCTTGCAACACCATCACGAATGTGGTAATTAAGCTGCATTTTGCAACCATTAAGCACGTAATCGGGATTACATTTAAATATTTAAAAACATTCACAAAGATCACTAAAACATTTGTTTTGTCAATGGCCAAAGAGTTTTAATGATTTGTCAAATATTCTCTCTATTCTGCGCCATGACCCGCTCTGCCTTCCCCCATCTCCTCAACGTCGCCCGGCTCCAACACTGTCTCACACCGCAGGCCGCCGAAACCCTCATACACGCCTTCATTACATCGAGGCTCGACTATGTAAACTCACTGCGTGTCGGCCTCCCCAACTCCTCCCTCCACAGGCTGCAGATCATCCAGAACTCTGCAGCCCGTGTCCTCTCCCGCACTCGGCTCCGTGACCCTATCACCCTCATCCTTGCTCAATTCCACTGGCTTCCCATCACACAGAGGATACAGTTCAAGATCCTGGTTCTCACCTTCAAAGCCATCCACAGGTCTTGCTCCCCCCTACCTCTTCGACCTCCTAACCCCCTACCACCCTGTGCGCTCCCTCTGATCAGTGGGCTCCGGTCTGCTTCACGTCCCTGCCTTTCTCGCCCCACTATCGACGGGAGGGCCTTCTGCCACTCTGCACCCATCCTCTGGAACTCCATCCCACAGTCCCTCCGTCTCGTCCCCTCCCTCGTTACCTTCAAGACCCACCACAAGACCCTCCTCTTCGACCGTGCTTTCGATCTCCCTGCTTCCCCCCATGCCGACCCTCAGCTTGGGTCCGTAACTCTATCTGTCCATCGCCTTGAGATGTCCTCCCAACGTGAAAGGTGCTACTCAAATGTAATTTTGTTCTTGTTGTATTCATATATATTTATATTGTTATTATTCAAGCCCAATCCACGAAATTAAACCCACTGTACACCCAACTCTGTTGAACTAATAAAAGGCAGATAAGTTCAATATTTATTTTCATCCGCAAACCAGGAAATTTAACAAAGGGTATTAAAATTGCTCCGAGTTGTAATTTAACACCTACAACTTGAGAAATATGGCAGACTACATCTGCAGAAACTAATAATTTATTCCGTCAAAATTTACGGTCTCAAAATAAACAAGAGTAAATCATTATATAGCAAAACCTATGCCCTGTCATTTCAGTATCTGCACTGATGCATACCACAGTGTTTGGAACTACCCTCACATTGAAGCATGAATGCATGTCAGTCATGGGACCTTGCAGGTAAAAACAATTTCCTGTTAAAATAACTCTTTTCATTTTATTTCACAGTATTTTCAGAGAACGGGAAGAACCATTACTTACCGCTATAATTTTGTCAACATTACCATCGAGGGAGGGCTCACAAATGGGTGATTTGAAAATCAAGTGATAGCAACTTGACTGCAGGACATTACAGATGAAATGATTCTCACCCTCACCCAATATTTTCCCTCAGGGGCAATAACAATCAGGAGCAGGAACCACAGCTGTTTTCCCCTCCCTAGTCCAATATGCTGAAGCCACCTTAGTGCCCCTGTTTCTGCCCTGGCAGAGATGAGTTTACTTGATACCCTAGGATTCAAATTGGTAAATAATAATCCTTGCATTTTGATATAGTACTTTATCACAACTTTGAGACATCTCAGAGCGCATCTCATTATATACTGTAAAGTTAATTGACTGTATATTTTGTGGGCAAGCCCTCTGGAACTGTACACCTTTGTTTCACCCAAGGCAGCAGGGGAAGGGGGGAGGGAGGTTATTGCAGCAGAGAAACACCTTATACATGTAGAGCGAAGAAATTCACATAAAACATTACAACGCAGACTAATGTACTCAGCTAGTCCATTCCAGTGCTTACACTTTACACAAGACCCTCCTACACTTCCCCTCCTAATCCCCTCTCCCATACCCTTCTCCTCTCTTCTCCCTCGAGTACGCATCATGCTTCCTCTTGCAAGCAACAAGAAATGGACAGCATCAATCTGCAGGCACTAGTGAGCAATTGCTAAAAAGTAATTCAATTTGGCTACAATGCACTTTTGTCCCAGGAATTCCAACAATTTTAACACCCCCTCAACTAATGCTTGGTAAACGTAAGAAACGTCCAAACATGTTACAAATGGGATATAAAAGAGTCTTTTAAATTGCAGCAAGTTAAAGCCCTGGAAACATTTACTTAAGAGCATTAAGCTCAAGAGTCATTTTTTTGTTAGGTTCAAGTTACTATACTAAAAGTTAGAAATGCAGAGATGTGAGCTTCTGTAAGACTATAACTCAGTATTCACTAACCTGTTTAGAAATCAAATCACTATAACAAACTGCAATTCATTTTATCAGCCTTATATTTTTGACTTTCCTTTTTGAAGATCTGCATATAAACTTAATGCTAATGATAACTCGGTAAAAGGATTCCCGTGCAAATAAGTAGAATTAATCCACACTTAGCTAAAATGACAAACTCATCAAAGCACCCAGGGTATATGGCAATCTGCAAATCATCGTAATCTCTCTGTCCCCCTGAGCTAATTTCCCAGATATTGCATCAATACATAAACGTGAAGTCATAGATTTTCATCCATTAGCAAAAATCTTGATAGCTAATGTTCCCTTTTTAAGTTCTATTTACAAGGGCAGATACGAAAATTTATATTTATGCCCAATAATTATTCTGCTTTTGGTTAAAACCATCAAATGCTTTTGTATTTTAACTTTCCCAACAAAAAATCTGTTTGTGTGATAATCGTTAAAATTACTCAATCTACAGTCATACTCAGAATGAATAAATGAAGGAATTCTTCTAAATTGCTTGCTTACTGAATTTGCTTTTTCATTAAAGTCAATGCATATTCGCTTGGCATATCCAAATCTTAATTCACTATCATTTGGCCACAAAGTGGCCATTAACCCTTAGAACATTCATGTAATTTTGTAATAATACTTTGTAAGTTTTATAGGCATGAGAAATCTGTAAAAACTTGCGAGTTGCAATTATAGTTTAAACACAGCTAAACCTTATAGCGTTGCAGCAAACTGCCTAATGATGCAAAGCTTCAGACTTCAGGTTCATTCTGAAGCAGTGCTGCAACCTTGCTAATGTTTTTATAAAACACACCAAGAGAGGGAAACGTCTGCATTCCTCATCAAGTACAACGCAGAAGGACTTGTATCAAAAAATACTTACATTTGTAATTATTCTTTGCAATGAATTAACCAGTACATTGTGAAAGGTGGGTGGGGAAGATGATGCCAGACAGACCTGAAATGTGATAAATGAAGGATTAATATAAGCAGAAAGTTAATAACAGCCCTAAAAAAAAGCAAATCATCGTGCAATTTTCATATGTGGAAATGAAGAGCTGTAGAATAGAGCTGGTTCATATCCTGACATAGCAAACTTGATTCTTTCAATTTCAAGGTAACTTCAAACAAAGCAATAATGGTACAAGACATTCCAGGGTCACCTGCAAGAGAGGCTGCAAACAGTACGAGACAATCAAGTATCACGCAATTTACAACATTTCCTTTTCAATGTGGAAACTATTTCATTCTGTGTTCCTTCAAAGCACGAAGGATCTAAAAATTGAGGTAACCAAATGAAGGAGGGCTTTGAGTCCACAATACTCGAAGTCCGACAGAATTCCCAGGAGCAGTTATCTTGATGCGGAAGACCTTTAGCGTGATGCTCGGACATGACACGGCCTCCATCCAAGACCATAAAAATACCATTTGACAAATAGCCTGTAACAGGCTGCGTCTCGGTTTTAAGGTGCTGAAAGCAGAGCTATTTATCGGCTCCCAAGTAACTTCAGAATGTTTATCTCTCTATCTTGGCTAGAGCTTGGTTTGTATTCACTACCTATTTTGTTCCATCTTATCCTCTGTAGCCTTTTGCAGAACTTTGATGCTCACTGCTAGCTTATTTATGCCCATTGTATGTTTTTTCCCCAGAAAACAATTCTTAAGAATAATGTAAATTTGGAAACTAATAAATTCAGTATTGTTTTAAAAAAACAACTGACATTTAAAACATTTTTGAATGATACATCTGACACATGATACTTCACTTATGGACAAACTGATGCACAAAACCATTTATATGGACCCAATTGTGAGGCTCAACATTAAGTGTGTTTCTAAGAGTCATGCAATCAGATAGCCCTTGCCTGTGTTGCCTACCTGCACTTCAGAGCAGTGTAAAGCAAGTTCGACTGCACTAGAAAATCTGCCTAAAGTTCTGCTCAACATTGACCAATGAGTAAAATATCGATTAACGGATGAGAATTAACAGGGTACATTTTTTTATCTCAGTCATGGAAAGTCAAAGCACAAGTTGGCTGCCTGAGTTCATCAGAAACATTTTAGGCTCATTTCAGCTGACGATCAACTTCATTCATGGAACACCACCTTTTTAAGCAATGTAATACAAAAAAAAAATCAACTACAACTAAATGCACCCTCCTGTAACCATGATTGAGAGTAAATTACAGAAATGAATAATTAAAAATAGACTGCAATTAGTATTGCAATCTTTCTTATTCACTGTACCCTAAAATACACAAGAGCACAGAAACTAAGTTACTCATAAGCACCAGTATACCTTAAAGTGATTGTTGTTGTGTGGGTTGATACGAAAACAGGAAACAAAACAGTCAATCATAAGATCCACATCTGCACTCTGGCTGCCAGCACCTCTGGAGAATGGCTTGGTAGGATTAAATAACAGAGCCTATAAAATAACAGATCAAAGGAATTACTGGGGCAAAGAACTTTGGAAGCAATAGATACAGTGCCATTATAAATGATGTACATCAATTTATAAACACTTGCTAAAAGTGTGCAAAGGTACTTTCAATATAAAATACACTTCATGTTTTCTTCTCCTTTAGACCACTGGTTCTATTCAATCAATTATTAGCAACAGTATCCAGAATCCAGTGCAATTCAACTGGTACTCCCTGTATCAAGGAGAAGAAAGAATGCAGTGTCGTGCCTGTGTTTCCTCAACATTGGGCAGTTTCCCAATCTTAGGCGGGACATCAGGGGACAGAAGGATGCCAATTATTTTCTGCAAGAGAGAGAGAGGGAGAGAGAGAAGGATGTAGGGAGGGCTCTTCTGACTCAGAGGAGAGAGTGCTACCAACACGCCAGGCTGACGCACAATACACCAATCCACAGCCAGAAAAGGCAAACAGTCTTTTCCAGGACTTCATCAATGTCACTCAGCTGCTTGGTTTGGAATGAGTGAAGCACACATCAATTTAACATCTCTGCAACTTGCCCCTCCCCTCCATCACCAAGTCTTTCAGCTCAGTGGTAGTGCCTTTTGCGCACTAATAACATGCACAATCGGGAGGACAAGGAAACTGAATAAGGCAGTGACTTGCGTTAAAAAAAAAGCATGTTAAAGGCACCTGTTCAATAAAACAAGTCACAAACGTTAAAATTCCATACCTTAAGGTCCACCACCATGGACTGAACTTGGAAGCAGATAACAGAGTTGTCCTCCCAGCTGATGTAGGTGGAAGCCTTGCACAGTTTAACACAGGCTATAGCAGCACTCTCAGTTAGCTGTCGACTTCCACTGTGACCAGCAAGTGCTCTCTTTAAGTTATCCAGAAACAACTTCTGTACGAAGATCAGTACAAGAACAATTAGACCACGTAATACAGAATTCTGTGGCGTAAACACCCCAATCATGTTACACTTATTGCATATCTAATTCTCTTAAATGCCCCAATCGATTCTACTCCACCAGTCATCCCTGGCAACCCAACCCATTCTCCGACAATCTCTGGGAAAAGATGTTCTTCCGATGTTATCTGTTTACTCCCAAGTTGCAATCTTGAATTCATGCCCTGGTGTCCTAATTCCAGAATCATCTTTTTAGAAAAAAGCATTGAAACTGATCCACTGCTTATAAAAATGAATCAGGATTAAATTGTGCCCAACCGAGTGTCATTTTGAAATTAAATAAATCTCCACTTAACATTATTTTCTTGCACATAGCTCCTTCTGGAACCCAAATATACAGTCGAATGCGAGTCTGTTTAACTTGAAAAATACCAGATTCTTTAGAGAGGAGCAGGCGGAAGGATACTAAACTGAGCCAGGCATAAGTTTCACAATAAAAACACTGACCAGAAATAACCAGTTTTAATAATAATCCTTGCAATTGATATAACTCCTTATCACGTCTTTGGGATGTCTCAAAGCACTCCACAGAATATACTCAAATGCATAAAATTCTGCCACTGATTGAGCAGGTAGAAGCACCAATGCTGCCTTGAACAGTATACATCTTTTTAGAAGTCAACTGCAACAACAAGATTACATTTGTATAGCGCCTTTCATGTCGGCAGGATGTCCCAAGGCACTGGACAGTGTACAGCATTTCAGACCCGAGCTGGGGTCGGGGGAGGGGGGGAGAGAAGGGGGGTGACCGATGGTATGGTCGAAGAGGAGGGTTTTGAGGCGGGACTCTTGAAGGAGGCTAAGGAGGGAGCGAGGCGTATATTGATTATACTAATCTGAACACAGTGGATATTACTTCAATTTTCAAGAATATGGCTCAAACTGCAGCAAATTCTGATAACAACAACGTCACATCACATTTGTATAGCGCCTTTCACGTCAGGAGGATGTCCCAAGGTGCTGGGTTATTATTAGTTCTATTAATAACAGGGTTCTTATTAAAATTCCATATTTATAAAGCTAAAAAAAATCTTGAACAGAGTCTTAAATTTTATTACTAGAATTATGTTTTTCATACAAAGTATCCCTCTGGACAAGGTCATTAAAGGAATGTGGCTGTGATTCAACTCAACATCTGTGCATCAGCACAGAGGGAACAATGTAAAGTTCTGTGGAAAAGGGTTTGGACTTTGTTGAAAATTTTGAAAACTCCAAAACGTCGTAAAAAGTCACCGACATCCCGATCTTGTTGTAAAACACTTACAAGAATTCAGCAAAATCCTTTTTATACGAAAGAAAAAACATCATAGAATCAGACAGCAAAAAAAAATGCCCGTTCACCCCATTTTTAAAAGTAGTTATTGAATCGACCTCCACCGCCCTTTCAAGCAATGCGTTCCAGATTCGAACAACTCGCTGTGTGAAAACATTTCTTCCCACCTCCCCTCTACTTCTTTTAGATACTAGTTTGAATCTGTGACCTCGAGTCACTGACACACCCACCAGCGGAAACAGTTTTTCCCTTTCTAACCTATCAAATCCCCTCATGATTTTGAAGACCTCTATTAGGTCTCCTTGTAACCTTCTCTGCTCCAATGAGAATAATCCCGGCCTCTCTACCCTTTCCTCATAATCAAGGTCCCTCATTCCTGGTACCATCCTCATAAATCTCCTCTGCACCCTTTCTAATGCCTTAACATCCTTCCTATAGTGTGGTGCCCAGAACTGGGCGCAGTATTCTAACTGAGGCCTAACCAGTGTTTTATATAGGTTAATCATAACCTCCTGACTCTTGTACTCTATGTCCCTATTTATAAAGCCTAGTATCCCATATGCCCTTTTTACAGCTTTATCTCCCTGTCCTGCCACCTGCAAGGATTCATTTACCTGCACCCCCAGGTCTCTCTGTTCTTTTACCCCCTTAAGATTGTATTACCAAACCTATATTGCCTCCCCTCATTCTTTCTACCACAATGCATTACCTCGCATTTCTCCACATTGAAACTCATCTGCCATGTGTCGCCCATTTTACCATTCTGTCTATGTCTTCCTGCAGTTGGCTCCTATCCTTCTCACTGTTTACTACCCTACCTAACTTTGTGTCGTTTGCAAACTTGGAAATGGTACTTGCTATACCCAAATCCAGATCATCTGTGTATATTAAGAAGAGCAGTGGTCCTAATGCCGATCCCTGGGGGAAGCCACTGTACACTTCCCTCCAGTCAGAAAAGCAGCCGTTCACCACAACCCTCTGCTTTCTGTCTCCCGGCCAGTTCTGGATCCATGCTGCCACTGCCCCTTTTATACCATGGGCTTCTATCTTTCTTACAAGTCTTTCATGTGGCACTTTGTCAAATGCCTTTTGAAAGTCCATATAAATTACATCAACTGCACCACCTTTATCCACCTTCTCCGTTACCTCATCGAAAAATTCTAATAGATTTGTTAGACAGGATTTGCCTTTAACAAATCCGCGCTGGCTGTCCCTAATTAACCCACAACCCACATGCTCCCCCATTCCTCTGGAACAGACCAAATAGCCAATCAGTTTGGGAAGTACACATCTGCCAAGGGGAATTTCCGTGGCAAAGATTACTGCAGCATCTCTCCTTTAAAGTCATTGTTAAAACTAATACCTGAAGCCAATGCCTGGCAATGGGTCAGTGGGGAAATGTAACCACACATTGACCATAGCTAGCACTAGTTTTAATCTGATCAAATGCATGGAATTCCGCCACTGATTCAGTAGGTAGAAGCACCAATTGGTGCGAAACCCTGACTGTCCAGCGCCTTGGGACCTCATCTTGACATGAAAGGTGCTATACAAATGTAATCTGTTGTTATATAGATGAACAGACCAGGAAAGTCTCAGTGCATCCTTGGTCAGTGATGAGTTAACTGATATCAGCCGGGAGGGAGATGGTGTTACATTTAGTTTCAGCGACCCTGGGCTAGGAAATTAACTAATATTTCTGCTCCTGATCACGATCCATTGTTCCTCACCAGAAAGAAATGTGATGTGAGAAAGCAAGCCGACTGTGATATTCCAAAAAGTTCAATGACCTTCCAGTGCTAGTCATGCAGGAATAGCCGCTTGGGTTAGGTACCGGAAGTTTGTCAGCACAAACAGCAGATCCAGTTTTAGCAAAAATAACTATTATTATTTCATTCCTGAATCTTGATGACATAAAGCTTTTAATATGTTTATTGAAGAATTTGGGGGGGACGGGGAGGTTGTTTGAAATAAAAATCTACAATATTCTTCATAGAAATCCAACAGACGAGACTGCAGCATCATCCTACGGCTCTCAAGGATTTTTGTCAGTGGTAATGATTATGTAGACGTATTAGTCACCATTATGTAAGAAATTACTGCCACCGATGACTCAGTGCACATCTGCTCCCTAGATGTTTAGTCATTCTGCTGACAGCAACAATGCAGAACTCCTTTCCTTATTAAAGGTGCAGTACATTACGTGTCACCCACAAAATATACAATCAATTCACTTTACAATATATTCCATGAAGCTCTTTGAGACGTCTCAAAGACGTGATAAGGCGCTATATCAACAACAACAAGATTCCATTTATAAAGCGCCTTTCACGTCAGGAGGACGTCCCAAAGCGCTGAAAATGCAAGGATTATTATTATTATGACTACATTAGAGAGGAAAAGATGCCATTTCTTGTGGGGGGTACCAGAATAATCTGTACAATATATATTTTTAAATTAATAACAATTCACAACCACGCACCAACAGTTGAGATGGTACAGTGGGGAAGAATACTCCCCTTCACTCCAAGACTCTGAATCCAGGCCAGATCAATGCAATAGAAATTGCTGGATCACGCAAGGCCTTTAAGAGGGAAATGCATCAACAAGTTTCAGCCCAGTTTCCGTTAGGAAACTGTCCAACGTTCAAAATTTTGATACTCAAAATTGGCAATCTCACTCAGAGACATCTAGAAGATGTGAAAAGTGCTATATCAAAGGCAAGAATTATTATTATTTATTATTATTGGACTTCCCCAAAGACAGAAGTCATTCCTTTCTAAAGCAATTAAGTTTTAATAAAGTAATTTGTGAGCCTGTGATCAATTCACAAGAGCAGCTCAACAACAACAAAATTACATTTATAGAGCACCTTCATGTCGGGAGGATGGCCCAAAGCGCTAAACAGTCAGATGTCGGGGCCCGAGCATGGGGGAGGGGTGGTGTAGGGGTGAGGGAAGGCAGAGAGGTGCGAGGGAGACCAAAGACATGGTCGGAGAAGGGTCTTGAGACCGGCCTTGAAGGAGGCAAGGGAGGAAGCGAGGCGAAACAATCATGGGATGGAGTTCCAGAGTGTGGGGGCAGAGAGGCTGAAAGCCCAGCCACCAATGGTAGGGCAGGTCGAGCGGGAGACATGGAGTAGGTCGGAGCCTGATGAACGGAGGGAGCGGGCAGGTTGTTAGGGAGTCAGCAGGTCAGAGAGGTAGGAGGGGTAAGGCCATGGATGGCCTTAAAGTGAGGACGAGGATCTTGAACTCGATCCTCTGGGGGATCGGGAACCAGTGGAGTCGGGCGAGGGTGGGAGTGATGGGGTCGCGGAGCCTGGTGCGCGAGAGTAGACGAGCTGCAGAGTTTTGGATGATCTGCAGCTTGCGAAGGGAAAAGTTGGGAAGGCCAATGAGGAGGGAGTTCCCATAATCAAACCTTGAGATGACGAATGCATGGGTGAGAGTTTCGGCAGCCTGAGGGGTGAGGCAGTGGCGGAATCTGGCAATTTTGCGGAGGTGGTGGTAGGCAGTGCCGGTCATGGCGCGGATATGGGGGAGAAAAGACAGTTCCGGGTCAAATAAGACCCCCAGGTTCCTGACTGGCTGAGCGAGGTTGAGTGTGCAGCCGTGGAGGCCGATGCTGCCACTGCCTGAGGTGCGGAGGCACTGGCGCGAGCCAATCAGGAGGGCCTCGGTCTTGCTGACACTGAGTTGGAGAAAGTTGGACCTCATCCAGGACTTGATGTCAGACAGGCAGTCAGTCAGGACGCCAGTAGCCCTGGAGTTCAGGGTGGAGGCAGAGAGGTAGAGTTGGGTATCATCTGCACACATGTGGAAATTTACCCCATGTCACCAAGAGGGAGCATGTAGAGGGTCAAGAGGAGGGGACCGAGGACAGAGTCCTAAGGATCACCGCACGAGACAGGGCGGGGGGGCTGGAAAGAGTCAATTGGTAACTTGCATCTATCTGATTTATAAAGAATAACTCAAAAAATAGTTTAACAATCCAGGGTATGAGGAGAAAAGGATTTTGCAGATTTCCTCACCTTATTCATTTTGCTGTCCTCAACTACTTCCTTAGAGATATCCTGAAGGATGTCAGGAGAGAGGATGAGGAGGATGATCTGCAAAGGCCACACTGCTGCCTTCCGCTTGGCACTTTCTGCAAAGCTATCCACCAGGTCAAATAGCTTCTCAGAGCAATCTTTTTTTTTGGGGGGGGGGGGGGTGGAGGTGAAAATAGTACAAAGAAAAACGAAATTAACACAATATCTCCAGTACATCTAACAACCATTCAGGCTCATTAACTTAGTGACACTTTATTTGAAATCAAGAATTTTGAATAAATCATTCTATTGTGTTCAGTAATAAATATGCAGTAAAATTGTATTTGGGTAGTAAGAGCATCCAGTATGTTCTTGCAGAGCTGTTCCAATTTCTTCGATTAAAAACAGATTTTCCACATCTAGCCTACGGTCAGCACCTGTTTAAGTCATCACCACTGAGCATGATGATGGGATGGCTCAAACTATGTGCGAGCGAGGAGGAAAACTAATACTTGGGTAGAATTCCTTCCTGAAGTTACACAAGGACAGCATGCAACAAGTTCAATCCACCAAACGCACTTGCTTCTGAGGCAGGAATTCCAGTTACAAACCTTGTTTCTTAAATTTTGTAGATCCGATTGTTTTCCTAATTTTCATTTTCTCCCCCCATTGGAGCATGCCTCCAGTCTGCAGCCTCCTCAAATGGGGGTGGGGGGGGGAAGAGGCGATTCCATTGGGACTGGTTGTCCTCTGGAACCCCGCCCAAGTGGCTGTTATTTGTGTGTGAGCCTCGGCAGTCAGTGTTGGTGGCCCACTTTACTGTAGACAGCTTAACCCAAGCCTAACCTCTCCTTATCTGGTCTCCATACAGTATGCTAAAGAGGGGCACAGATCCAGCTGGCTTTCTGCTATCTAGTCCTAGGCTAATTTGGCTGCAACCAGCAATCTCTGGGTGGACCAGGAATCAAACCAGGAAGTTCCCCGTTCGTACATTGCAGCTCCATCTTCTATACCACTGGGGCCGACAACACAAAACTATATTTTACTGGAGTAATCAAATCATAGAATCTTACAGCACAGGAGGATGCCATATAGTGTACGTGCCCTTTCTACCAACTAGTCCCACTCCAAATGTAGTTTTCTTTTGGAATGAATCAAGTCCATTAATGTAACAAGACCTACTCGACATTCAGAGAATATACATGTGATAATTCGCCAGAGAAGGCTTATGGATTAAATGGACTAATCCTCTGCTACGTTCCTATTGATTTCCGGGGTTCTTAGTTTTGAACTTGCACAGGAAGGATAAAAAGGAAAGAAAATACAATTACACCGGGTAGGATTAATAGTGAAAACATTTAGGTTGGGACTGAATTGCAATATAGTGGAAAGGAGCTCCACAGAATGCACAGTGCCACAGAGCAGGAGGTTGCAAGACTGTACCAACAGCTCCCAATCTCAACCATAATATGTATGGAGGTTGACTCCCAGCTGGAGAAACGTGGGAAAATCTACAAATTGTATCACAGTAAAACGGTTTAAGTCTTGCTAACTACAGAAACATATGGAACTCATTTTGATATGAACATCAATTATCGATGATATTCATTATTTAAACAACTTAATTAACATTTCATTCTAAGAAAGTTGCGTGCAAGATGTTCAGGCTAGTAGGAAAAATAACCCACAGAGGAATATGGATTTAATTGGTAATAGAAAACGAGTCCTTGCCTTGTCAAGCAGAGGACAGTTTGGATGATTTAAGGAGACCAAAGCAGTGAGTTACATTTTATTGAGAATTCTTGATTTGGTGAAATCAGTAAAAAAAAATTGTTACTCTTGATCTCTTTTTATATTATCTTTTTATCATCACTTTCTAGGAGAATTATTCTGGGAAATCCGATATGATACAATTATCCTTGTGCCTTGGTATTCTCAATCAATTCCACTATACTGAGGTCGAACGACACGAGTGCGATAAATATTAACCGAGCAACTTCCAGCTATGCATTAAGGCTCATTTTTACTTGGAAAAAAAGAATTTAACATCTCACTCACAATGTTTTCTTTGCCTTTTAAAGATTTTTTTTGTTCACGCAGATGGATCACGCAATTCTCCATGAACCAAATACATTCACACTAACCTACTTACAAATGTGCATTTCAAGGTCTAAATTGCAAAGAAGTCTTAAATCTAAATAAATGACAACTAGTAAATTAAGAGATAAATACAATTTTTAATCGATTCTGACATTGTATACTTAAGAATCATAAGAGTAAGTGTACAATTTTTTTATTCCATTCTACGATTGTGATCATTTTGATCATTGCTTACCTGCTAAATCAGGCTGATGAATCTGGTACAGCACAGTAAATTCATCCGGGTAATTTTCAACCCAATTCCAAAATGCCTACAAATTAAACAATTCACCAGTTGTCACAAGTACTGCAACCTTTGTTTCCTTTTAACAAAAACATGCTTTGAGGTATGAAACCACACAGGATATTATATCTGTACCAACATGTTCACACTTCACAAAATTAACTTGTGCCACTGAGGTTCTCTTCCAAGTTAAATAATCCATTGACATTATGGTCATACAGTATTCTATGGACATCCAAAGTTTATTTTTTAAAAATCATGTGCTGCCTCCCACATTCTCGTGATCTGCAAATGTTCTGCTCAAAGTAGGAAACGGTCAACAATTCACTCCATTTATGGAGCCCAATGTAACACGTCATCACTTGCTGTTCTTGGGATATAATATGAAATCCAGTTCACAAATTGTACCTTTATTTATACTGGCTTTTAATAACCAGGACCCATTTATTCATATCTGCAATCAATGGTGAGTGTAACTTTTACACCAAGTTTTGTGTTGTTTACGATGGTTTATGCTGTTTTTCTTGTTATGTAACACAGAGGTCCGTGAAATAACAGTAATGCCTGAATACTGTAGGAAGCTAATGAAAATCATTAATGCAACAGTCAGTACATTCAATTTGTGCCCTTGTGGTCGTAGGTTTAAAGTGTCAGCACACCAATTAAGTAACCTACACTCTAAAACATCCATGACCGAGATAACTGGACAAAGTAAACATGTAATAAACAGTTTGATAACTAGGAAAGTGATGGTGTAGTGCAGTTGAAGATTAAACAAATTATGTCCAATCAAGAGACCCATATGCTAAAATCTAGTCCAATCCCAAGTACATCTTGTGGCCCACAAAAAGTGCAAAGTTTTTTGTATACTGTATCTACATTAGGAATCTTACAAAAGGCACCTTCCACTGATCTGGGATAGCTTACAGAGCAGTGCCACTCCTAGGACACTTTTCCTCGAGGCTGACTGCCAGACAAAAACATTTTTTTTTAATCTTGAATCCTTTAAACATGAATGTGCCGAAAGATCTAGAATCTATGCATTCATCAGCGAAAAGATGTGTATTCAATTCTGGAATGTTTACATTGCTGTATACACAGATATGAACTGCTGCCCTGTTCTTTCCCAAATCCATCAGATGTCCAGCAGATGACCAGAGGCTAAAAGTAAAGCAATTCTTACCTTTTCAAGACTGTTTATGACTGCAAGCTGAGCTGCCTTCTTCAGTGTTTTGAATTTAAAGACAGTCTCTACAGCAAATAAAACAAGGGTTCATTAGTTTCTTCCGGGCCATTTGCAATTCATACCAGGAAGAAATGAAGCAATAAATATTTGGGGAACCCAATGATTGGGATTCAATTCAGCAAAACATCATTCTGTACAAAAGAAAACAACTGTGTGCGCTCTATAAATGCTAAAAGGATTCTTCTAAAGTTCTGCAAGGAAGTACTTCACCACTTTGAATTTTCTGCCCATCAATAAAAAAATCACAACTTGTGATTTTTGTCCTTTGTCTTCGTAGTGCCATGCACTAATCCCCTGCTTAGAGGACACATAAACACCTGCTCCTGACCTCTATCAATACCCCACTGAAACCACATTGCCGGTAGGTGTGAGAGCATCCAAATCTCCTGCCGTCCCGTATCTCCTTCCCTTCACCCACCTGGAGAAGCACATGCACCCACCTCAACACCTTCGATTGAGAGACGGCACAGAATATTGTGTTGTGTTCTCACTGTGTACACAAGTATGTACCAGTCAACTGCACTGTGTTATGTCACCAAGGTATCCCAATTTAACCTATATTTTCAATGAAGTACATCAACACTGAAATTAGGTTCCAGAATCTTAGGATTCTGTTGTTCTTGTTCTTGTTCTTTGTTATTCAATATCATAATTATGCACATTATTTAAGGAGCACCAGTAGTAAGATAAAAATCAGCCAAGGCATTGCCCCTCCTCTTCAGTCTCGCTTTACTGTTTTTTTCTCTCACTCACACACACTTCATTAGTACAAGTAAAATAATATTATCCCTTATGAGACATAAACACATATTTCTACAACAACAACAATTTGTACTTCATTTCCACATTTCACACAGGGAGAACATCTCAAATGTTTTACAAAAACAGTGTGGGAGCCCAAGCCCAGAGAGGGTGGGGGTGGCCAAAGACACAGGCAAAGAGACAGATCTTTAGTCAGCGTTTGAAAGGCAGGGAGTGGGGGGGGCAGGGATTTTGGAAGAAAACATTAAAACCCAGAGAGCTGAATACAAGATAGCCAAAGAGACTTCATCTACCTTGGAGCAATCGTTTGAGTCTTGAACAGTCTACATTAATGTGCTGTATTAGCTCGATATCATTGACGTCCGTGCTGTCTTCTGAACACAATGCAAGCTCTTGCAACCTACAAATGGCGATACAAAACATATTCAATGACCACATGCACCAAATGCAAGCTGTAAACAATTACAGATCAAAATGCTAGAACACTGGGCTTTCTGGAACAGTTGCTATACACCCACCATGATGCCTAATGTCCAGCTAAGGCCACCCGATCTGTTGGTGGAATGTCTTGCAGAGCAGAGATAAAAAGTCCCAAATAGAAACAATCAGAACCCTCAAGGACTGGTATGCTCCTGTAAGTCCCACTAACAAGTCAGAGTATCTGGTCTGTCATTAACAATGCCTTGGAGTACTGCAGTCCTTGCTGGTGCTGGTACAAAGACGGACACAGATGATGGCTTCAATCCCAATCTTCCATTGCCAGGCATGTCACCTTGCAGCCAACTCAGCACCAAAGAGACCTCACTTTCCTCTCTCTTCCCCCTCCCAAGGAGGATATTCAACAGTTGGTCAAAACGAAAGAGGGTACAATACAAAGAAGGCAAACTATACAGCTCATCAAAGCTCTTACATTTAGCTCCAAGCATTTGGTTTGTGTTTATCGATGTGAACGGACAGACATTATCTCTACAGGACAGCAGTAACAGGGTCTACTGAACAAGACTCCAAGTCAATTCTGCAATCCTGAGGGCCTATGGCGGTTGGAAATCTGTATCTGTATTCTGTGTTTCTTTTAGGCAGTTGAAGGTTTTGTAAAGCTGAGCACATTTATGCCTCTGTAGCTTTGGGTGTTGACTCATGCCATACATTACGCACAGGATTAGCTCAAGAGAGCGTTTCAAATTATAAGCTATGCATCATCTTGATCCTTGATTTAAATTGACACACCATCTGGAAAGAGAGCAGCAGCATCTTGTGATACAAAGCTCTTTAATGCAGTTCATGAATGTGGTGGCAAAACGAGTACGTGGTGTACAACAGAGTCCAAGAACCAGGCACAAACCATAGCCTGGCTGAGCTTTTCTATCAGAGTGCAGCATTCTCACTACAGCTGTGTCTGCACATGCTTCAATTAGGTGCAGTATGACCCTCCTCCAAACAAGTGGAAAAACATGGGGGGGGGGAGCTTTCCCTTGGGTTATAGTTTACCACCCCCGCAAAACGGTAAGAGAATCTACAGAGTTCTGGAAATTTCATACACTCAGACGACCCATCCATTCACTCAGATGCTGTCCAGAGTATGTGTCCCAAGAGGCTACAAAATAAATTTGTATATTGATAAATTAATGTCTCAATTTACCCAAACAATTTCCCACAATTTTGAGTGCATTTATTCCCTGATATGCAGCGAAGAGAAGCACATATATATTTTAATAAAATGCATGATGTACACTACATGCTGTTACAGAACCCGAGGTTCATGCTTTGGACATGACTTTGCTTGGATTTGCACTCATAGAGGCTACATGTGTGAGTTTATATGAAACTATACCTTTTTTTCCCCCAAGCGTTCTTTCCATTCCATGCATCTTTTACACCCCCCCACCCCACCACCCTCTCTTTCACTCTCCCTCTATCTTGCTGTCTCCACTCTCCTTGCCTTTCTCTAGTCACATTCCTGCTCTTAAGTCTCCCACGCTCGCTCCCACCGAAAGGAACAGCTCAGCTGCCTACACAAAGCTGAGGCATAACGGCACAGCATGTCAGAGCACCGATTCTCTCCATATCAAGCCCACAATAACACTCACTTCTGAAGTGCTCTGCAAAGTACACATTCATTTTTTTTCTACCTCATCAGGTATATTTTTAAAGCACAGCTAAGTCGATGCAATTTTGCGAGCATGAAATATGTGGGCCAATCTGGATCAGATTCAGTGATATATGATCTTCAAAGAAAGAGTCATGCTAACATAATAGATACACACTGATCATGCTTTTTTTTGGATGAAAGGGCAAATCGTTCCATACTACATACCATCTATGACTTAGCCTCTGCCATTTTCATTGCCACTTAACCACCAGCAGCAGGAGGTGAGTCCAGGTCTCAGGGAACTTATCAAGGGGTGAATTATGCACATAAATCAGTGTACACCATCACTCTGACTGGGCCACAATATTTCAACGAACCGCACTGCTGTGATTTTGTTTAGCTGATAGTCACCATGATATCATTCAGCTTCATGTACACAGCTGACTGAAATACGTTATGCATTTGCAACAACTATGCAGCACACAATACCCAGCTGGTGCTGAAGGGTTCCAGGTCAAGTCTGCCCGTGAATAACTCTCACACTACTCCAAAGCTCCTGCCATAAGCATCATTACAGGCGGTCCTGTGTAACAAACACCCCCGTGCAGAAGGCAGCGTCTCCCAAGTACAATACAAGGATTACTCACACCAGGAAGACTCAGAGAAAACTATTTCCAATACAAATGTAAAAACTACTCCTTATTAGATTTTATTTCCACTGTGAATAGAAACATTTATTTATTATTATTTAAAATAAACTAGGCAACTAAAAATGTGGATTTTTTTTTCCTGACTGCAAAAGTCCACTTGGGAAAAAGTTATTTGTTTAGGAAGCAAGGCAGTTGCTCAAAACAGTGGTCAAATCTCCCCTGAGAACAGGATGCAAAGATATTGTGTGCACCTAGTATGAAACATCAAACCACGTTCAACCATAAAACGTAACATTCATCCATATGTGGGAATTTGGAATGATCAGCAGAGACTGACATGCCAAGCATCCAACAGCTGCTGCACTGAGGCTTGGAATATGCCAAAGCAGGAAGACAGAGGTTAAGAGATCAGCAATGTTAGCTGCTGGGCAGTCTGACCAAACCTGGAGGCCTATGAGTCAACCACCACAAAAGGATGTAGGATTTACTCAATATATTATCATTCACTTACTCACTGAAACTGAAACAGGAAGCTGGGTATGTGCAGAACAAAGAACACACTCTGCAGGGTTATTAAATGGCCATCACTCGACAGAACAGAAAAGATTGCTGCAAATCGCATCAGGAACCTGTCACAGATCGCCATCAAAAGCTTTGATTCGTAAAATAAATTCACGTTGTGCAAGTTAATTTTTTTCCATTTTCTCCCCTCTTGTTGGCTTTACCGAGTCGTACCGCAGCCAAGGGTACAGGCAGGTGCTTCGCTCCCTTTGCTCCGGGAGGTGACCAAAACATGCAACCTCCTTGTGGGGAAGCATCTGGCTTTCACTGTGATTCTGTCAACAACACTGATGATTTCCTGAATTCACTGCATGGGTAATGCTGTCTGCTATCTTACACTTTTGTTCTTTAAGGAGCTTTACTCGACTGATTTGATTTTGCCCTCCTCTCCTGAACACGTTTGACTTATTTTTCCTTGGGGGGGATGGGAGGGGGGGGGGAATTCTATGTGTACCAGTACCTTGTCATCAGGGACACGACCCTACATGGGGGTGCGCTATATAGATGCGAGCTGTTGTTATCCGTTGGTCATTTGTGAGCATCAGCAGGATATTTGACCGTGAAGGACATGGTAAACCTCTCCAATCCTATCAAATCACCAACACAGCAGCGTCTCCAGCATGCTGGAGAGCAATCCTCAATGGGTAATTTTCCTTCCCAAGCTTGCACTACCCCTAAAACTACCCTGGTAGAAATCAGCCCACTCAGTACAAACCAGCAATCAAATCCTCTTGGCATGCATACCTCACATAATTGCAAAGCAATCGGTGGGGGGGGAGGGGAAGCAATCAATAGGAGTTAACATGGATGGTGTCATTAATAGTTTTGTGGCAAAATTCACAGATGTAAGGTTATTGCTATCAAATACGTCTTTGTACAAATATCTCATGACTCTTTTACAACCCGGATCATAGATATGAATGTCAGCAACTAGCTACTCAGCTTCCATCTACTTCCAGATTCTCCTGTACTAACAATCCAGGTGGCTTTGCATGACTCGTTTGTTTCCTTTATCTCATCTTTAATGCTCACAATTGAAATAAGATTTTTTTTCTTTAAAATGGTCACTCTTTAATTTCTTTTCTGGAGTGCAGAATTTCTCAATAGTGACACTTCCACTTTAAAGTCCAGGCCCACACAACCATCACCTCATGATGTGTGTGGAAACTATACCACACATACCTCAACAGGATAAGGCAATAATTTACCATAGCAGTTTCACACAACCAGTTCTCTGCATGACCTCACCTAGTCCAACATCATGCTGGTTAAAACCCTCCATGACAGTGCACCTGCTGCACAATGTACTCTTCTGACAGGGAATATAGACAATTAAGGTTGCTTAAGGGCACAGCCATGTTAAAGAACTTCCACAAAGACACTTCTAGGTTAAAGGAAGAAACTAATTTAAGGCATAAAACAATGTCTGTCTTTTATACACCAACATTTACATTAGATTGTATTTCATTTTTATTCCAAGTAGAAAAAGCACAACAAAAAAAACATTTAAAAACCTTCTCAGGTAAGTTGTGGAATGTTTCAACCCTTCGTGCACAAACTCCACAGCACTGAAGAGCTGATGTTAAATTCATGCAGTATTTTTCCTCGCCTCTCCTTCATAGCCTTCCCAATCCATCAAAAATGTAATAAACTATCACTTGTCATTTCCAGTGATTAGGAAGATCCATACAATTGAGTAATACATATCTGGGAGTGATTAGGAAGCATTAATTTAAACCAATAGGATAAGAAAGCTTGAACAGTTTACATTCATCTGAACCCTGAGATTGGATTCCTGCCTGAAAATCGCTCCCAAGGTAGCTATCCTTTCTGATATGTACCTATAAAGTTTATGGGGCTTTTTTTTTATTACATCAGGTGCATTTGTACTTGTACAACTTGCCTATGCAGACACGACATTTAGTGCTCACAATTCGCAAGGAAGATCAGAAATTGATATCATAAGTTCAAGTTCATTGAGAAATTTACATTCAACGATGAAATTCTATAAAACATAATTAGATAATCGGTTGTTGAAAGCAGTTAAGGATTTATAACTAGGAATCTGCTGAAAGGTCACTAGAAGAAGTCTATTTTTCCTTTCAGGAGCTGATGGATCTGCTGTAAATTTCCAGTCCTTCAGGTTAATCTTGCAATATTTTAATTTTTTCTTTTTATTCACACCAGGGTTTCATAATCTACTGGGCACAGCATTTTATTCCCTGACCATCAACCGAGGTTTGTCAATTAACCTAGAGTAAGGACATTGCAATTGTTAATCCAGTTTATATAATGGTTGCACATCAAGGACAGGGAACGCAGTCAGTGGCCACACAATAGCAAATCAGAAAAATAACCCCCCACACATAGTTGAAATATTGTACATCAAAAAGATATCCTGCAGGGATTTCAACAATGTAATCTCTTGAGTTCAAAGGACAATAAAACACTCCTTTCATGCTCTCATATTTATGACGTCCTGATAACCACTCGAGTATTCCCCATTCTTGACTCCTTTGCTATACTGACTCTACATAGCCAAAAGGCTAAGGCCACATAAGAATCAAGTTACCGTGCTTGTAGATGTTCAGTGCAAGCTCCAGTTTCTAACAAACCAATTAGACAAGAAACCAAAGGTGATCACCATTAACTATTTAAGGGAACTGCAGCTTCTCCTTAACCCCCATTGTAAATCTGAAAGAAACTGATTATAGTTTTTAGTTCTCTTTAATATTATATTCAAATCAAATAAAACAATTTCATGCTCTTGTGTAGACCAACAGGGACAGAAATTGCCTGGAATGTGTGCTAACAGAACGAGTCCCATTTCCATGACAACTCTCAAGGTGTTCATTCAAGTTTCTGCAATTCAATATTCCCTAAAGAACCATCCTATAAGGCAACTGTTAAACCCAAACGTTTGGCACTTAATTTATAAATATTTCAAAATCATCACAATTCATGTTAAAACCATAATCTCTGTTTCCTTCTGTGTGATAACTGTGCTTATGCAACAAGTCTTCCAGAGAAACCAGTTTCAACATGAACACTAGTAACTCTTGATAATTTTAGAAGCATATCTCTTGTAAGCAGTTTGCTTAGTAAAGGACAAATGGCTATGGATTGTCATTTACACTTGAGCTGCCCTAGGTGACAAATGTTGCAAGTCTCAGCTCAATCTTGTGTGGTAAGCCATAGAATGCCATCCAGGAAGTCTCTACCATAATACACGTTGACCTCCCATTGCAAAGAAAGCAGATCGGACATTCCTACTTTCTCAACTGGTGGTAACAGCTGCAATAGTTTGATGTACACATTTTAAGGATATCCATGAGTCAAAGAGTGTAATGGTTAGGCACATTTTGAGTGAAGAAATGCATCTCACATTTCTGCTGAGGATGAGCTTTTTAACATTTTCAAAGTTTTTAACAAAAATACGATGTTCAGTTCTGATGGTTAAATTATTTTTAAAATTGGAGCACTAACAGTACAGTAACTTTCAACTACTTGCTAGCTTCCTAAATAACTTGCCATAATCACTTGCGGCTGAACTTGCCATAATCACCGTTAAGGCTGAATGGAAAGAGATAAAGTCTTCTGTGGGAGATGGTCTTGGTACACAACAAATGTTTCTGTGTTCAGGAAAGTCCTTCATACACAATTCTAACTGCTTCTGTCTCGTAAATTGCAGGGGTAGTCCGTTTTTTTAATCCAGATTACAAAGGTTACTATGATTTCAGTTCATGACCTGTGTAAAATGTCTTATGCCAAACATTAATCAAGCGAAGATGAAGAGCACTATTGCAGAGAAAATACTAATACAACTGTTGTATCAGGATGCCTTGATGTTGTGCACTGGGGCGGTGGGGGGAGGGTGGGGTGTAATTTAGAGGTGACTGTTTCAGCACAATGTAGTTAGAAATAAAGATTATATACATTGTCAGCAGAATCTACGTTTGATTTATTATTTAAAAATGCTTAGTAGTGCACGTTTTTAAAATTAAAATATGAAAACAAATAAACCAATCTCAGCCAAGCCGTATTTGTGGAGCTACAATTGGTATTCCCGCGATAGGGAGGAGACAATAAATATAAATGAACAAATAGAGCTGAAACAATTGGATAAACCTTTAATCATACAGGAAAAATGTTTTGAAAACAGGTTTAAACTCTAGATTGACATTTAATCACATCATCAAACAGATCTTTACGCAGAGAAACAACAATTATTTAAAGTCAATGATCTGAATGAGTATCGCAGAGGGTTTAAATTGTTGCGGCAGCCACAGTATCAATAATGATCGCAAAATGATTTAATTTAATGTAAAGTCCAATAAAGTGATCAATGGTATGTGAACAAACTTAAGCAGCAATGTTAAATTATTTGCTTACCAAGAATCAAATGCAATAAACCTAAATCTTCAAATGAACCCATGTTTTAAGAGCATTTACTCAGTGATTGTCACAAACCCTAAACCTTGTGGGTTAAGTTATACAGACCTGGTGGACACTCGGCTGAAGACAGCGTTGAAGTTATTGCAGCTCAGGGAGAAGAGCACCCCAGAGGCAGAGTTTCGGAGTTGCGCTACCAGTTGGTTTCCTTCACGGGACATGTGGATAAATTGACAAATCTCTGGCAGTAGTTGTTTTACTAGCATTGTCTCGTCAAGCCGCATCGTGTCCTTGGGTTGCTGTAGAAAACAATGCAAAGATAAAATTACAGTTGCACGAATATAACATTCTATTATAATACTTACAAAAACAAACTGATTATGATACTCAGAAAAGCTCTGAACAAAAACCTTCTCAAAATGCTCATGTGTAACAGAAGTACTGCCTGCTAAGGTACACTCACTTTTTTTTAAAGGAGACATCCTCGTGTCGAAAACACAATTTCTAAAAGACATCAGAGCAGATTTCTTTTTAAAAATTAGATCATTATCTAAACTAAATAATACATAATTTGTTTCTATCAATGTCCCCAGTCCCCTCAAATTTTAAAATGCTTCAGAAGCTGCCTCAATTTTGAAAAATTATCTTTGATCTTTCTTTTAGAAAATGCGAATCACCTCTCATTCCGTAGACGAGAACGAAGGAGCTCTTGCCCACTTCCTAGGAAGTGGAAGAAGTGGTTGTTGACAAAGTCACCATCTTGCATGTTCAAAAAAATGGTTCACGATGCAACAGGCCACAAAGAACATGAGGAAGTGATTTGGATAATGAAGGCGAGGTGCAGAACAGAAACAAGATTGAAAGAATACGCTTGGAATTGAGTACTCAGGAGTTGAGATAGACACCCCACAATATAGCATAAAGTGTTGTGTTATAAATTTAGAGAAGTTTTGTATCAGAAAAATGAATAAAAGCTTAAATTAATAGTTCCAACCCCTTCTAACTCTTACTGGCTCTTACTATTTATCCTGGGTTGCACAGTACAGGGGTCAAACAATACCAATGAAAGCTCGCCAAAGCAGAGGCAAGGAAAGATTTCCTGCATACAGTCAGGAAGCGAGGTGACCCAAACGCCCTACACAACTGATGTAGAATGCAAAGGGAAAAAGCTTAACAGAAGGACAAAGCCTGGCTTTGGGTTTAAGAATCGCAAGCAATTTATTTTTTGTTTTCAGAAATCCTCTGCATTGCACCCCAGAGTAAAAAGGAACCCACTGCACCAGACTTTATTCAAATTAACATCATTGAGAGGTCTTTGTCTGTGGGCTCTGATGTAATCCCAACAGAGACTCCAAGACGAGAACAGACCAGAGCAAGGAAACACCTGCAAAAGTCATCTTTAGCCCATGGCAGTAAACAATACACCTTTGAACCATAAAGAACACTTATGACACAAAGTCTGGGTCTTGTAATTTTTCACTTTACTGCTTCTACAAACATGAACTCTTCTCAATACAACAGATTTCGCTGATGAAACTTAGCCAACCTTTCCATCCACTTGAAGTGCCATGTTTCTACCTCCCCCCCCACCCCACCACAAGATTACATTTTAATTCGGGATTTCCCCCTAGAGCTAAAGGTCATTCTCAGTTCTCAACATCAGTTTATGATTTAAAGCTATCCTAAAGTATCCTCGTTTCTGCATCCACTTATGAAAAATAAATGACAAGTTTTGTCATCCTAGCTTCTATATCCATTTAGGTTTTTTTAAAAATTTATATGCTGTTTCTCTTAAAATAACTTTTGGGTTGCAACTTGGAAACCATCTGACATTACAAGTCAAATCCTCAATTTGTTTTATACATTAAAAAACATATAATCAAACCTGGAACAATTTCAAGCCGTGGCATATTTGTGCATCGATACCTTACTGTTCAGTGGTTGGACACTGCATTTTATCTGCAAATGATCCAATTTTAGCTCAGCTGTCAGAGGCAGGTGTCGACTTGAAACGTGGGACTTGCACACACAGAAGTAAAACAGAAGTGATCAAGTCTGCAACAAGTCACCTCAATTCATTTGCGCTGAATTCTGACTGGTCAGTTACTGGTCAGTAGTGTATCTGGCGGCGGCTTGGTTACACACTCTTCCACATTTATTCTCCAACTTCCTCGCACTGAATCATGAATTGTGCATTCCAAAAACAGAAGAGAAGAGTCCCAAAGAGAGGACAAGGAAGAAAATAGCAAACTTCCTTCACAACATTTGCATAAGGCTGGATGGCCTCACAATTCAAATAATGCATTGAAATACATAAGTTAAAGTTAACCCATGATACAAATTTCCAAGCAGTCAGAATGTTAATAACCTTTCAACATTGTTACTGCAATGCATGTGTGAACAAAGATCTGACTACAGAAAATCAATACACTTCCATCCACATATGACTCATACTCAAACCCAAAGTTTCACTTACCCCTGCAAGACATTTCTCCAAGGTGTCCAATATTATCAGCTGTGAAAGGTACAAATTCCTCTCCGCATCTGCTCCAAATATTCGCTAGGTAAACAAAACATTATATTTGGCAAAATTCCCACAAAATTTTAATGTTACAGCAATTCTGACTGCACCCAATCAACTGCAGAAAAGCTTGCCTTGAATGTGGTTGTATATAATAATAATAATCCTTGCATTTGATATAGCGCTTTTCACGTCTTCCAGACGTCTCAAAACGCTTCACGAATATGCTGTAAAGTGAATTGACTGTATAGTTGTGGGCGAAAGGCAGCAGCCAATTGCTTACAGCAGTATCCCACAAACAGTCGTGGATTGAAAATGACCAATTTATTATTGTTTTGTTTTGGAGGGATTATTATTAGGCTCTGTGTGGAGTAAGGAAACTTGCCCAAGGTTTCGCTCTGCCTGGAATTGAACCCAAGTGTCTCGCTTTCAAGGCGAGTGCTCTAAAATGCTGCACAATTAACAGCAGCAAAATCTGAACTGCTTCTTCTACTTATTATTCCCATGTGGCATTGATCCCTGTGAAGAACAGTATAGCAATATGTGACAAGTCACCTGTGGCCATTTCACCTTCCACTGTTAAGAGGTAATCCACATTAAAATTAAATACTCACTTAGTTGTGTTTAATCGACACAAACGCTCCTAGTAGCAACAATATCTCTGTCTTATACAATGACATAATCGCAAGCATGACGTAAATCAATTAAGAGAATTGTGCAATTGGGATTAGCATCCACAAATGATTTTTCAACGGGCTCCAGCAGACCAAATTTAAAGTGACATTTCAAAATCCCTCGATGAACAACTCAAATGTAATTAATGCTTTCAATGTTTTATTTAAATTAAAGGCCGAACCCACAAATCATGATTTAAAAAACACTTCGGCAAGAGGTTATCCCTCAAGAACCAGCCAACTGTATTTATTATGAAATGTGTGCACTGCTGGTATTTAAACAATCAGTTGCACTCTCAGCCCCATGAAGGGAGAATGGTTCACAAAATGATATTCTATTAAAATTGTAATATTGCAGGAGATCAATGCAACTGCCTCATTCTCCCTTCCTGAAGAAAATCCCATAACACACAATGAAGAAACTTACCATGTTATTTACATTTTTCAAGATGGTAGTGAGACCACTTATGACCAAGGAAAACTTGTACTTGGAAATATTGATGAGACATTCCTTGTTGTGTTCTGTACTAACTTTGGAGTGTGTGTTCTGCTGCCCACCTTTAATTGGAAGCTAGGAGGAAAGGTGTGAAAAATAGAGATCACTTTTTGTACACACTCATGACAATCCCACAAGTTGCAACTCAACATGTTAATGTAACGTACATTAACAACACTGATGGTAAAAAATCATCAACAATCAATTTAAAAATTACTCTCCCATGCTTTCCCTGAAGACGAGTTGTTTCAAAAAAGTTTTAAATCCAAAGTACATGTAGAAATTTCAAATACATCTGAGATGGAAATGGAAGAAGTGAAAATTAGAGTTAAGATTTGTTTAGAAGAAAATGTCTCATAAAAGAGGAAACCAAGGCTCTTTGATGCTTCTTCAAAAAAATGGAGATGTGAATTTCACATATAATAAAATTCAGCAGAATAGGTTTCAACATCAACAACAAATTACATTTGTATAGCGCCTTTCACATAAGGAGGACATCTCAAGGCGCTGGACAGTCAGGGATTTGGATCCATGAACATAAAAGCTAGAGATTTAACACATACATTAATATGTAAAATATCAGACATCTTATGGTGCTACTAGTTTGCACTTTGTGAATCAACAACTTCCACCAAACAAGATAATCTAACAGCAACTGGAGAATACATAACTAAGATTGGTAATAATCATTGGTAATGACTGGTGGATTGGTAATGCAACTGACTTATCTTATTTCAGTTTGTCTGATCAGATCACCAGAGGATCATTGGAATCTTTTAGCTCATCACAGGAAGTTACAAAACCATGTTTTTATGTTTGTGTAACAGATGCAGACACCACAGCATTCCCTTTAAATGACCTCAGGCTCGTTATGAACTGTAATATGGGTAACCAAACTGTTAGAAAGAAACTATTATTTTCTCAAGTTAAAAGAAATCTTCATTTTCGTTTCCACACACAAGAGTTTGGACACTGAAATCAAATAACTAAAAATCTAGGAAAATCTCAAGATTCAAAAATGTAAACTTGAGGTTTACACAGGATCATGGTGTTATCGACATGACTTAGTGTAGCAGAGGGCTTGTAGCGGGTTGGGCATCTCATTTATGAATCACCCACTGCTTTTTGGCAACTACATGCTGGTGATGCTTTAGAACGTGTTCTGTCATGGTGACCACCTTTGTTAATTTTTGTGATCAACAATTGCAATCGTTCAGCACTTGAACACAGTCTTCGGAGAACAAGAACCAACAGAGATTCAGAAGTCAGACAGAGTTTGCAAAATCGAACTTGTGTCAGAGGTTTCTTTCTAGTTCCAATTCCTATTCTCCTAAATCAGGTTTTTACAGCTTGATGACAGCTTTAGAAACACATGCTGAGGACATTTAGCCCGTTGAGCATGTTCCACAAGCGTATTAGATCATGGCAGATGTTTTAATCCTATTTTCCCACTTTTTCCCATTCCCCTCAATATCTATTTCCTAAGTATCTATGGATTGCCCTTTTTGATCTTGAGCACAGGATCCTTTTCTCACCTCTGCACATTAAAAATGGATTTGTGGATGTGAAATTCACCAATGACCAATTCCGACCTCACATATTGTGGTAAATATAAGCAACAATGATGTCCCAAGAGAAAGCTGATCACTCACCAATATTATTTTTCTGACGGCTTTACAATAACTAGGTCTTAGACTGAATTTGGTGAACTGACCAGATCCAAAGACATCAGCAATTCTCACAGAGTAAATGAGGGGAGAAAAATTATTTTAAAAACGGACAAAAAAATTTACCAAGCAGCTCGTTCACTGACAAAAGTTTGTTGATCAAGAGGTTTAGGCTTCATTCCTGATAACAAACTTTTACCAGTCCATAAGTAAGAGAATCTGAAACACGATTCTAAATTACTGGACTGTTATTTTCAAGAAACATTTTCATAGTATAAATCCAGAGTGTGGGAAACAGAGTTCAGGTAGTGTTTTTCACCTCCAGTGCCTGGTTTCGAATCCAGCCCAAATTGATAAAACAAGGTCTTGCTTTTGGCTTCCAAAATAGGAAATTAACTTGCAAAGTCTCTTCTGAGATTGCCATTGAAGAATATTATGGCCAAGCAAAATGTCACTGTGATTGGCTTGGTTGTGCCAGAGGGTTACATTACAATGCGTGCAGCAATGTGACACCATGCTCAAAAGTATAATATTTCTGAGCACTTTGGTAACAATATGCATCCAAACATTTAGAGAAAAGAATCAGTGATCAAAAGGGACTTGAGCTTGAGTTGTAAGCTAATCAAAGTTTCAAATGACTTGATAAACCTGATAAACCATTAACTGAACAGGTTGGACAGTAACTTGTAATTCATTGATAGCTGACCAATAATATGTAGATCACTTAATTTAATATCTAAAGTAAAATCACTAACTATGGCTAGTCTCATTGATAGGACACATCTCTTCATCAAAATGGTCATTTGACCTATTATTTCAGAGACGCAAAGTCATTTTCAATAGTGCATTATATTAAAATTCACTCTCCTTCAAATGAATAATGGTGCCTTTTGATGAGGAAACTGGGTGGCACAGTGAGTTACCACACTGTTCTTTCACCAATGGAATCTGGGTTTGAATCATGGGTGAAGTGTTGCATTCAAAGCAAGTCTGAAGCAATCTCAATCCAGTTCCTTACAGGCCAAGGCCCAGAACAATAAAACACGCAGAATTAATTATGAATTGACTAGCTCACTTAAAGATGGCCTGCATTGAAAAAAATGACTAACGCAATACAAGTGTGCTACATTGACAGAAAAGCCTTGGCCTGAATCTGATATGTACTGGAAAAGTGTTGGATAATGCCTCTGAATATCCAACCTCACTGTCTGCATTGGAGTGTCAGCCTAGACCAGGGTGGTCCAACCTTTTGGCTGCTGAGGGCTAGATGCCCAATTTAAGAAATGCATAAGCAATATTTTTGTGTTTCACTTCCAGAAACATAACATTTGCAAGTTATGGAAGGAACGGGTGGTCCTGATAAAATGGGAGGGGAGAGCCGAATGCGGCTGCCAGTTGAGCCACCCAGACCTAGACTATGTGAATTTAAAGTCCAATCAATTTCAGAGGCGTGAATACTACCAACTGAGTCAGCTTGACACACAAGATGAAAATAAAGATGTTATGGAAAAAGGAGTAGCATTGAAAAAGTATTTTGCAAATCTCTTGACATTGCCATATAATAACATCCACATGGAGTTCCTAAGCTATAAAGTGATCTTATTAACCTTCAAATTTATGCAGAAATCACACAAATGTACTATTAAGAGTGGCCTTCTGCCACTCTGCCCCCACCCTCTGGAACTCCATCCCACAGTCCCTCTGCCTCGACCCCTCCCTTGCCACCTTCAAGACCCATCTGAAGATCCTCCTCTTCGACTGTGCGGTCGATCTCCTGCCTCCCCCCCCTGCCCTCCACCCTTCCCGACCCCCAGCTCGGGTCCGTAACTCTATCTGTCCAGCGCCTTGGGACATTCTCCCAACATGAAAGGCGTTTTACAAATGTAATTTTGTTGTTGTTATTATTAATAGTGAAAGCACCATCAACCATTGCTCTTCCATATTTTTCTGAATGAGTCTGACTAACAATGACTGCAAAATGAACTTATTCATACCACCTATCATGCACATTTGACACAGAAGTACTAAAGGCAATTTTTGAAACTTCTTTTTGAGATCTTTTGTTTCCACCCAACAACTCCCCAGTCATATTTTCAGTCTACATTTCAACAGACTATTCAGAAGGATACAGGAGCCCTCAGTGATAGTATACAACTTGTTAAAACAAATGATAAAAATTGCTGCTCACTAAACAGTGGACTCGTTGTTTCACTCACACACAATAAATTCTTTAAAGGTCATGGTCCAATCATTTCCCTTGTGTGCAGTAAGCCAGAACCAGTTGTATATGATGCTAAGCAATGGACCACAAAAGACTGTCAACTGAATCTCACTTGCTAAATTTCATTTTAAATCTTTTGTGGAGGCACACAAAAGGAGACTTAACTGTTTAAAAACCACAGTGATAAAAATCACATAGTTTAAGCAATGGTATAGGAAGGCTATAAAAAAAGAAAGAAAACTGTTCAAAAAGATGATTCAATTTACCAATAAATATTCAGAAAAATGTCAAATGTGAATGACTAAATGTCAGCATTCCACTAGCCCATAGAGACCAGGCATCTTAGTTTTAAAGTCAATGAAGATTTCTGTTCCAGATTACTTGCCAGCAACCCCTGCTAGGAAGAACCCTGCAGACATCAGATGAGAATATGATCAGTCTTGGTTCTAATATTACTCGTGATCGAAAAGCCTGTCAATGCTCATAAAAAGAATGTCTACTTGGGTGAAAGACCAAACACTTGTTAGCACTATGGAATCATATCTGCTCAATGTAGGTCACTGGCTTCATGAGCAGAAAGAGAAAGAGCTAAGAAAATTAAAATCAAACTAAACAAAATTACACGATGATGCTATTATCTGCAACTTCCCGAATCACATTCCGTCTCAATGAGGGGAAAAGGCATTTGCTATTTGCCGAATAATTTCAGCATCAAACAACTTCCAGAAGAACATTTAGGACGTTTTATAAAAATTTTAATAGATTGATATACTCGTCACAGTCAATGTAGTGTAAACATGCAAAGAAACACTGAAAAAAAACAAGATCAGGTGGGAGATTTGGATGAAGAAGGCCCTTCGGACCATCTGACCTCATATTTCTAGAGTATCCATCCTACTCATCCTTCCAAACTACTGTCAGCTTGGCTCAGTTGGTAGCACGCTTGCTTCTGGGTCAGAACATTGTAGGGTCAAGCCCCATATTGAGCTTATATATAGTTTAGCTGAGACTCAAGCGGAGTTCTCCAGGAGCACTACATTATCAAACGTGTCACCCTTCAGAAGAGATGTTAAACTGAGGTCCCGTCTTCATGATCAGGTAGTCGTCAAAAATCCCATGGCATCATTTGAAAAGAAAGGAAAATTTCTCCCAGTGTCATAGCATTGTCCGCAGGGTTTAGTTGTCGG